AGCCCACAATTAAACTTGTTAAGAAAACTAGCCTATCGATAAATAATTTCGATTACATCTTATAAACGTCTATCAGAAAATAGGTGTTCGTCCATGATCAATATGTTTAATAATAAGTGTACACCACGAGTGAAGAAATCAAGGATGACCAAAAACCATGCTGTGATGTGTGATTGTCATAATGCAGTGGTGTAGATAACGCTACGTTCAGTGTTACCGCAATAACACCCTCACTATGTAAATGAAATATCCTTTTGATTTTAAATATGCCTAAAATGAAGAGGCAACTTTTCATGCTTCTAAAGTAACATTTAAGCTTGACTGCCATGCAAACATCGCATCAACAATCGTCGGAAAAACAACCAATGACTATCAACATGACTATCAACACTCAATGACTATCAACACTCGTGATCATCCAAACATGTTTCATTATATTGTTCACGATCTTGAAAGTATATTTGCTTGTATCAAAAGTTCATGAACTTCATGAAACCCACAAATGAACTTCTTTACATTGACTGAATTAAAATAGTGTAATTTCTGATGACTAAACTGGTTAAATTTTCCATTTGTGTGTTTGAAAAAGCAACCAATAACGTGATTAAATATTTCCATTTAAATTTGACCCTGATGATGACAGTTTGTGAACTGGTTTGTGCCGATGATTGCTACCTACACCACTGGCCATTAGACATTACACCAACATTTTTGGTCCATGCCTCTAACTTCATAGTAATATTTGAGCGCTAATTGCTAAATATATTTACTGTAATGAGATGCCTATAACTAACGCTCATTTTCAAAAATTTATGATTTTATGTCAGCAGTCTTTGAAAGGTCTCTGAAAGCTTTTTGGTACGAAGAAATGTGCTAAGAGTGAAGAGTTATTCAATGAAAACATATACAATGTAAAAAATATTCACAAGAAAAAGTGTCTCGTGCATTCTATATCAAAGTAATGTACTAGAGCAATCACCAATCGAGCGTTCTTCCTATCAATAGGCCAAGTTCAGGAAATAAATACATTTTAAATATCATTCATGACTATATGATCTTGTGGTGTTTAAAAATTTCGTATATATATATATATATAAGATTTGAAATGCTTGTTTGAAAGCGTTTTGAAAAAACTTTTTATAAGGAATGCACATGTCATAGAGGCTTCTCGATAGTTTTCATTGTTCGACCACGCGCTCTAATCTTATGCAACCTATTGAAGGTTTTTGTGGCTAGCCACTGCGCATGCACAAGGAATTCATTATGAGGCATTCGCTCACGTTCAATGATGAAACAGATGTTATTTGCAATTGGCACAGAATTGTGAGGGAATAATCTTATCAAAAAATATTGACAAAATGTTGTTAAGAAATATTAACAAAAAAGTAACACTGCCCATACCATAATATAAACGTACACTTGCATGATATTGTCTGATATTATCTATTCATAGACGCGAGTTCGATTTGTCGGTTGAGCAAATGAAACATAGCTGTCGTACTCTTTACAAAGCTTCAAAAAAGGATATAAATGTTGTCATAAGCAAAAATCTCAAAACATGATGAAAATGCCAGATTAGCAGATGTTTACAAACGTTGATATTTATTAAGGGCGTGCATACCATAACTGTGCTGCGAATTCTTGTTATAGTGTGATCAGTGGTGTAGAGACAAACTTCTTCACATCCTGTCATTGTTAGTGATAAATTTTGTGCAAAATATTTAACCACGCAATAAGTTTCTCTCAAAGAGACACAATGAAAAATTTAAACAATTTGATCAGCAGAAAATACACCAATTTATTTTAGCCAATGTACAGGAGTTATAAAATTTGATTAACTGTAGTCGAGCAAATATTCTTTCAAAATTGCGCACAATGAAATGAAACATGTTTGAATGATCACTATTGTTGATAGGAATCGAGCCAATATTGGTTGCTTTTCCGACAATTGACGATTCGACGATTATATGGAAACCAGGCTCAAACGCGACTATAGAAGCAATAAAAGGTGCATTTTCATTTCGGAATATTTAAAACCAAAGAAACCACTTTATTTACGAAATGAGAATTTGTGGTTTCACTAAATGCGAGCGTTATCTGCACCACTTGTCTCAATAAAAAAAATCAGACATCATCGCACCATTTTTAGTCATTCTTGACTACTCGCTTAGAGTGCACACTAAAAAAGATATTGATCATGGGCGTACGCCTATTTTCTGATAGAGGCTAATAAAAAATAGTTGAGATTATTTATCGTTTTCAAAACGTGCCTGTTTTTGCAAAAAAATGTTGAGTATGGCTCAGTTTTCTTAAATAAAGTTTAATTGTGAGCCACAAGAAAATGAAAAGTTTTCTGAAATACAATGGTACGTGCAAATGTGTACCAAAACTCGTTCAATAAACTAGTTTTGCATTTGGTTGATTTATGTTAGAGATTTTACGCATTTGAAAATATTAATGAATAGATATTCATAAAGAAATGTTGGCAATGCAATCTATATCAAATCAATCAATCGGAGCGCGGACCAGTCAAGCGTTCTTTTTATCAACGGGTCACGTTCTGTCAATATTTAAATTACTAAATATCATTCATGACTATGCGTTTTATAAATTGCCTACATGCAAACTGTAAAATGCTGGTGTTTGGCAATACTCTGGCCCTGTTCACACGATACCGGATTCGTATTGTACCGGATTGGCTGAGCAATTTGATACGCAAAATGCACTCATCTTACCCGATGACGGATTCATGAGACGCAACATAATTAAGTTCATAATTCGACCCAGTACTTGTACGTGCAAGTAATAACAGCGATGGTTTATAACATTGGCGGTTCTAAGGTACCTGAAAATAGATTGGTCACCTTTGGTCACCTTTCTCCGCTGTGTCCTGCTCGGGTAGCGGGTCTTTGCCGGAGACCCAGTTCCATCAGACTTCTCCAGGCTGCTCTGTCCTGGGTATCCTCTTCTTTCACACCACATAGCTGCATGTCTCTCCTGATGGTACCCTTCCACTGATGCTTTGGGCGTCCTCGTTTCCGTCTCCCCTCCACTTGCATCTCATAAACTCTCCGAATGTCTACATCTTCTTCACGCCGGCACACATGTCCGAACCACTGCATTCTTTTTCTTCTCATCAATTCCAGTATACTCATGACATTCGCTTCTTCTCTTATGCTTTCATTTGTTCTGTGCTCCTCCAGGCTGACTCCAAGACAATAGCGTAGCATTCTCATCTCGCATACAATGATCTTCTCTGCTAGGTAGTCTGTAACAGGCCATGTTTCATTCCAATACAGAAGCACTGGGCGTATCACCGTTTTGTAAATGAGGATCTTCAGTTTCTTCGACATCTTCTTATCACAGAGCACTCCCGTTAACTCCCTCCATTTATTCCATGCCCGGCTAATCCTTAGTTCAACCTCAGTCTTGCAACCGCCATCCTGATGGATTGTGGTCCCGAGATACTTAAATGTCTCGCACTTTGGTAGATCTGTATTTCCGGGTCCAGCATATTCTCTTAGCTTGATGTTTCCTATGCAGCCACTCGGTGGGAGGTACTCCGTCTTGGCTGTACTAACTTTCAAGCCAGCATCTTCTAATATTCTTCTCCAATCTTCTAGTGTTCCTTCCAGATGTTCTCTCTTCTCATCACACAAGACCAAATCATCTGCAAACAGCATAATCCAAGGTGTGTCCTCTGTCGTGTCATCTGAGACTACGTCCATAATGATAATAAACAGTAGGGGGCTTAGTGCCGAGCCTTGATGTAACCCGACCTCTACTTGAATTTTCTCAGTCTCACCAACGTTCGTTGCGTCACTAGTGGTAGAGCGCTTATACATATCTTTGATGGTTTCAATATAGGCCTCCGGGACTTGACGCTTCCTTAGACAGTGCCATATTAGCTCCCTCGGGATTGTATCATATGCCTTTTCAAGGTCCACGAAAACCATATGTAGCTCTTTGTTGAATTCTCTATACTTCTCTTGCAGCATCCGCAGACAGAACATCGGCTCAGTGGTTGATTTTCCGCGTTGGAATCCATATTGGTTGTCCTTTATCTTCACTATTTCTCTCAGTCTCGCCTCTATCACTCTCTCAAATAATTTCAGTGAGTGGCAGAGGAGTTTAATGCCTCGATAGTTTCCACAGATTAGGGGATCACCTTTCTGTTTGTAAAGGGGCACTATTCTGCTTGTTCTCCATTCTTCTGGTATTTCTGTCTTCATTATTTCTCTGCAGCATGATGTCATCCACTCTGTTCCTGTGTTTCCCAATTTCTTCACTAATTCGATGGGGAGCTCATCCGTTCCTCTTGCTTTATTGTTCTTCATCTTCTTGAGTTGTCTTCTCACTTCCTCTTCCGTAATCTCTGGTACTGGCCCATGGACTGGTTTAAGATGGTCCAGTTCTTTACTGTTGTTCTTCGTGTTCAAAAGTCTATCAAAATATTCCCTCCATCGCTCTTTGATTTTCTCATCTTCGCTCACGATCTTTCCCTGCTCATCCTTGACAAAAGTGATCTTGTCAATGTCCTTTGCTCTTTTCTGTCGAGTTTTAGCTAACTTGTAGATTCTTTTCGGTCCGTTTTGCTCCAGATCTTTGTATAGTTGTTCCTGACCTTTCTCTCTAACAATCGCACACTTTTCTTTACTGATCTTGTTCATTTCTCTCAGAGTCTCCCTGTCTTCCTCCAAACCAGATCTCTTCCATCTCTTAAAAGCTTCTTTCTTGTTCTTCACAGCCTCTTGTACTTCTTCATTCCACCACCAGGATTCTTTTTCTATGTATTTCCCACCTCTACTAACTCCCAGTATCTCCTTTGCTGCTTCTAGTATATTGGGGTATGTTTCATTCCATTTCCAATCTCCCACCATGCTTTGTTCCATTAGCACTTCTGTGATCTTACTTTCCAGCTCATCTCCTTCCTCATTATGTAGTTTCCACCAGTTGATCTTCTTCGGTCTCTCTCTTCTTATTCTTCTCCTCTTCTTGATCTAACAATCCATCACAACGAGTCTATGCTGCCGTGCAATTTCCTCACCAGGGATAACCTTACAATTTTTAACATCGCCTAGGTCATCTCTCCTTATCATGATGAAATCTATCATGGTCTGGCTAAGGCCACTTTTGTACGTGTAGGTGTTTCCATCCCTCTGTGTGAAGAATGTGTTTACCACTGCGAGGTCCTTGCTCCTTGCATAGTCTAAGATCTTATCTCCTTCTTCATTTCTTCTTCCGATTGACTTTCCTCCATGCCATCTCTCAAATCCCTCTACTCTCTCTCTTCCGATGTGCCCATTGAGATCTCCTGCCACAATCAGCTGTTCTGTTTCCTTCACATTGGTGGTCACTTCTTCAAGTTGGTTCCAAAATCTCTGCTTCTCGCCTTCTTCACAGCCTTGCTGAGGTGCATAGGCAGTCACGATGTTGAACGTCTTGTCAGGTGTTACCAGTTTCATAGTTATGATTCTATCGGACTTTCTCTGGGTCTCTATCACTTTATCTTGCCATTCCTCACTCAGGCATATAGCCACTCCATTCTTTGGCTTTCCTCCTCCGCTGTAGTACAGCTTGTAGCTCTCTCCGATGTTTCTTGCCTTCCCTGCTGATTTCTCACCAGTCCATCTTGTCTCTTGTAAGCATAGTATGTCGATCCTCCTCCTCTTCATCATGTCTGCTATTTCTCTGCTCTTTCCAGTCAGCGTCCCGATGTTTAGGGTCGCAACTCTCAAGTTCTTCTGTCTCGCTTGCATTCTATTCACAGCGTCAAGACAGTAGTGCCGCTGCGCATCGCTTACGGGGTATGCCCTAGCATTGTCTTCTCTTCTGATTGTCTCCGGCATATTATCATGTGGCATACTCTTTTAAGGACCGGATGCTCTTCCTGAAACTAAATTATTGGTGCTCAATTTTAAATTCAAAGTACTTTCAGAAAAACGCTTTTGGTTTTGAATTTCTAAAAATCACGAACTTTTTAGTTGCCAAAGTGGAACGTATCGGATTCGAGGATACACGACAGCAAAACTTATCGCATCGGCTTTCATAGCACTTTGTGAGAGGAGTCAAATCGCTCCGGAAAAACGATACAAAGCCTTTAGGATAGCAGCGGAGCCGTATGAACGCAGCCCTATCTCGTACGAAAAGTAATCCGGTATCAAATCAGTCCGGTATCGTGTGAACAGGGCCTCGGAATTGCCATTAAGTATAAATAGTTTTTACGATATTACGCTCAGATCAAAAAGCAATGATAATATTTCTGGCATTGTAAATATATTGTGATATTCGTCCGCCGAGTCACATAAACAAAGAAGAAATTAAATACGACTATAAGTACATGTCATAAATTCTTAGTTCACAAGGTTTGCGCGAGTATATGTCGTACATCTTTTTAGGTTCCCGAAGGAGTTCGTAGATCTGCAAACGCAATTTTTCCAACAGTCAGCATCTGTTTTTGTTGCTAAATTTAGCATGTTGGGCAACAGTCGAGTGATCCTAGGGAATCGAATGTAGATGATTTAGACACTCAACTAATTTTTTAACTATATAAACTATATGATATTTATTACAGACGCTAATATTGCGCGCGAACATATAGCTACGATCATATAATACACACCTTTCATTTATTTCCTGCTATTTTTCTGGTATTTGCCTTCATAAATTAACATTGAAAGTCGTTATTCTAGTCAGTGACAGAAGTTAGGCAAAGGTGGCCAGGAATATGTAATTATTTTTATATGCAGTCGATAAACGTTTGTTACGACAACTAAAGAACATATGGCTAAAGTTTTAAAGAAAATCAAAGATATATTTTGCCGCCAAGCAATATCTTATGATACCCTTGAGCTTGAAGCGCTAAAATTGCTTAATTCAAGACCAATGTTTAAAGAACATGATGGACCATTTGCCTGGAGTATACAAGATTTGTGTTCAAACGACAATTGCAGTTGGTAGATGCGACTTTTCTAAACTTCGATTTCTAATAAGTTTCAAACATTCCTTTGTTAGGCAAGTCAATTTGCATTTGTATTTATAAGCACGTTATTGTTATTATAGAATATCATAGGTATTTCATCACGTTGACTAATAACATACAATAAGTTTTAAACGTATTTATACTCAGTATCGTGCTTGCAAATATTAGTTGTGTATAGACTTAATGTGCGCGCATGATTTGACTTGCCTTTCTAACATACAAAATATAATTCAAGTTGCATGTTCATCAGTTTGCGTATACATCATTGGTATATTCATCAGTGGCACATTCATCAGTTGCATATTAATCAGTGGTAGACTAGCAGTATTACACCTTTTCTACCTGCTTTAAATAATGAATATCACAGAGCGGATTCAGCTAAAGGCAAAATAAATTACTTCAACTTATTGATTGGTTGATATTTATTGTTTAGAAATTCATAACCAGTAACTTTTACAAAAAGTTATTTTAAATTTGAAACCAACACTGGATCCGCTACTGCAGTAAATAACACAGTGCAATACAAGTGAATAAAACTTTGGAATATTTAATCAAGGAAGGGGAAACCATCAGCATTCTGAAAGTTTTATTAGAATTGACCACTGGATAATTTAAAAACTCGCCTTTTCCGTCTTCTATCTAAAATCCTGCATACATAAAGCATTAATTAGGGAGGACAAATTTTCTACATCGAAAAAACTTCTCTAAGTTTATCCAAAGCACAATTCGTCATTACTCTTTAAGGCTTACGCACAAAAACTTTGTCTTTCAACTCATATTCAAAGTTTTTAAAAAATCATCACTGCATGCATGCATCTATGATACAAATCAGATTATAAACATACATATATGAATACGACCCCCCTCCGCTCTAATTGTCGATTATCGTCGTGGCAATATTAACTTGAAAAGCCAAACATCATGCAAGCATCTCATATTTTGTTTTGAATTATCGGAATACGAAAAGAAAATAGAAGTTTCATTTGAAATAATTGTTGGACAATGTTTTCATTAAACACTTTTGTTGCATTACTTCATGTAAAAATATTGTTATGTCGCATCATGGTAGTTTTTCTTTAGGACCACATGTAAACCATCGTTTGTTCTCACATTTTGTAAGAGCTATCGATATTCTTATTAAAATTTTATATAAAACCAAATAGTGTTAACAATAATAAACAGAGAATTTTTTGCGGTAACAAATTTATATATTGACTGAAAAAGCGCATTAACAATTGTGACCTGAAACCAAAAAAAACAACAAGAGAAACTCAAGCCGGAGAAAATCGGGAAAATTTTAAGATCAAACCAAGAGAAAATCATGCAAGAGTTCTGAAGAAACTGTTTTAGAATAAGAGCACCAACCCGAAAGTTCTGAAATGAATTGTTTAGGAGGTTTAGCACACCACGCATTTCAACAGACAGGCTATCTGTTACTGTGGGATATTTAAGGTAGGTCAAAATAAATTATAGAAGCTCGTTTTGAAATTCAAAATACTTTTTTAATTAGCAACGCTGCAGGCTAAAAATTTTCTAAAGAATATTTAAGACTAAAACACTCCCAAATTGATTTGTCCAAAGTATTTTAAAATGGAAATATGTTTTCAGTAATGTATTCTGAACGCTGGATATGCCACTGATCTGTTCAAGTCGAATCAACTTGTATTTATATCTATTGTTTTAATGAGGACTCCCCCAGCGTGCGAGGATGAGTCATCTTCAAAATAAAGCCAATTTGCGAACGAACTGCTTCTGTCGACAAAAGACTGAATCATTAAGCTTGATTAATAGCGCCTGAATTGTATTTAGAGAGAAAGCCGACTTACAATTTGCGTATCATCATAAAATTTCGCATAAGGCATGCAAATGCAGTCCAAGGGATATTTCAAAACTTTTACATTTGTAGAGCATTACCTTAAAGGTTACTGTAGCAAGAGCCGTGTGCCAGAGGGTCCAGAAATACCCTCGTAAATGTTATTTTATTTCATGACTGTAACACCTATTGTAGCCTTCCTCTTAACTATCTAAGTAGAGAAAAGGTCGAGACACATTTTGTAGAAATCAATGCATGATTTTGAAAAATTCTGTGCGGAACAATGAACTCTGAGCTCGAACTACAACTCTATAATTCCCACATTGAAAGAAATTCACCGTAAAGTTCGTCACCTCTTTGGCATTTTTGAAACGAAAACTTTATTAAAATCAATGCAAACTTTGCTATTTGTATTTTAAAGAGTATTTAACTCGTTTTCTAAGACAGAATTCCAATTGCAATAATCATGCAATGAACAGTTAATTAAAATTAAACAAAAACAAGTAATCTAAAGCATCAACTTGAGCTCTTCATCAACCTTGAAGAAAAAAAATAGATAATTGTATGTTTTTTAGATTCTCAAATTGATATTCCTTGACCCTTCACCTTATTGCCGGCAGAAATACTCATTTGTGTTGGTGGACTTAAGTCGCGAGGTTAAGAACAGTATAGCTCAAAAACATGCAATAATGGATTCAATACTTAAAAAATCATTAACAATGCAAAGTAACTGTTTACCTGGAGATTGAGCAGTAACGGATGTTTCGTGACTATCTTGGTTGCAAAGCTTTTCTCAACTTTCGCAGTTGACGAACCTCTGAGGAAGATATTTTGAACAACTTTATGGCAGCTGATGACAATCGTGGAACACGTGGTCTTTTTACTTTAGTGAAGCGCCTACGCCTAGAGAACCTCCATCCAACTGTCAACAAAAAATGAAGCATGAGGACAAATTCAAATGTTTCAACAATTTACGCAGTAATGGTGTAAAAGAACAGCTTAGAGTTTGTCATTCTTGAATATAAATTAAATTGCTAAAGGTATTTCAGCACAATTCTTAACAATTCATCATTTAAAAGATAAGTTCTCAGGGATAATAAAGGTATGAAAAGTAATCTTTGCACGACCTTAATTGTTGTGGTTTGAAATAGAAGTTCACACTTTGTAATTAGTATATCTACCTCTGATATTTCTGAACACCTGTTTTTTTTTTGTATTTTACGCATACGCAATCAGGCTGTTTGCTTAAATCAGTTAAATCTCTCGGGCGATGAGAAGTCTGCGACATCAACGAATTTTGTAGTTGAAAATATGAGTGAAACTTGAACGAGCTTCCTTTATTCTGCCAATCCCACCAGAGTTTATCGACAAAGCCATGATGAAGGAAGAATTCTGGAGCAAACGCTGAATTATTTGAGCACATTGTTCCACCTATATTGCAATGGACACTGTCGTGAAAAAATCTACGGAGAGACATTTCAAAATTGTGAAACTGAATTGAGGGTCTTTTCAATAGTTCCTTTACCGCCGCTGCATTGGGTACCCTACCACGAAATCGCCTCTTGAGACATCTATCATTTTCACCAGAGCTCAATGGTAGAGACCATTGACTGTCCCTAAATGGCCCTGTTTTAACGCAGTTCGTCGATGGTGATCCATCATCTCCCAATCCAGCGCTGCTCGCACTCCACACAGAGCTGGAAAACGGTCTCCCAGCCTCTTGGCTCCAGTCCCAATACGGCACGGTCACGCGACAATCTATTTCTCTCAAAAGATTCTCGTATTGTAAAATAAACCAACGATGCCAAGGAAGAAAGAATTGCTTCCGGTGAATATTATACCCAGAGAAGATGGTTCTGTGAATAGTTAGAAGGCGCTCGTACTTTCTTTTGTATTTAGAGATGGTCGATGCTGTTTTAACTGTTGTTATATAGCGAATACGCTCAACGTTTGTCAGGTCGTTAAACTCCTTTCGAATTCGACAATTATCTTTTCCATATTTACATTTGGTGGACAGACCTTGAGAGAAGAAATATTGGTGAGATAGATAATTCGTGCTGACGAAAATGTGAAAAACATGCGTGAAAATTTGTCTGTGTAAGTATGAGTCACTTTCAAAGTATAAGTACTTTGTGTCGGTGTCCTTCTCCGATCAGTTATGTGCCATGTGGAGCACAATTAACATATATGCATCAAATTAGACAAAAGCATAGATAAATGTTGATTGTTGTAACAGTTTGATGAATTTTATGGAAAATGACATTTTTGTTTAACTCTAGACTATTAGCTATATAGTTCATTTCTCAAATACATACTTTAAAACTTCCAAAGTTTTTGTCAGTTGAAACGCTTGTAAGGCCTTGTCCATAATGTATAAATGAAGTAATGTAGCAAAAAATGTTTGTTTATATCTCTTTTTTGTTCTTTAGTTTTGAAACATAAATGTGCTACGCTAACTTTCCTATACATGATCTCAAGATTGCAAATTACAACAAAGCGACTACACACCTTTCTTTAATTTCCTAATTACAGTACTCAATGTAGAATATCCATTTGTGACGTAATAAACGAAGTCTGGTTTTGATGCAATGGAATTGAGTTCAGTTTTAGAGATGCTTGTCGTGACCAGGGGCGGATCTAGGATTTTTCAAACATCAGTCATAAAACGTCGAAGGCGCTCCGCACCTGGGGGTCTGAGGCATTCTCCCCTAAGAAATTTTGAATTTCAGAGCCTTGAAAATGCCATTTTCAGAGTTTTAGAGCAATACAAAATGTATTTGTGGGCATCGTTTTTGCGTAAAAACAAAACATTTTGCTTACGTTTTTTTCAAAAAAAAAAAATGAAGTGAACAATACTTGAATGTTTTGCCAAATATTTAGGCTCATTATCATGCCAAATATATGGCTCATTAGCATGTGTAGGAACGTAAAATTTATTTTACAATAATGCTATTCAAAAACAGATATAGTCTTTAAAAATTTCTACCAAGTTGTTAGGCATAGACCCCCCTAGAGACCCCCATTCAAACCTCTATGTAATGAGTTTAGTTAAGTTAGAAATTTGGTATTACAAGTGACAGTTCATAGATATAGAAAAGCTCAGACTTCAAACCATGCAAGTTTATTGTAACCCTTTACCCATCTCCACATCAGTGCCAGCAAATTCACCTTTTGAGAAAAAACTCAAAATTTTTTTCTGCCAAAGGTTAAGCAAAAATTATCAGAGTGAAAATTTGCAGTTAAGGACAGCTTAATGCCATAAATGTTTATTAGGCATTTCACTAGACTATTATCTCCTGTAAGTATATGCAAGGTGTGCTATATAGCAATCACTAGTAGCATTGTATTTGCAAATACAAACAGAATGTAACCAACATGTCTTTAATTATATAATTACATGAATGTTAAAATTGGTTCATGTGTCATGCTTACTGGTTATGATAAATATCTTTTCATATGATCAAAGCTTGTTTAAATGTAAATCAGAAATAATTTAGTTTAGAAATTATAATGATCATCAGAAAAATTACCTAGTGATCATGAAAAATACTTTGCTGTTTTGCCAAATTTCAAGGTTTACCTGCATACATAGAAAGGCATTTTTACTTTATAGAAAATGCTTTTCATACATCAATAGCCCTTTGGAATTTATGGCAAACAATCTGGTATGAGCCGTAGATTGACAGACCTTTACATCTCTACATGAGGTGTTCAGTTAGAAAAGGGGACAATATGTGACAACATTCCATGTATGTGAAATACTAAGGTTTAATACCATTCCAGTCAAATTGTCAAAATAAAAAGCTTCATGGATCAGAAGACTCAAAATCACAGGTTATAGTAAACAGCTTCTCATGTAATCAATGTTAGTTTTCTCAAATCTTAAACAATATGTAGTATAACTGTCCAATGATTGAATGATCAATGATCATAAACAGAAAAACCCCAAACATTTGTTTATGATAAAGTAAATAATAGTATGGCGCCTTATGGCTACAGATTTATTGTCCATTGAAATATATTTGCAGGAATGTAGGATTTCGCTGCCGTATAACGGCCACGATTCCCCAAGCACTAAAGAAATCATAGCTAAAAGTCCTTCGTCAACAACAATTTTAGAAGAATCGATCTGCTTACCATACGCCATATTGACATAAATCGCATCACACACTCGCATAATTGACTTTGATATATTACATTCATGCATACACTTCACTTGTCCTTTACTTACGATTTTGGATGTAAATTTCTGCTGATAAAACTCAAAACAATGTTGGCTTTCTTTTGAACATCAATGACTGAAATGTCGCTCGCGAGATCGTCGTTGCCAAGCATTTAAAATTTATCCATAAAATTCCACTCTCTTGAAAAAATTCACATTTTGGACAGCAGCATTCATGTCAATATATGAATTTGTAAAAGATTTCCATAAATTCCATCTGATTGTAGTTTAGTTTCTATCATGCTTATAAAAATTACTATAAAACGATCAAACATTCAATTCAGACAGTGAGCTTGACTATGTTAGTTCAGTTGGCTATCAGTCGAAATCCGTCAAACCAATCACAATAAAGCAAAAATTCAAATGAACCAATTGTAAGATAGCAATTGGACTCCCTTATACGTCCGGCCACCCTTATTATCAGTCGAGACCATTCCAGACTGTCCACTGATCTGGCTATTGACCAATAAAATAAGCGTTTTTGACGTTCATAGACTCCTTTATCCGTCGAACCAGTCAAGCCACCCCGCTTATCAGTCGGTTATTCCAGGTCAATTAAAATTCAACTGATCTGGTTACCAACGAGATATTCATTGGATAAGTCATTAGTTTTCAATAATAAATAATGCGGGATTTTTATCACGAAGTAAATGCGATAAGAAAATAAGAATAATTAATGAATTTTTAATTAATATGAATAGGTAATTTTTGAATTTCAAACATCAGTCGCGCGACGGATTTGACATACTCTAGATCCGCCCCTGGTCGTGACGCCCATAATGTGCACTTGAACACCACGTGCTTTTAATTTAGCAGCAGGAATTGATGGATTTCGCGGGCTTCCTGTGTTTGAATAGCCATCTGTCAGGAAAAATACCACCTTCTTGGCGTTACTTCTGGCACCAGTAGAATGACTCATTATCAAATTGTTTAGAACGTAATGAAGTGCAGGTCCGGTTGCAGTGAGGCCTCCAGTGTATCTGTAGATGGGTAAAAATATCAAATTGTTTGAAACAGAGTTTTTGAGAAGTTTAGGAAAAACACACAAGCCCATAAACAGTGAGAGCATTTTGCTTTTCAACCTTATGCTGTATACTTTATAAATTACTGTCTACATGCAGTTAGCTGTTTCTTAGTTCCCACAAGTCAGAAAATCCAAGTAACTGAAATGTGGTGATGTATTCGCATTGTTAGTTAGACATGCGTCACAACAAAAAATTTCAATGGAGTGACTTTACAGCTTGCTCCATATACTGTGACACTTGTAGCAATAATTTTCATTTATGCAAGTATTATAGTTTTAATCTTTATTGAAATGAATTGTGACTATGGATTATATAACATTTGAATGTATGGGTATGAGCCCTGTTCTCCGTCTCTCTTTATAGAATATCACGCAGTGCTTGCTCTTCATTTTTCTTAATTAAGGTATGTTCTGAGAAACACTTTTCTAAAACCATACCGAATGTTTTTAATCCCATTTCTTAAACATTCCTTGTTAGGATATTTGTTAAAATCGAACTCCAGTTTAACGTTACTTGCAAATGTGACGATGGCGACCAAAGTTTTAGATCGAGAAATATCAAAGTACTCGATAAGTTGTTTGATAAACGTTTTCTGTAAGTTAAAATGGTGTCGACCAACACTTCCCGATCTATCCATAACAAAGACCATATCCTTGCGAGGGTTGAAATTTGATGAAGCTAATAAAAAATATACATGTCATAACACTGTGAAAACCGATTGGTTAAAGTAACCATTAGATTGGTTAAAAGAACCATCAAAATATTGATTAAAGTGGTCTGATGCTTCTGAGGTAACCAATTTTTATGGTTATTTTCAACCAATCAGTTTTTACAGTGAATAAGATCCGAACGTTATTTACGTTTTCTTAAGTCAAGAACTCAAGAGAAGCACATGTGTTGAGCTGTAAAATACTGACAGCATAACGATGTTTTCTAATAAAGAATTCAATTGTTCACAAACAGATGGTGGATTTTGAGATGCAAGTAAATCAACTAAACTTTTTTTTGATTTTTAGCGCACAGACGTTTTTGAAGATAAGACCTCAATTACACAACTACTCAGTTTTCAATAGATTTTTCACATTAAAACACGACACTGTTATGATCTTAACAATATGCAGTTTTGTGAAGGTCATACTTGTCAGAGGTAAATAAGCCTAATTTGCATTAAGTGTACCTGTTCTTCTTGACACACGACTGAAACGTCGTCGTCTAGAACTCCAGAACCAAGAACGTGATCTTCTTCTTCTAGAAACGCTTATTTTAGCGTTTGGTTTTGCAAGACTTATGAAGGAGTGTTTCAGGCTCTTATAGATTCCCACAGCACTGCTTGGTGCTCTCTTAGATATTTCATCGCGAAAGTCCATAAACGAAAAATCGTCTTCCAGTTTGCCTTCATCATCAATAGCATTATCTATAATTTATAAAATATGCAGCAGTTTGTTTTCATTTGAAAGCAAATCACTTTTGTTAATGGTTGGTTCAAGATAATATGTATATATATATACATATAGAAAGTGTGTGAAATAAAACGGAACAGTTCGAAAAATGTCGCTCAAGTTCTTGGCGCGCAAGATTTTCAAAAACTTTTGCTGAAAATAGCTAGTCGGATTACCAATTCTTGATAAGGCAGTAAAATATTTGCAAATAAAACATTTTTTTAAATAAAAATTTTGTTACCGAAAACACAACACATTTGGAAGGCTTTTGAAATGATTCCGTGTTTTATAAATACGCAAAACTGTTCCGTAACTGTACCTTACTCCTAAATCCTGAATCTTATCTGTATGGGTCATCGTTAACAGAAAAAAATGTTGGAATGAATGAAACTGTTAACTGCAAAGTTTAGACTCATAAACTCTTCGTCAAAAAAGACTATTGCGAAAACGCCCAAAAACGTTTGCAGACACCAAGCGATACTTTAAATAGGTCATGAAAAACTAGTCTGTTATACGCTCGACGTTCTGCTTTTCTGAAGATAACATCCAGATTAGCTAGAATTGCATTTCTAATAGAATGTGAACAAGAAAGAGAAATTCAAAAACGTCACACGAAGGAAAATGAATTTGTTGCAAGCAAATTATAGAACGATATGAACGCCCTGAATTAAATTAAATTAAATTAAATCAAAGTCTGTATTGAGTAGTTCTAAAAGAAGACTTTTAATTAAAATGGACAAAATCAGAACTTTACTTATTGTCTCTATAAATTATGATCATTAAATGACATACACTTGTTAATGCACACCTTTAAAAGAAATCACACGTCCACTAAAGACAAACAGAATATATAAAACTAATGGAGCTTTGTTTATAAAGCTATACTCCATCTTGTCAACCGAAAAGTCAAACACTTCTGATTTGATTTAGTGGAAAACATGTCTTTTACTTTAGCGCGAGCTTTAGCTTCCTTCAGCAGGTCAAAGCAATGTTTACCAAATATGGCATTTATGGGCTGTCGTTGATAAAGCATGTGAATAAAGAAGTCTTTATAATTCTAGAGCCCCAATTACATTTGCTCGCATATAGTCTTGATCATCATTATTGCAAATTGGACCTTACTTAAATAATTTATCAACGCGTTGTGGATAATCATGACAACATACAATACAAAACTTCATTCATGGTTTCTTTGAAAGAAATAATTCCGTGATCCCCATAAAAAAGTTTTAAATAGCAGATTCGTAGTAGTTGACAGGATATCATGTGCCGCAGCATGCTTTCGAAATTCGAACAGAATAATATAAAATGGTATTAATAGAACTGACCTGTTCATATGCATAATGCCATGTCATCTTAAATGCAGTAGCTTAATTTGAAACAACACATTCAGACTTGCATGACTTGAAATAGTTTCGGAAATTCTACACAATATTTGTAACATCAATTTCAAGATTACCGGTTAATATCAATTTACAATACTCAGCAGATAGGCAAATGTAACATCTCATCGAGGGAAGCAAAAAAGCAGAAGCAGTTTTGCTTTCCAACTTTTGTCACAGTCTCCAGATACTTGTCTAATAGTTACTAGTTGGAAAATCGTAACAAGGCTTTCAAGTTTTCAATCATCATTGCAATTTTAACTAAAATACGTTCGCTTTTCAAATTTAGCGTTTTGTTTCGCATTTCATTTTTATTTTTAATCGAATTTTACTTCCACCATAACTTATTCACTTATTTTATGGAATTTTGAAGATTTGTTGAAAATGCTCATTGAGTTTAGCGTGATCAAACTTAAACATTACAGAGGAGACATATACTCACACATAAAATTAATGATAATTATGCAGTTTATATATGATCGTTCAAACAGGAAGATGTAGCTTGTGCAGACAACCTTCATCGTCCTCTATAATGGCTTTCTTGAGCAAGCAAGAAATCAGAAATGCATTAAAAAATGCAATATTTTCGATACCAATGTCTCATATGCTCGTGTATTTGGCAAATCCCAACAACTAATAATTAATAAACGTTTTTGATATTTTACATACTCGACAGTTGCCAAATGACCGGTTCAAGATTTCATCATCTATTTCTGAGAATCGGTGAAGTGCGTTAAACGTAAAAATATTTCCTAATGAGTACGACAGAAGAAGTTATTATAATTGCAAACGTTATTCAACATGACGCTTTTTCAAAATTTGACTTGTCGAAATAGATTATTTTTAAGTCGTGCAATTTCGAATAATACCATTTCATTGGACGAAGCTATTGCAATTCATAAACACCATTTAATATTTGGCTAATTTAGTTATTCCATTTTTGAGAGACCGCTGATGCAATTTTCATTTCTATTTAGCAAATACGCATGTGTTTGGCAAAGTGTAAAAGTATAAAATCCGTTTTAACAAATACTTACATTGGACAAGTATGGATTTTTAACAGTGTTTCATGTCTCACTTATCTTCCACTTTCATTTTTTAGCTGATGTTAGATTGATCAATTATAGCACGTTTAGACTGATTGGCGGAGTACGATACCCTGGTTCGGGCAAAAATCTGCAGGCCCTTTACACTACGTAGTATCCACTAGCTTTGTCTATTTATAATTTCATGTTTTTCTTTGTAAACAAGTTTTGAAACCACGTGCTGAATACGTGCCTCCCTGTACACGTTACTCATGTGTCGTCGTTCACATTGGTGCCCTTTCCCAAGCACTGTACTTGCGTACTGCCTGACCTGGGCACTTATACATGGGCATCATTAAAATGTTGTGTTCACATTGGTGCCCGTTCCTGAGCACCGTGCCAGGGTACTCAGTCTGAACGCACTATAATAAACTTTACAAACGAAATCAAACAAATTTTGTATATTGAACGATTCCTGATAAAACTGTTAAAAAATAACTTTGCTAACAACAATGCGATTCTGCGACCTTCTTTTGCCTCCTCACTTTTCAAACCTCTCCGCGGCCCTTGCGATGTAAAGCAATTTCTTTGAAAATTCTGTCAACGCAATAAACACTTCTTTCTTACTTGTATTGCCGATAAAATTATTGGTGATGAGCCTCGCTTCCCCCTGGAGTTAAAGCTTTTGTGGAATAACATTACCATATTTGTTACAACAACATGTTTTTTCTCGACTAGTATATCTTCCTTCAGCACAGAAATAAAAGAGCGTCGGTGTAATTGCATTCCCCACGAGAACACTGAACAAGCGAAATTTATCAAATATATAGTCTATGTTGTGCTAAGTGTTTGTCGAGGTTACTAGAACCTCATTTCTTGCATTTGGTGTTTCTGAAATATCAAATTAAATCAATCTACTTCAGAATAGACATTGAGCCAGTGCTTAAAAGTTTTAAGTGACGGCATTCGTTTTGTTATGTTTTTAAATGACGATTCAGGGATTTTACACTTTCGCATCGACAGTTGTAGAAAGGAAACATTTTTATCTTTTCAAGATATGCTGAAAATCAGTGTACGACTTCGGGAAAGTCCGTGCAGAAACGTTATTAGCCGTGTCTGTATCCCACAATCCTGAGTAAGCACGTGGCGGCCACAGCGACATTTAGAGAAGAAGCAAATATGGCTGCTAACAGTAATTATTACGGTTATTCAACGGGCGTTCAAAGCTCCCAAGTTTACGGGGGTGCAATGCAGAACCCCCAAATGGCTGCCACGGCATATAATGCACAAAATACATCCGCTTACGGTGTGCAGTCGGCGACTCCAAGCGTGTACGGAACAGCTACACAACAGCGAGTAGCGATGACGGCCCAAGCACCTTACACGCCGACGGCTGCCTCGAGCTACCAGGCGGCAGGAATGTCGGGCAGTTCTTATGGCTATACGGCCAGAGCACAAGATACGACTGGGCAAAGCTATCAGACGAACACTCCAAGCGCTTATGCTAGTGCCACATCGTATTATGGCGCTCGAGACAATTCACAAACATCTAACGCTTCGGCTTACGATGCATCGAAGACGACCAACTATTACGGGCAACAACAACCACAACAGCAACATACGGCAGCCAATCAGGGCTACGGATATGGAGCAGGGGCGCCTAAGGCCATGTATTCCGGTTACTCTGCGACACCAAACAATCCAGTTATCCAAATGGCTAATCATAATGTGCAGAAACCTAATAATGTACCAACAGCTAATGTCTCATATCCCAACTACAAACCTCAGAGCAACACAAACTATACTCAGAATGCTGCTAGTGGTTACAACTCGCATTCTAACTGGTCCAATCCTGGCAGTGGTTTTCAGCCAACACAAGGCCAGGGTTATGATGCAGCTGTTTATAATGCAGCCTCGTCCTTCTTTCAACAACAGACACAGCCCAGGCAGAAGTGGGGAAGTCAGAAGAGTAACAATCAACATAATCAGAACAAGAGTCATCAACAAAACCGACAGCGAAATCCACCCAGACAACAGCAGATGCATTATTGTGATGTCTGCAAAATTAGTTGCGCTGGTCCTCAGGTATTTCACTTTGATATTTTTGACCACTTTACTGTGCATTTGCTGAGTGAAAAAATTTGTGCTGCATGAAAATTAAGGTGGTTTCCACTATGTAAGCAAACATTTCATTTTCCTTGAATAGCGGAGGGAAGTGGCAGTTAGTTGAGCACTCCTGTCAATGGGCCATTTTGATTAAAAAAAATTCTAATTTAGAGGTCTTCATGTAGAAGAGCAAGTTGTTCTCACTGGTTATGGGTTATGTGCCCTTGCATAACAAAGATGATTGCGATACCAATCATTATTACCATTAGTGTCATGTTACATCACTAAACTGCTGATGTACGTGACTTAAAATTTGTATGTGACTTGATAATGATCGTGATAAATAAGTAAAATTAAATTAATATCACAGAAATCAACATGGCTTTCACCTTGTAATAATGAAGTTTGGCTACTATTTTAAAACCAAACTCTCAAACCTTGTTTCATAATTTTGGCTTGTAGCATTAAAGTATTTCCAAATTACACTTTAAAAAAAATGAGAAGTTGTCATATGATAAACATGCAAAAATCGAAAAAAATGCAAATTGCAGAACATTGCTTTGTAACATTGGTTACCATGGCAATGAATTAAGATAATTGACCAATGACCCAATGTGGAAAACAAGCAGATTAATTGGTTTTGTTGATGATCGTCTCCCTCATTTCTAGTATTTAAACCAGTTCATTTTCATTTCCAAATACAACTTGGAGATGAAACAAATAACTAATTTGATCAGCCAAGCCTGTTTTTAGTTTGCTTGTTAAAAATTCTTTGCACACAATCATCTAAAAATTTGGCACATGCGGGGGGTGGGGTTGAAGACCAGAATGCACATTTATTTCTGTAAAAACCATTGAACTAAAATACATAGAACGCTACCTGTACTAGAAAACCCTAGTAATTTTTTGAAGCCAAATTTTACACCCATTTTACATGTGTAGTTCAATCAATTTTCACTCCAGGAGATAATCTTGAAACACTACATGTCTGAGTGTAATCACGCGTGTCTGGGTGTAAGATTTGGCTTCAGGTTAATTTTGCTTCAGGTAGCATTCCATGTATTTTAGTTTAATGGCAAACACATAAAGACTGTAAATTGCAATGAATCTATTTCAACATGTATATTATATAATCAATATTCATTCAAGTGCTTTTGAAATATTAACAATATCCTTCTCTTGCAATATTCCAAATGATGTTATTACATTATTTTACTCTCCATGTGATATTTTACAGTTTTTCTCATGCCTTCTTTGGCATGTTTCATTTCAACATATCAAATTTGTCAATCTTACCCTAATCAAGCTATGCTTTTTGTGAAGCAGTTTATCTAATTAGCAGTTTGGTAAATCATTGTTGTGCAAATTGCAAAACAGTGAAAACACTCCACAATCATTTATTATAACTGTTTACTTGTTTTGAAAATTGATAGAGTTTGCTTGTAAAAGATACATCAATTGCTAGTTTTACAAACTTTATCAAACTTTTTTATACCACCAGAGAAATGCATGATCACGGACAACCGGTAAAACTCTCGGAACATAGTATAGTTTTGGCACAAAAATGAGACGTTATTAGAATTGAACATATGTAGCAACTTCTAGGATGTATGTATTAGGTTGTGTAGAGGTTAAATAAATGGTAATTCTCATGTAAGTGTCTTTCATGAACTGGAAATGGTTATTTGGAATCCAAAATTTTCGCTATTCCTGACTGTATTGCCTGTGTTTTTATTTCCTGAGTCATTGAACAATAATTTTATTTTTCTCTAGACATACCGGGAACATCTTGAAGGACAGAAACATAAAAAGAAGGAAGCTGCACAAAAGCAAATGGAAGCAGCAGGGCCTGAGGGGTACAAATGCTCTCTTTGTGATGTTATTTGTACAGGAACTGATGCGTTTAATGCTCATCTTAGAGGAGCTAAACATTTAAAGGTGAGTTTGACTTCGAGATGTATAATTAATTTGATTAAATTTTATGTGGAACAGTTGGTAGTTTTTGCAAACTGTCTGATTTTAAAATAATCAAACAATAATAAGAGCACTTAGGGTGACATGTATTGTTGTTATGTACTGGTAGCAACATGTTGTTCATAATGTATTGGTGGCAATGTGTTGGTTGCAATGTGTTGGTCATAATGTGTTGGTTGCAATGTGTTGGTCATAATGTGTTGTTGGCAATGTGTTGGTCATAATGTGTCGGTGGCAATGTGTTGGTTCCAATGTGTTGGTCATAATGTGTTGGTGGCAATATGTTGGTTGCCATGTGTTGGTCATAAAGTGTTGGTTGCAATGTGTTGGTCATAATGTGTTGTTGGCAATCTGTTGGTTGCAATGTGTTGGTCATAATGTGTTGGTTGCAATGTGTTGGTTGCAATGTGTTGGTCATAATGTGTTGGTGGCAATGTGTTGGAGGCAATGTGTTGGTCATAATGTGTTGGTTGCAATGTGTTAGTCATAATGTGTTGTTTGCAATGTGTTGGTCATAATGTGTTGTTGGCAATGTGTTGGTTGCAATGTGTTGGTCATAATGTGTTGGTGGCAATGTGTTGGTCATAATGTGTTGTTTGCAATGTGTTGGTCATAATGTGTCGGTGGCAATGTGTTGGTTGCAATGTGTTGGTCATAATGTGTTGGTGGCATTGTGTTGGTCATAATGTGTTGGTGGCAATGTGTTGGTTGCAATGTGTTGGTCATAATGTGTTGTTGGCAATCTGTTGGTTGCAATGTGTTGGTCATGTGTTGGTTGCAATGTGTTGGTCATAATGTGTTGGTGGCAATCTGTTGGTGGCAATGTGTTGGTCATAATGTGTTGGTGGCAATGTGTTGGTCATAATGTGTTGGTGGCAATGTGTTGGTCATAATGTGTTGTTGGCAATGTGTTGGTCATAATGTGTTGGTTGCAATCTGTTGGTCATAATGTGTTTTTGGCAATCTGTTGGTTGCAATGTGTTGGTCATAATGTGTTGGTTGCAATCTGTTGGTCATAATGTGTTGTTGGCAATGTGTTGGTCATAATGTGTTGGTGGCAATTTGTTGGTTGCAATGTGTTGGTCATAATGTGTTGGTTGCAATGTGTTGGTCATAATGTGTTGGTGGCAATGTGTTGGAGGCAATGTGTTGGTCATAATGTGTTGGTTGCAATGTGTTGGTCATAATGTGTTGTTTGCAATGTGTTGGTCATAATGTGTTGTTGGCAATGTGTTGGTTGCAATGTGTTGGTCATAATGTGTTGGTTGCAATGTGTTGGTCATAATGTGTTGTTGGCAATGTGTTGGTCATAATGTGTCGGTGGCAATGTGTTGGTCATAATGTGTTGGTTGCAATGTGTTGGTCATAATGTGTTGGTCATAATGTGTTGTTGGCAATTTGTTGGTTGCAATGTGTTGGTCATAATGTGTTGGTTGCAATGTGTTGGTCATAATGTGTTGGTGGCAATCTGTTGGTTGCAATGTGTTTGTCATAATGTGTTGGTGGCAATGTGTTGGTCATAATGTGTTGGTGGCAATGTGTTGGTCATAATGTGTTGGTGGCAATGTGTTGGTCATAATGTGTTGGTGGCAATGTGTTGGTTGCACTGTGTTGGTCATAATGTGTTGGTTGCAATGTGTTGGTCATAATGTGTTGGTGGCAATGTGTTTGTCATAATAGGGAGCTTTAGCAAGAGTAGGACTACGACAACGAGTACGAAGTTTGACCGTGTAAGGGAATGGCACGAGAAAGTTTGTTGTCGTTGTCGCTTCGTCAAAATTTAGTTTTAGCTTTAAACAACAGAACGAGCCTTTTTATTGTGTAAAACACCGAAGTTTGCGGAGCAGCTACGGCTCTATTTGTCAATAACTATATCAACAAATCGGTAATACTGGTTTTGCAAGAATATAGGACTCTTTAGACTGAAAAATCTTCACTATTTTAAGTTTTATATACGATTTATTTGTACTATTTTTATTGTTTGTTTACCTTTCACTTTGCGTACGAAATACATGAAAGTTTTGCAGGTCATATTTTCCTTTTTAATGTACATCTGCGCTCAAAAAGGGCTCTAAATTAAAGCCTGGATGCTCGAAAATAGTACTGTAAACTAATTTCTTATAGAATGAAGAAATATACCTACTTTCTTTGCTTAAAAAGACATCGTAGTCGCGACTACGATTTTTTTACCAAACATCGTACTCAGATTGATGACGGCAACGTGTTGTTGTTGTCGCAAGAATGTTTTCGCGCCAAAATGACGTAAATCGTACTCGTAGTCTTTGCTAAAGCTCCCTAATGTATTGGTGGCAACATGTTGGTCATAATGTGTTGGTTGCAATATGTTGGTCATAATGTGTTGGTCATAATGTGTTGGTGGCAATGTGTTGGTCATAATGTGTTGGTTGCAATGTGTTGGTCATAATGTGTTGGTGGCAACATGTTGGTCATAATGTGTTGGTTGCAATATGTTGGTCATAATGTGTTGGTGGCAATGTGTTGGTCATAATGTGTTGGTTGCAATGTGTTGATCATAATGTGTTGGTTGCAATGTGTTGGTCATAATGTGTTGGTGGCAATGTATTGGTAGCAACATGTTGGTCATAATGTGTTGGTTGCAATGTGTTGGTTTCAATAACATTGAAAGTTACTGTGAGGTTGAATTTTTCGCAAATATTGCATGGCTTCATGGAATTATATGTAATCTGGCCAAAAATATGCTGTACGTAGATGCAGTAGCAATATTTTAATTCATTTACCAAAAAGTATTGAATTCAAGTTCAATGCACTTGATGATCAACAAGACTCTCTAGTACTACTATATGTGTACTCAATCAGTGTCAGGGGAATGATTTATTTAGATAATTGAGTTGCTATATATTTGATTTGACGAAAATTGTTCTTCGTTATTGTGGCCTGGAAGTAGGTGTCTTCGCACCGGATGTGACGTAAAATGGAGAGCACATGCATTGAAGATATAGCTTTGAATAAAGCTGTTATAGCAAATTTTCTTAAGAAGCACGTATGAAATATATTGTGAATCTTCTTAGAATAGATTAAACCAACTATAGAAGTTATTTCCCTGAAGTAGGACTTTCAATAAATTAGATAGCTATGAACAATTATGTGTCGTGTTCTATTACTGCTTAACTGTTTGTTGTTGCTCTCTCCCTGACTCCCAGTGATGATGAAACTCGTCTGATTTTTGTCATGATGGTTTATTAAATAACTGATTTAATCTGAGGGAGATTGAGAGACATTCCATGAAGTGGGGCAGAAGAAGCTACTGAGCCCGCTATCTTTTGCAGTATCGGTCCGTATCTTCTGATGAAATTTAAAAGTTTATTTTCTGCAAAGATGAAGAGCAGTTTATTAGGATGTAAAGTGGAGGCTGTTGTGTAGAAAGGAGGTGTGGTGAGGTATAAAAGGATAAAGCGTGATAGTACGGCTCTGATGTGAAAACACATTACAGTAGGAAAGATGTGAAGTACTTTGGAAGTAGGTGACGTGAAATGAAGATGACGTAGGAGGAGGTGGCCATACTTGGTAATTTTTATTACCAGATTCCCTCTGGTGAGCTTAGACTACCCCCACGTGATTAAATAATTGCAACATTTAAAACAGGGGAAGCATTTTGAACGGATCAGGTGACGCATTTTTTTTATATAATCCCACTTAGGTTGCTTATTCATTTTACTTTGGAAAACTCAAATTTTGCTTGACTATTACAACTAACAGTTTGCTTTGCCAAACGAAACAAAGTAACCCGTTGCTCAAATAATTAATTATAGGATTTTGCGCACTGCTGATTCGTGAAAACATTTTGTGTATCATTTCAGACCGTCAAACTCTTGGAGAAACTTGGAAAACCGGTGCCCACTGTCCTGTCAGCGGAAGATCAAGACAAGGAGAAGCAGAAAGAGGGGATTGTGAAGCCACAATCCATAAAAAACTCCTTCCGTGGAAATCAAAGACGTAACAGAAAGACTTCGGCACCCAAAATTACCTTCATTAGTGGTGCACCATTAAACACGTCTGCTAACAAAGTAGAAGAACAAAGTAACGATGCTGTAACCACTGAAGCTTCAGATCAGAAGAAGGAAGATGCGTCTGCTACTCCCGAAGAAGGAAAATATAATAAGTTTGTCGGTTAGTAGTTACTGTTTTCAATTTTTGATTTTCGTATTTACGAAACCTAGAAATTTGATTGGCCGTTATATTTCAGCTCAGGTAGTATCTTGCCAAAATTTAGGAATTGTGGGATCACGACTGAGTCGGCGGATGTATTTGGGAGTTTAACGGGGAACTTGGACGTTTTCTTAGCATTTTTGAAAAATCTTTCTGATTACAGCCATTTGCAATTGACCGTGAGGCGTGCATAAATTAAACGTTCGTTATAGTTTCAAAACTTGACGTTACTAATAGCTATCTTACAGTTGCTAAGACATAACAGACGAAATTTGCGCAATTAAAGCTTCATTAATGAAATCACTGTACGAAGTTTTGGCCTAATAATCTAAATGAGAGTTAGCATTCCTAGGATCAAGTCAAATTATGACGCCATAAATTATGACTGCTCGCAATTGATATCAACGATTTTTCAAAAATGCTCACGTGAGTGAATGGGGCATTTTAAAGAAATCGTAGAAATGAGATGGATTGACAGGTCCGAGTACCTTCCTACGGATTTTGTTGCTTGAGATGTTTTGAAATTTTTTATCGTTATCTGTCTTGGAAGACGTGTAGCCTTTTTTTAGGAATTTCACACAACATACAGCGTATCCCCCAGAAAAACGGAACCCGCACTAATCATCATGTATGCATCAAAATGAAATCTGCATAAGATGATTAAGTCTGCAATAACTATTTGTTCCGCCTGGTGTATTTAGTTATACGTTAGTTTGTCCATGTTCGTTGCAACATAGGGGAAATATAATTACGTTTTTGTTGCTGTTATGACTCTGTTAATGTCGCTTTAATATGACAAAGCTTTTGCTTTAAACATTTGAAACGAGAATCAGTGTATGACAGTACTTTGAACTTATTTTTCTTAACTTTTTTTTGCTTTAGCTACTTTGTCGTTGACATTGTTTGTATTTAAAAGCAAACGACTCTTGCTCAATGCATGTTTAGTTATTTTAGTCATTTATTTTACATTTCAATGTCTTAATGTTGTATTTACTGGCAACTTTAGTCTTCTCCACAATTGCCTTCTGAAATAGACAATCAAGTTCAACGTCAGAAACCTAAGTAAAACGCGAAACGGCAGGCTCGGCAGCCATGTTTTTTCGCCACTCGCTATTTATTGAAAAATCATAGCGAGTAGAGTAGCCAATGAAATTAAAGCACTAGCACTAGAATACTAGTACGGTTCTACTAATTGATGTTGGAGTAGTAGCTACATACTCGGTAAAAAAAAACGATACAGGTCAAAAGGAGGGTGACTGATGTAGTTAACATAAGCTGTAGTTTTTTTGTTGATTATTTTCATAATCATTGTTTTGTTCGTTATCAGGCGAGGACTATGTCGAAGAAGTTCGAAATGATGGCGGTAAAGTCATTGCATTTGAATGTAAACTATGTGAATGTAAATTTAACGATACCCAGGCGAGGGAAGCTCATTTGAAGGGACGTCGACATCAACTAGCATATAAGGTAGAAAGACGTACATTGGCATTTTTTACTTTATCTCTTATGACAATTTTACTCCAAGGTCACAAGCACACCTGGCGTTTAACAACATACCATGAAATAATACCATGCTATAAATAACCATACAATAACATATACCATACCATCTTCGGCATCTTCAATGTGTAGTGCTGTTTTTTTTAAAAAGATTTGCAATAACAGCATTCAGTATAATGAAAGCTACATCTCTTCCATGCATGTGTTTTGTTTTCACGTCATATCCGGTGCGGAGTCACCTATTTCACGACCACACAAAGCTATAAAGATAAAATTTTCATTCAATCAAGTATAATGCAAATGCTGCAAATTGACACTGATCATTATACCCTTGATTTCCCATTATTAGAAAAAAGTGCAACCGGATTATGTTCTTGATCAAAAGTCAAGCAACCGAAATAGGCCAACAACACAACCTCGCTCACTGATGGATGAGAAGGCCAGACGTCGATGGGAGCAAGATATGTACTGGAGACAACAGGAAGCTGCATGGAGAAATGAGGAAGTTAGAAGGTTGCTGTAGTAATTTCTACTGTTAGCAAACGATATCATGTGATACATTTATTTGCGTTTTGTCAGCTTCTTTAAATAAACTCGTGTTAAGTTAATTATTGCTCGTGAATTGCGACACTCGTACACGTCACAATACTGCGAGGCAAGCACGTCACAATACTGCGAGGCAAGCACGTCGCAGTCCTGTAAGGCAACACGTCACAATACTGCGAGGCAAGCACGTCGCAATCTCGCTCGCGAGGCTCTCGTTAATGTTGTGCCCAATTTTTAGGTGGGGCGAAGAAGAGTACTGGCGTCGGTTAGAAGAGGAAGAACGCGCTTGGGAAGAACAAGAAGGTCATCGACATTCTATGGAGTGGGGACACAGAATAGGGTCTGGATCTCGCTCTGATTTCATGCATCATGACATGGTGAGCATTTCTGGTGTCTTGCAAATTTTAATTGCATTAATGCACGTAAACCACATTTCACAGGCTAATGCAAGCATAGCTTTTGTGTGATGTATTATCACGTACATCATGTGATGTATTATCACGTACATCATGTGGTGTATTATCACGTACATCATGTGGTGTATCATCACGTACATCATGTGGTGTATTATCACGTACATCATGTGATGTATTTTCACGTACATCATGTTGTGTATCATCACGTACATCATGTGGTGTATTATCACGTACATCATGTGGCGTATTATCACGTACATCATGTGGTGTATCATCACGTACGTATTGTGTATCATCACGTACATCATGTGGTGTATTATATCGTACATCATGTTGTGTATCATCACGTACATCATGTGATGTATTATCACGTACATCATGTTGTGTATCATCACGTACATCATGTGGTGTATCATCACGTACATCATGTGATGTATTATCACGTACATCATGTGATGTATTATCACGTACATCATGTTGTGTATCATCACGTACATGATGCAGTTTATGACATAACGTCATTTTTACTCGACAAACTATTCAATTAAGTATCCACCAGCCAACATGTTGAGACCGAGACAAGACAGTCAAGACGACCGCATGGTTATGTCAAAGCACAAACTTATTTATCCGAATGAAGAAGAGCTTGCTGCCGTTCAGAGCATTGTATCCGCGGTGGAGAAGGCACTGAAACTGGTTTCTGACAGCATTGCAGAAGAGGATGCGCCCGTCGTAGTGAAACAGGAAACTATAGGAGTGGGCGAAGAAAGCGAGACGCTGGGAAAGACGGAAGAAAATGGCGAAGAAGGAAAGGACAGTGAAACTCAGGACCAAAAGCAGTCGCAAAATGGGGAAAAAACTGATGACGACGCAAAATTAGCTGGAAAATCAAAGGAAAAGGATGAAGAAGCACCCGCGCCTAGTAAGTAATTGACTTCAGAACTAGGCTCTAGTCTCTTGAACAGTGGCGTTGCCAGCCCGCAATGCAAATTTTTCTATGTTAATTTTTCCGTGTTCACTCATTGTAAAAACAATAGATTTCTAAAGAAATCAATAATGATATGATCTGAAATTTACATAACATGAACAAATTTGCGAGCTGGCTACGCCACTGCTCCTGAATCATGATACCTCGACTTGTCACGCAATTTATCGTTTCTCCTAAACTTTCCCCCGTGAAAGAAGGAAAATATTTTCAATTTCTTATATGACAAATAATGCTTTTGACACATACGTAAGATATTTTTTAAACACGAAAACGTATCGTTAAATAGGAACGTAGCAGAGGAAATAGCGTCGCTTGCTTTTATCGAATCTAAATTAGTTTCACAACTTTCTATTTCATTAGGGACTCTTAAAGGTGTGATGCGTGTCGGTGTTCTTGCGAAAGGTTTACTTCTTCACAAGAGATTAGATGTTGAACTGGTCGTCTTGTGTCAAGGTGCCGCAAAGTTTAAATTTTATAGCACTACGACTATGGAAGGAACAAAACAGAATGTAAACTTTCGATTTCCGACTTTTTACAAACAATGAGTAAATTGTGTTTTCATTTTATGTTAGATCGCCCGACTACACAGCTTCTGGAGCGTGTTTTTCAGAAAATTCCTGATCAGTTGACGGTATGTTAACAATAGCATTTCTTCAATCCTATAGATCACGTAAGCGTGATATTTGCAAAATAAAGACTTTTCAATGTTCCAAGTGTTGAGAGACAAAGAAAACAAACTGAGTGATGGTTTAATTTGGGAATTTTTTTGATTTTATTATATAAAACAAATAGATAACATTGAACAGTTGTCTATGCAGTTATAGATACACGGGTATGACGTCAATTGTGATAAAACCAACTTGCCCCGGCGGCTCGTGGCCACTTTTTTAGTTTTTATCACAATTGACATCATACCCGTGTATCTATAACTGCATAGACAACGTTTAAATGTTATGTATTTGGTAATTCAACAATTCTTGAGCATGTTGAAGTTGTGTGAAAAAACAGGGGAGGGGACTTCTCGTCGCTTTCAGAATCATAGAAAGGTAACACCATTTAAATAAAGTTGGATATGTTACGGCAACAAGTACCCACCCAGCCAGAGCACACCCCACCCCCACCCACCCCTCTCCTACAACCAAACCATCGTGGATCCATCTCTTTCAAAAGTGAATCTTCTTTTTAAATTGGGATTTAGTTATATATTTAGCATTAATAATGGCAATATTTCAATTTGAAATGAATTTTTATCGCTGTACAGTGTTTAACCATCCATTCCGATCGATCTTTAGGCGATATTTCATTAAATTATCGACGTTTGTAGAATAACAACAATAAGACGCATGCGCCGATTAGTCTATAGCTTAGTTTGCATTAGCCTGTCCTAACTAAAATCTGGCTTTTGTTTACGCAGGCTTATGAAAACCTCGGAGACGTTTGTTAGAACTCTTGAGCAGGTGCAAACGGTGTCATAGCCAGCTGAATAATTTATTCGTGCTATGCACATTTTTCTGTGTTCACTTGCTGCTAGAACAATTTCTAAAGAAATGTTCGTAATGCTTTGGAATTTACACAGCAGTCCTATAACTTGCTGGTGGGTGTCGTTACTAGGTGCAAACCCTCAACATTCGGTCTCGTGCTTGCACTGAACTGCTCTCAAGTTCTCCCGAATGTCTCCTCGGGAACTGTGCCAACACAGTAAACATCTTTTATTTCGTAAACGAAGCGTTCGATAGTGTACAAGTTTAGAATTTGTCAATTTAATAACAGATATTTTGAAGAGGTCTATAACCTGGTAGACTGCTTCGAATATGACACAAAATCTTACTTGAGTTGCATAGCATATTTTAAATCAAATGGTTTACCGTTTCTGATGATGATGATAAAATTTCTCCCTGACTTTGTTGTCGTGGAGGTAAAATAGACTGATTTAATGAGTCTGAGGAAACGACGTGAAGCATTTGGAAATGTATGAAGTTTACTCTGAAAAATCTAGCTAAAACCCTTACTGCTAAAATAATATCTAATCAAAGGAATGTTCGTATTGCTCTGAAATTTACACAGCAGTCCTAAAACTTGCAGGCTGGCTACGCTACTAGGTGCAAACACTCAACTTTGGGTCTTGTGCTTGCACCGAACTGCTCTCGAGTTCTCCCAAAGGTCTCCTCGGTTTCCAAAAGCCTGTGGGATTCAGCCAAGCATGAAAGAGCATATGACTTAAAAATTTTTCTACTTAAATTATAGTTTCATTTAACAGAACTTTGAAAAGCACAGAGTATTTTCCAAAACAGTTTGTGAATATCTCTTTTCATTTTCGAAATATTGAAGTTTTTGTAATGTCCGATATACACAACTTTCTACGTCATTTTGCATAATGAGTCCCTGCAAAGTTTCCAACATCTTTTATATTCACGTCAACTTTTGGTTGAAATGATCATGCAATTGTTTATACCATTACTCTTCACAATTAAGGAAACTCTACTCGGTTGAGGTAACATATCAGCAAATATACCTGCTATTTCAAATTCTCATTATGTAAAATGACGTAGAAAGATGTGTAGATCGGACATTACAAAAACTTCAATATTTCAGGAATGAAAAGAGATATGCACAAACTGTTTTATAAAATACACTGTCATTTTCAAAGTTCTGTTAAATGAAGTAGTAAAATTTTTAAGTATGCCTTTAAATGATTTTGGCTAATGGAAACGACTCAATTCTTATCATTAAATAAATGTTCTCGGGAAATATGAAAATATTCTGATTTAATAAGTACGCAAAACATTTAAAATTACAATAACCAATTTGGCCTAATTAATGACTTATAACAGGAATGACTTGTGGCGCTTAACAAACAGTTGTAATTTTACGCTTAAAGCTCTTCATCCTTTCACTGCCTCGAAATCATTTCACGCGTTAATACTGAATCCCGGTCAGCTGGGATCATGTAAACGGCCCCTTACTTGAGGCTGTTGTCGTCTAGGGGTTCAACATTTATTTGTTTTATTGTAAAATGTTGTTTCTTTCGTCAAAATAGAACGTGAGCGATGAGAAGTATGATGTCTCTCACGATGGCTGTGTCATTAGCGTGAAGTCTACTAAAGAACCTTTCATTGTCGTCACAATCATTTTAACATCTCCAGTTATCAGGGAGGAGTCGGACGTCGCTCAAGGTGACATAAGTTTACATTTGTGTATAGTTGTCATGTTTTCGTTAGAAATACTTCCAAATTACTGTCATTTTTGGTGTTGCTTTAAAATTCCGAACGGCTTTTTTGTCATCAATTCATAATTGCATGAACAAAATCCTATATTCATTTTACGAGAAGCGACTCTTCCGTTTTCCTATATTTGCTCTTTTTAAGTTGAAGTTGACGTTTGAATTGTCACACTGTTTTCTATTATTGAAAACTTATTCATTTCAAATTAGAACACTCTTTCTTTCCATTCGTTCAATGTTCAATTTAAAATTAGAATGTTTAATTGTCAAGTTAGAACATTCTCTTCGTTTGACGCGTTTTTGAAAGAGTGTGCGTTTATATGCAGCAAAGTGTTAATTAATTAGGAAAGAACATATGTAGTTTTGTTCTGCGTAGATTAAACGTATCTTAAACAACTCTAGCATTTCAGAACATTGGCACGGTAAGTCAGACAAGGTAAACTTTTTTTCTGTTATTTCAATATCTTTGATGTGGGAAACGCTACACTTCTTTATTTTTTTAAAACAGTTACCTTATTATGCCATGCATATTGCGTGCTTTTCTACATAATTGTATCGTTTATTTATCCTTGTGCTAATCTTTTGTTCTTTTGCTGTTGTGTATTCTGCACTTACAGTGTTTTTTGATAGTGTGCTATGTTTGATAATGTTGCTCAGAGATTAAGGAGAGGGTATTGGAAGGACGATTGGCCCATAGGCAGTGGAAAAAACGATGCTCCCCCACTGAAAAATTACCACTATTAGCTTTATAAAAATTCTCCATTTTCTAACAGGAATTTGGGATGAAATACCTGCGTGATTATAATACGTGATTTGGTTTTGTTTGTGCAAACAAGCGAGGTTGAAATTGATATATTTTCATCTTCTGAAGTGTTATTTTAAGGAACTATTTTCAACAGCTAAGATGTTTTTGAAGTCGTTTTATGTTACTGGTCTTCCAATTTTGATTTTAAACAACGAAACATTTTTTACTAGTATTTATAAGTCGAAGGAAATTGTGGCCAAGAAAAGATATTTTGAAAAAATCACTCAACTAAGTGACACAACAGACAACTTGCATTATTACGTCACTTAGTAGTCACGCACATGAAAACATTGCAATATGGCCACTATCAAAAGTGAGTTTACTGCTGTTCTTAGTCACGTTTCTGAGTCAAGAAGTACGATTGAAGGCCCTAGTTCTATTGAGAACTCTTGCTTGGGTCTTCTGGAGACTTCTAGCTCAGAAAGTCGCAGCGAATCTACGATATACGATTCGATATTCGGTTTTTACATCGATTAACAATTGTTGTTCCGAAAGCCACAAAACCTTCTCAAACTAAACCTCGTCCAACTGAAAAAGCAAGAATCAGGACGCCTTTTGCTGGAATTAGCTACGAAACGCTTAAAACCAAGCAGATTGTTTTCTCAAGTATAAACTCTCAATGCAATTGCAATGTTTTCATATGCGTAACTGCTAAGAGACGTAATAATGCAAGTGGTCTATTATTTGAAGGAAACGTTTCTTTTCACAGAAATACAACGATTTTATTGGGAAGTTTATAAACAGTTCTTATGAATAATTTCTGCGATGCTTACATTTTCTTTACGTAGTTTTTGTTTTGCATTCTCCGTTGTCCTTTTGTATTCCCATAATTTCGGGGGCAGCATTAAATGGGCCAAAGCGTTCCTCGCCAACTCCTGAACCGATCTACTCTGATTTAGCAGAAGAACAAAAAGATGTATTGGATCGTGAAAAATGTCTGGAGGCATTGGCATCCCTACGTCATGCTAAATGGTTCCAGGTTCGACGTCTGCACTTCATATAGTGTGTGTATAGGCCACTTTTTGATTGCGCGAAATTGCGACATTTGTGGGACCGAACGAAATCTGTTGACCTTACACGGAAAATGGGGCGATGTAAAAAATGTTTTATTGTGGAGGAAGTTGATCCAGGTTGTAAGTTCGGATTTCCTTAAAATGCTCACGAAACGAATACTTTTTAAATTATATTTTTAGTACACAGATCTTTTATAGAACAGAAAGCTTTCTAAAACAGTTTATGAATATCTTTTTGCATTCTCAAGATGTTGAAGTTTTTGTAATTTCTTGTTTTGTACAGTCAGCGAGAATTTGAATTTTCAAGTATGTATGACGATGTTTTATTTCAACCGGGAATATAAAATACTGCCGAAGCATTTCCTCGAAAAGTTGCCTGAAAACTTGAAGCGTTTTGGCAACAAAAAAATACATGCTAACAGTAGTAGAACAAAATAACAATTAAAAGATTTTCCCTGTCGTGTTTTGTCGACGAGTTTTCGTTTCCGTCTCGTAAATGACATTTTCTCGCAATTTTGAAGAGGTCTGTAACCTGGTAAATTGCTCGAATATGACACAACATCTTACTTGAGTTGCATAGCATATTTTAAATCAAATGGTTTACCGTTTCTGATGATGATGATAAAATTTCTCCCTGACTTTGTTGTCGTGGAGGTAAAATAAACTGATTTAATGAGTCTGAGGAAACGACGTGAAGCATTTGGAAATGTATGAAGTTTACTATGAAAAATGGAGCAAAACATGAGCTTTTTATTGATCTCAATCGGCCATTGATTTTATCTTGTTCAAATTTTATGATCAAGTTTTTTTTCTACTGTTTAATGATAATTTTCGTGAATCTTTGCTAAGTCAAGAAAGATTGTGTTCTTGTTCGATGCAACAGCGCCCTTTTTTCTTCCCTGACGTTGTACTTAGGTCTCTATTAGGATTCCTAATTTAAGAACGTGCTTGACATAGACGATGTGCATCGCTAGAATTCCTAGTATTCCCGTCTTGATTCATACGTAGTTTTCTTGTTCAAACCTCGGCTACTTGTTGTGACATTGCCCCCTTTTTTAGCGAACTTGTAAAATTTAAGGTTGGAATTCGGGTACAAAGTCTGTGTGCAGGCAAATGCTATGGAACCTCGTGTCACTTAGATACAATTTTTGTTATCTTTTTAGGCTAAAGCCAATAGCGTTCCATCTTGTGTGGTTATAATCAGGATTCTGCGTGATATGAGGGATCGGCTACCGGTGTTTGCATCTCTCAACCCTTGGGTAAGTTATGATTTACATTGGTCATGTGTCGGTCTCTTTTACTGTAGCAAACACTCTGTGAGCAGTAGAAGATTATTCAGTAGGCTTAAGCTTACACTACCGTGCTTTCGAAGGACTTGTGGTATCTAGACATGATTAGTGTTTGGTTTTTGCTATTCCGGACTATCTAAATGTTCTCAGTGTGGACCATTTATGTTGTTGAAAATCGTACGAGCAATTACATATTCAGGACAAACGGCTATCGACTTTTTAAATGTGCGATGCTCAGAGCTCATGAAGTAGTAATTTTCCCAGTTTCCCTAACCTTGTCTTTGAATTTCGATTCTTCTTTTGGAGTTTGAAATTTTCCTCTATTGTTTACACTATGAGTTACGATTGCAAGCCGATAAATGCAAAAGCACGATGCGCTAGGAACGCAAACATCGTTAAGACACTGACATAAGTGGAGAAATACATATCACTTAAAGGCTCACAACTTTTGTCATTGCCTACAGGCCGCGTAATTTTTTATTCGCCACTGCCTTCGAGAAATTTATCTTTGAAAGAGTTATCGCTCTAAAGGCGGTTACAGCTATAGTTTGGTCTGCTTGGTGGTAATTCAAGTTGCTTAATGAATCTCGGGAAAAATATACAAGATCAATTAATATACCTCTAGCACAATTTTATTATTAAGCAGTATCAAATCTTTGCGTGACTTCCATATTACTTGCGATAGTTAGGTTTTTATGGCACTTTCAAAATGGCTAAATTGTCATTTCCGCTGCTTTTGAGGGAATAACATGCTTGTGGGGGAATGGCACGAGTGTTATTCATCACGTCTAGCAACGTACTCGTTGTACAAGTCCAATTGCATTTCGATAAAATTGGAAATTAAGTTGAATGTAACCGTGGATGGTTCAAAGATGGCAAAGCTTTTTGTGAAAAAAATATTTTTTTAAACTTCAATATGTTTGAAAAAATCACTACACATTAGACAGCGCTTCAAAGCCATCTCCGGCCATTCAACAAAAATATTTCTCACTTTAAGCCTTGTGTAGTCATTTCATTGTTTTGGCATGGAATATAGTATAAAGCAAATTCGGAATTTGCTTTATGCTATATTTCTTTAAGTTGTCGGCTGGTCATGGTTTTTGGCATGGAATGTACACGGAATGTACTCACACTATATCTTAATCATACTTGTGCTGTTGTTGTATAACATCTCTTGTTCAAAACAAACTTTCAAAGCATCAAGGGCAAAGCTCATTGTGACTAGCTGTTTGTTGTGTGAGGGTGTGTCATCGATTCAAGTTGGAATTCTTTTAAGAGAAGTGAGGATTTCTATGACAAAGGTGTTAGTATTTAGCAAAATCATTCGGTTTGAGCAAACATTTATTTGATGTAGTGAGCTAATTAAATAAGAAGATTCAATACAAAACTATAATCGTAACGAACGACTCAGAGGAATTTTAATAGTTTATATATACAAAAATATCACTTGACTAAATAGACTGAACTATATATGTGAATACGAACTAGCGTTCTATTTTTCGTATAGTGATGCAGTATAATCTTTAACACTCCCTCTCGAAAAATATGAACTGTAACTAATCAATTAAACATTTAAAGAGTTCTTCTAAATTTCATGAGTTCTCTCATACTTTGAAATTTCGTCTTCCCTAATGGTTTGGTCAGCAAATCTGCTAGCATTTCATCTGTAGGACAATAGTCAAGACGTATTTCTTTATTAGATACTCTATCACGGATACAATGACATTTGATATCGATATGCTTGGTTCGAGGATGATACTTTGGATTTTTGGATAATGCTATAGCTCCTTGATTATCTTCTTTAAACGGAGTGGGTTTTCTTTGAACAAAACTTAAGTCTGAAAGCAGTGCACGTAGCCACATTGCTTCTTGAGAAGCCAAAGATGCAGCAACATATTCTGCCTCCGTTGATGAAAGTGCTACGACACTTTGCTATTTACTAGCCCAACTGATTACTCCTCCGCATAAAGAAACAGATATCCTGATTGTGATTTCCTTCCATTTGGATTACTTCCCCAATCTGCATCAACATAACCTTTTAAGTCTATATCAACCTCTTTCTTTCCATCATATACAATTCCGTAATCAATTATTCCTTTGACGTATCGCAATATACGTTTTGCAGCTATCCAGTGTTCTTTTCCGGGTTTCGAACAAAATTGATTTACCATTCCCAGTGCTTGTGCAAGGTCAGGTCTTGTTCCAGTAACTGCATATGTCAATCCTCCAATCAACGCTTGATACTTAGTAGTTTCAACTGGCTCTTCTTGATTGGGTAGCAACTTTGCTCCTTGATTAACAGGTGTTGCAACCGGTTTACACTGATCCATACCGAACTTTGCCAATAAATTAGTAAGATATTTCGATTGATGTAATTTCATTCTTTTCTTTCTCTGTCTCGTTCAACTTGAATTCCAAGACAACAACTTATTTCTCCAAGATCCTTCATTTCAAAACGTTTTCTTAATGCTTCCTTTTCTCTTTGCAATATTTTGAAATTATTACTGGCTAGAATTATGTCGTCAACGTATAAGGCAATAACCATAATATCATCTCCCTCTCGCTTTATATACAGGCAAGGGTCTGATTTTGATTGTAGATATTCTGAACCTTTCAAAATTGGTCGATGGTGATGTACCAACATCGTGATGACTGTTTCAATCCATAAATGCTCTTGTTCAGTTTACAGACGAGTTTTTCTTCTCCCTTTTTTATGTATCCTTCAGGCTGGGACATGTAAATTTCTTCTTCCAATTCACCGTTCAAAAAGGCTGTAGAAACATCCATTTGATGTATCTCAAAATTAAGCTGGTTCGCAATTGCCAACAAAGAACGAATTGATTTATACTTTGCAACAGGCGAAAAAGTTTCGTCGTAATCCAAACCTGGTTCCTGAGAAAAACCTTTTGCGACCAGACGAGCTTTATGTCTCTCTACAGATCCATCCACGTTGTATTTTACTTTAAATACCCAACGACAATTGATAGTTTTTCGTTTTTCGGGAAGGTCAACTAATGTCCATGTTTCGTTCTTGATATGAGCTGCGTATTCATCATCCATGGCATATTTCCAATGCTTCTTATCAGGACCAGTTAGAGCTTCATCTACGGTTGTGGGTTCTGTTAAACTTAGCTCTTCATTTATGAATTACCTTCACCGAATCATAAAGACGATACCACAATAGATCCTAATCAAGACATGAATCAGTCAAACATTTTGCAAGAAACAGAAATCGAAGAACAACCACGACGTTCATTTCGTTAACGAAAACCTCCAGAAAGATATGGGACAGTGATTACTGGAAATTGGTGGGAAAGTAACACAGCATTCATAAATGAAGAGCTAAGTTTAACAGAACCCACAACCGTAGATGAAGCTCTAACTGGTCCTGATAAGAAGCATTGGAAATATGCCATGGATGATGAATACGCAGCTCATATCAAGAACGAAACATGGACATTAGTTGACCTTCCCGAAAAACGAAAAACTATCAATTGTCGTTGGGTATTTAAAGTAAAATACAACGTGGATGGATCTGTAGAGAGACATAAAGCTCGTCTGGTCGCAAAAGGTTTTTCTCAGGAACCAGGTTTGGATTACGACGAAACTTTTTCGCCTGTTGCAAAGTATAAATCAATTCGTTCTTTGTTGGCAATTGCGAACCAGCTTAATTTTGAGATACATCAAATGGATGTTTCTACAGCCTTTTTGAACGGTGAATTGGAAGAAGAAATTTACATGTCCCAGCCTGAAGGATACATAAAAAAGGGAGAAGAAAAACTCGTCTGTAAACTGAACAAGAGCATTTATGGATTGAAACAGTCATCACGATGTTGGTACATCACCATCGACCAATTTTTGAAAGGTTCAGAATATCTACAATTAAAATCAGACCCTTGCCTGTATATAAAGCGAGAGGGAGATGATATAAAGATGATATAAAGATTAGTAATCGTAAATTCTTCTTTAATAAATCTTGAATTCATTTCATTGAGATCAACTATTTCTTTCTTTGTTTGTTTGATAAATTCATCTTCATTAAACAAGACATCTCTGGATATATAAACCTTTTGAGTCTCAAGGTCAAAAAGTCTATATCCTTTACTTGAAAGACTGTAACCAACAAATATACATCTTTTTGTTTTCGAATCCCATTTCTTTCTATTTTCCTTTGATACATGCATATAGGCAGTACATCCAAATACCTTAAAATGCGATACATCTGGTTTCTTTCCATAGAAGCTTTCATAAGGTGTCATTCCATTAACAGCTGCTGTAGGACTTCGATTTCTAATAACGACTGCTGTGCATACAGCTTCAGCCCAAAACCTTTTCTCAAGATTTGCATGACACATCATGGACCTAGCCGCTTCTTGTATAGTTCGGTTCATTCTCTCAGATACACCATTCTGTTGTGGTGTTCTAGGTACACTTAATTGATGTTGAATTCCCTTTTCTTTAAGATAGTTCATGAACTCTTTGGATCTATATTCACCGCCATTATCTGATCTAAGGATTTTGATCTTCTTCTCTGTGAAATTTGTAACCATAGCTTCATATTCCTTAAACTTCTCTAATACCTCATTTTTTCTTTTTATAAAGTAAACAGCTGTGAATCTGGACTTATCGTCAATAAAGGTAACATAGTAACGACTACCACCATAACTGTTTTCTTGCATAGGTCCACAAACGTCACTGTGAATGATTTCAAGAATTTCCTTTGCTTGAGTTGCTTGTCCTTTGGGAAATGAAATTCGATTCTGTTTGCCCTTTGCACAACCTTCACAGAACTTAGGTTCTTTTGTTGACTCAAAATCTAACCCATTAACCAATTTGTGATCTCTCAATAATTGCAAATTCTTTATACTCAAATGACCATACCTCTGATGCCATAAATCCTCTTGATGATCTTTTTTAACCATATTGACATCATGGAATTTATCATTCTTTAAACTTGCATCAAGTATGTATAAGCTATTTCGTAGCTTACCAGATCCCATGACAGTTCCTGATGTGTCAAAGATAACACATCCACTTTCTTGAAGATGAATTGAATATCCTCGCTTAGTCGTGGCACTTACTGAAAATAGATTTTTCGCAAGGTCTGGAACATGCAAAACATCCACCAATCTTACAAGTTTATATTTCTTACCAGCTTTGATGTTAAGCCAAATATTTCCTTTTCCAAATGCTTGGACAACACGATTATCTCCCAGACGTACCTTTTGTGGGCTTGCAAAATGAACATAGCCAACCATCATTTTCTTTTCATATGACATGTGTTGGGATGCTCCTGAGTCTATATACCATTCAAAGTCTTTATGATTTTTAGATTCCGATGACCAAAATAATGCATGTTCAACAGATGCATTAAATTATGTATCTTCTTTTCTTTCTTTGGGGTCTCTTGACTTATTTTTCTTGGGTTTATTGCAATTTCTTGCCCAATGTCCAGGGATTCCACAATTGTAACATTTTCCTTTTTTCTTGTATTTTATTTTTATTTTATTGTTTCTCTCATTTTTTGACAATAAAGCATCTTCTCCAGCATCTGCACTTGATAAATTTCCTTTACGTTTGTAGTCTTCATGCAACAACCTTGCTACTACAAATTCCAATGTTAAATCATCAGCACGAGACTCTAAAGCTGTAATCAAGTTACTGTAGGATTCCGGGAGGCTACATAAGAGCGTTGCAACCTGATCATCCTCTGTTATAGATGCACCCAGCGCTTCAAGCTGACTTGCCAAAGCTTTCATTTTATTAATATGCTCAGTCATAGATTCATCAATCCCCATAGTTGCCGAGAAATATTTCTTTCGAAGAAACAGTTTGTTCGCCAAAGACTTTACTTCATAGTGGTCTTCCAATTTCGACCATGCTTCCTTCGCTGTTTTAGCCGATCGAACTATTGACAATTGTTCGTCCTTTAATGATAAACAGATTGTAGCGAGAGCTTTTCTTTCTCGTCTTTGAAATTGTTTGCGTTGAGTTTCAGTAGAATCTTCAACAGAAGGCTCAACCTCGACGCCATTAACAATATCCCAAAGATCTTTATCTTCTAGGATCATTTGTAACTTAAATTTCCAAAGATGAAAGTTCTCTCCATTAAATTTTTCGATTCGATACAACATTCCGTGTTCGTCACTACCTGACGCCATTGTCAAAACTTGTCAAAAATACGGCTAATTTATCTATAAATTACACTCAACAAGTCTCAAACCGAACAGGCGCTCTCTGGGCCCATAACCTGTTAGTATTTAGCAAAATCATTCGGTTTGAGCAAACATTTATTTGATGTAGTGAGCTAATTAAATAAAGAAGATTCAATACAAAACTATAATCGTAACGAACGACTCAGAGGAATGTCAATAGTTTATATATACAGAAATATCACGTGACTAAATAGACTGAACTATATATGTGAATACGAACTAGCGTTCTATTTTTCGTATAGTGATGCAGTATAATCTTTAACAAAAGGTCCTAGTTGTGTTCGTGCGATCTGTACATGTTTGTAAATGTAGATCGTCCAGGTTGGTATAGTCCTGAGAAGGACTGTTTTTGTTGTTGTTGACTGACGTTTCGACAACCTTAACGGTAGTCATCTTCAGAGTCAAATGAGGAGTAAACGTCAGGTTAGCCGTATTTATATTTGCCAAATACAGTCCGAATATTAGCCGAATACGGCTAACCTGACGTCTACTCCTCATTTGACTCTGAAGATGACTACCGCTAAGGTTGTCGAAACGTCAGTCAACAACAACAAAAACATTCCTTCTCAGGACTATACCACCCTAGACGATCTACATTTACAAACATGTAACGATACTTCCGGGTTCAAACCATTTACTTTATTACGTGCGATCTGTGTTAGAAAAAAGTGAGAGCAAAGGCAGGAAACACAAATGCAATCACCTTATGGTCTACATAATGACCTTGAATACAGCGAGGAAACAAAACTCGTTAAAAAGTGACAAGAGGGCGATAACGTCTTATTCGACTGTTGCCAGGTACCATTATATCGTGTTCTCAACCGAACTTCGTTAAAGCGAAGAAAAACAGATTTCTTCGTGCAGTAAGTTCAAAAATGCGCAAAAGAAATTACATATGCTAAAGACAGCGTTCTATTCGATACCGCTGATCGTCTTGGATTTCATAAGTTACTCAGCGTTCTAGAGCTGTGTTATCAAATACAATCTTAGTCAACCTTTTGAAAGGCAACGTATCGTTAAAGTGTACGACACTGTACGTGCGAAAAAATGTCTTTTCTTCGTTTGAAAAGATTGAATATTTATTTGTGGACATCATGCATTGTGTAATTATGTCACTATTTTTGTATTGTATACGCAGACGAGATAGTCTGCTTTACCCAAAATGGCGTCCTCCGACGTCTCTTGAACACATTGTTATGGATATGTTGATTGCGCAACGACGGAATCGTCTGAAATCTTCAGTGTCCTACTTCTAAATAAACAATCAATTATTTTCAGGCTTTGGAATTATTAGTTGAGAAATGTCTCAGCTGTTCCGAGGTTCCTCTTGGCCCAGGTGAAGCTTTTCGTAGGGTTTTGGAGTGCATTGCATCAGGTGTACTTTTGCCAGGTACAGTTGTTAAATAATTATTATTGTTATAAGACAAGATCTCGCCAAAACAATCCTTTCAACACAACATGAAAAAAAATTCACCCCGAGATTTATTGTTGTAAGATCTGCATAAATAGATACTTCAACAAAGCACTACGTAAACTTTAGATAATTTGCTAACTGTTATGTAAACAATGAGTCACCTTGCTTTTAAAAAAAGACTCGTCGTCGCTTGAACTCAAAATACCCAATTTCAAAATGAGCATTACAAAATTGTGTAATCAGTTTCAGTCACTATTCAGCAACATTTTTAGTTTGTTGGTATTTTGGTTCACAAGTATGATGTCAAGATAATTATGCTCTTATCTTTTTATCCTAAGGTACAATTCATTATAGCGACATTTCATAATTGAAAGAGACTTTCATATTTTGCATATCTGTTGTACAATGTGACGTATAGGTCCTAAAATACTGTTGGTATTAACTCGTTCAACTCGCTCCAATTGAAGAATGTTTTCAGCCCAACGATTCGCCTTCGATTATAAAAAATAAAATCTGTTTGGTTGTTCGTTGTCTGTTAGAGACATGACATTCTAATGATTGTTAAGGTGGCCCTGGTCTACATGATCCATGCGAAAAAGAGGTGACCGATGCTGCCAAAGATATTACTATTCAAGAACGAGAAGATCTCACTGCGAATGCGCAGGTATGAAATTAACCACTTCCGTCAAGGATATCAATACACGCGATGTGAATATTGTTCTTTTACGCAATACAACACTAAATGTACACATCGTCCATTTACCTCTGTGATAAAATTGATTGTCGACCTCGTCGTATGAAATTGATTTTTCTTTCACAGCATTTTCTTCGTCTGCAAGCATTTCACCAACTTTACACCGTCCTCGATATCGACCCGCCCCCTAGTTCGTCGAAATTTCGCGTTGGACGATACGGGCCTGGTGGACGTTTCAAGAGACGGCGAGAAGACAATGGGAATGTTGATGGAAGCGCAAAGAAAGAAAAGAAAGACGGAGAAGAAAAGGTTAATGATAGTATCGAACCATCTGGGCTCTCTGAAAATACCGGAGGAACAACAGATTCCGCCACCAGCGAAAAACCGCTTGAAGAAAAGTGCTAGGAAGCATTGTCTTAAGTAGAGAAATTTTAGAATGAGATATTTATCTATAATGACTATATTCTGTATGCATTGAACCACCCCATTGTTTTAATTTTGTTTGTTGGTAGATTCGTGCTTCCTTTTCTGTTTGTAATTTTGTCTCACGCTTACATATGACCGTGCTTGCCTTTAAAGTTGGCAAAACTTGAGATTTTGTTTGTTTAGTTAGTAAAGTAAAATCATGAAAAGAATACATGTATATAGTTGGTTAAATGCTGCGTTTTGTTTCGGTTGGCTTTTGTCGAAAATGAGTATCAAATGATTGATGATTTGTGGTTAAGTGTCGTTTCTTGTTCTTGTTTTCGTGGAAACCATTAATTGTTTTGAAAAATAACATCAAAAGAGTATCCTTTATGTTATACGTTCAAAGCGGAACTATAAAAAATCCAATTCTCGTAAATCGCAATGCTAAATTCAGACATGTTAAGAAAGAAATTACTAATATGACGTTTGGTTTTAAAAATTCTCGTAATTATAACAAGATCATTTACTTCTACACGCTACAAGAATTCATAGTAGAACGGACGAGCTATGAGCTGGCGTGGTCTTCTGAAATTAAATACGTCTGACTAAACATGGTTTACGTATACAAAACATAATAGGATTCGTTTGAGGATCAATTTGACATAGAGAAGAATGTAGTTCACTGCACTTTATATTTAACTTTAGTGCAATGCTGTGCCAGGAATTTAAAATGTAGGCCACACCCTAAGTGTGTTACTTTCAAATAAAGTGTTCAAAAAGTGGGCAACCTTTCTAACTCATCAAGTCAGTCCTGTTTTAATAATCGTATTAAATAGATACACCAGTTTACTACAAAAAGACTTGGGAAGCGAAAGCACCAGTCAGGGCCCTAGCTAGGACGTTAATTGGGGGGGGTGAGGGTCGGGCACTACTAAGTATATGGATACACCCCCCCCTATTAACGTTCTAGCTACGGCCCTAGCACCAATAGCTAGCTAGTTCAAAATTGGATTTCTTAGTATTGGAAGTCATCTGTGAAAATAGTGCTCACCGTTGACAATTAAAAAACAGCTTCAACCAGCATACAATTTCATATCATATAAGAAAAAAACTTGATGCAAAAAACAAAATGTTGTAAAGTCGAGATAAGTACAATGTACGGTGATGTTTCTACTTCATTCCAAAGGTATTGTCAAACCAGAATGAAAGATTTACAAACTTTATATCATATTATGTACATGCAAGAAAAGATAATGTAATAGAATAACACTACATACTTTATTGACAAAAATAGCTACTTGTTCTATGAAATAGACCTCGAGTTCTTTATGTAAAGCTTCAAGGAATAGCAGGAGGCTCAAATTGGTATGTGTGAGAGAGTGAAGAATTCGAGTTTTAGCGTTAATGATTGATGGAAGGAGGGCGGTGTGTCAATAGTATCTTCTGTTGTTTCTTCCAAGTGTATGACGACATCAAATTTTCCCGCGGAGTTCAATGATTTAAAATGACTTGAAAGGCCAACAAAACGAAAATTTTTCTAGTTAAATGATACATTTAATTGAGGATGACTCTTAAAAAATGACAGTTATCTCTTTTCACGAAGTCGTTGAACGAATCAAAATTTTTCTCTGGTCGTTTCACACCCAACTGTGTGTTAAACACCACAAGTCATTCTGTCACCTGTTTTAATTCTCAAATAAGGCCAAATTAGTTGTTTCAATTTCAAATATGCATAGTATTAAATCAGAATATTGTGAAATTGCTCGAGAAAATTTGTCTGATGATAAGTATTGAATCTTTGGATGAATCCAGGCTACCAGGGCTTATGTAATCAGCCCGTTCCTTTTACATATTATATTGCCACAAACGAGATTACATTGCCGTGAATTTCGTTGTGCTATTTGGTAACTATTACAATACGTAAATAAAACCAAACCTTGTTTTTGAGTAGGCCGAGTGAATGCCTAATGGACGTTTTGTTCACAAATTTAATGAATTTATGTGTAGATGAATGTGTGTAAATGTGTTTTGATATTTTCCTGTAAACTGTCGATGAAAACTACCAATTATAGTATGCGGTGTTATATCGATGTTATGTGAATAATGAGCAAAGCTGAATTGATTAAGTCATTTTAAATGGTCTTCACGTTGCAATCAGAAAACTTGAAGTCATAAACACTTTAACGCTTATCTTTATGTACCTACCACTGTAACAACAGTTAAATCAAAAGAGAAGGCAGTCGGTTTCTTAAATCCTACCATAAAATTTTTTTTTCGTTCATTCATTGGAAACAATTGATTTTCTAAAGAAATGAATGATAATTTCGTTGGAAAATTGCGTTGCAGTAGTTAAAATTGGGCTGGCTTCGTCATTGCATAAAATTTTTCATTGTGGTTTGATTATGACTTTGGAAGGAACTCGAAATATCATAGTAACTTGTAGTGATGTTTTTTAAAAGCTCAAGTTTTATGAATAGATAAGTTATTGTACACTTTCTCTGACAATATAGTTTCAACACTATATTTCGAGGCTCGTACTACGAAAAAGCATTTGCAAAATTTGTCAAGAAATAGGAACTTGCTTAAGTATACAATAGTTTTCACGTGTACTTTGCATCTTACAGGATTAAAGGTTAGAGGTTATCCTAATATACAGTCAATCTATTGTGAGAAAAATACAAAAATTTAAGAAACTTGGCAAAATACAGAAACCAAGAGAAAAAAGCTGGTGTGATAACCATTCTTTTGCTTGCTAGTCTATTTCACGGCTGTGTAAAGAATGTGTATCAACCAAGATGCATTGCGCGACGGCCATTTTGTGGGTCGACGAAATGACGGATTGTTATTGTAGTCTATGCAGCTAAGGCAAACGATGATGATATTTTATGTGAAATAGAGTTTTTATTCAATGTTTTTTGTTATTTTTCATATAAATTAGATTCCGTATCAAGAAATTGAATTCAGTATGCAGCCAGCTCAAAAAGGAACGATGTAAACATAAACAAAAGTGCGCAATGCATCTTGGTTGACACACATTCTTTAATACGTCAGACTCAAAAAATAGGAAGAACCTTGCCATTCTTTGAGATTTTTATTGTCTAAAACGCCCTGGAAGCGCGCTATATCTATCTAGTTCTCCTACAAAACAAAGTCTTCAATCCAATATAATGCAAGATGTTCAACATCGTCATTGGTTCGTTTTTGCAATAGGAATGTCAATCTTGAATTGACTTTGACTTTCTATATCAAGCATTCGTTGAAAGCAGTTTTTGCAACGTTTCCATGATAAAACATGACTCTTCCCAGAATTCGCTACTCTTGAGAATCAACAGTATTACTCGCATTGCCAGAATTTGTTCTACTTTCGAGTGGCAGCTCCTCGCCTTCATCCCTTTGTACCATTCTGCTGTTTGATCTGCTGTAGTATGCAAATGGCATCGGCGATGGATATCTAAAGGCAAAGGGGTATCTCGGATGTGCGTATCCAGGCGTCATGCTTGATCCATTTGTGTATGCTAAACCAGCTTCGTATCGCTGGTAACTTCTATAATAATGCTCGTAAAGCGATCTTGGTACGCCGGGGTGGTGGTAATATGATACCTGAGGATAAAATGGGGTCATAACTGGGGTAAAAATGGGTCTAGCGGGTGGCAAATTGGGACTCTCTCGACCCATAGCTTTCTCGTGTTTCCTCCATTTCGCTCTTCGGTTTTGAAACCATACCTGAATGAAAAGATGAAGCTATTACATACACGTTTCAAGAAAAAAAATGAAAACTGTTTTTTAAATATGTCAGGCAATCTATATATCTCTATATTCTATATTATTTTTCAACCATTAACTTTGATCTCTTAAGAAAATTGGTGTAGTTCGAGAACAACTTTGTTCAAGATTTGCGTGTGTATAAATAAACTTCGCTTGATGTTTGTTGATCTCTTAACCCAACGTACAGGGATAAACTGTGCGTGGTAAGCACAAGCACTAAGTTGTAAAAACACATTAAAAAGATAAATTTATTGATTTTAATTACATATTGTTTATGTTTTTTGCCTTCTATATTTCCCGCGCGAACCACGCATCCCGCGAGAGCGCCTGTGTTTTTAAAACGCTATTATATTTATTTATATTTTAAAACGCTATTTATAAACGAACCAATCGAACACATTCAAAGTTCAGGAAAAGATCAGGTATTGCTTTACCTTTTCGACCTGGTAAAAGATTCAATGCTATGACAGCTTACTAATGTAAATCTTAAAAACATCGGCTGTTTCAGCCGTTCCGAATCAAATGTCTTCGAATGAAATTGAATGGAATTAAACAGGCAGGAATGAAATTTAAGAGAAATGCAATGACAGACCATTTGATGTACAGTTATGTTGCTGATTGATGTTTTAACTTTCATTGCGGTGGTATTCCTTAGTTATCATAGCTAAGGTTGTTGCAACGCGAGTCACTACTATCGTCGCTAACAGTCTCTCTCAGAACTTCACCAAACTGGAAGATCGACATCTAAAAACTTTAGAGACTACCTATGGTTTATTTTAAGTCCATTTACTCAATGTAGAAATGTTGAATGTTTATGAGCAAAATTGGTCATGAAAACCTAACTCAGTTTGCAAATCCCCGCAATATACTATGCAAAACAAAAAAAATTGAAATTGTCTTTAAAATATTGTCGGATGATATTAAACATGTGGTATTGGTGATTGAAACTTTTAATGACTTTATAACTCTTAACCTGCTATGAATACATCGAAAACGTTTCGGTTTTTCGGCTTTTTAGATGAAGCCAATATCATTCATGCATTACATTTATTTAAGCCATGCTTTAAGCATCATGGAACAAATATCGTTAATGCATTTGATTGATAATAGTATCAGCAACGGATTAATACTCATTAAATATATTCGCTGTAGTCAACGAGGTGTCTCATCCTTTAAAATGTTTATTACGAAAGGCAACGGTTTGGTAGTTGAATGCAAGACTAATTTTCAGGACGACGTTGTCTGGCTATCTTTATAACAGGGAATAGGGGAAGGGAAGGGAACGGTCATGGAATAGAATGAAGGGAACGGAATGGACATAGAATGAGCAAAGAAGGAATGGGGGATGAGCGAGGAATGTACTGGAAATGAACGGAGACTACAAATGACAAAACTAGATTATTAGTTTTAATTATATAAGATATATGAATCCAAAATTACATACGAGCGAAATGACTCTTTCATTGGCTAGTAAACAGTATTTACGACTTTTCCAACACAAACTGTAGATGTTTCGCCTTATAACGATGTTTGTTGCGATTTTTAACGATCCTCTATAGCCTTATTTTCTCGAGTTTTAAAAGGCAGAAGAAGATTGGTGAACATAATAAAGTGTTTTTGTAAAGTTGCTAGGGATTGAGCATTTTATGCTCGAAAAATGTTGGCCTACTTCACTAAAAGAGAGCCTATTGTATGCTCTATTTGAAAATATTTGATTAAAATGTTATACGACAAAAGTTCTCAAAAAATTTGAAATAGTTTGATTTATTCCCCGCTCCTTCCATTGGCCATTCTTTTCCTTTATTTCCCGTTCCCTGTTGTAAAGATAGCCGACGTTCTCTTAATTGACGATCATTATAGATTTTGTCCATTAATCGATTTACGCATTGTGATGTTTTGATTTTGTGCCAAACGGCGATAACTTTAAATTTACTAGGATAATCTCCAATTGTCACAACCTTTCAGGCAAGTTTCGTGCAGTCTCAGTAAACATGGTAATTTCAATTTTATTGTGAAATGTGCATAAGATACGTCGTCTATTCGTTTATAGTTGTTCAAAAATTGTATATTCGATTCACTTTAGTAAAATTCTTCATCTTCTCTTTGCGCGCCATCCAAAAAAGATTTTCAGCTTTTACATAAAGTCTACTCAGAATCTCATCTAGAAACTCTGTTGTACCCTTTTTTCGCTCTATATCAGGATCAATAAAAATCTATTTTGGGCACAAAAGGCACTCGTAATCCTAATGGCTTCCTCAAAACATGTCACGGTGCGTTAGTCACAAGTACAGTTTGGCTTATAATCACCTAGTTTATTGTATACAAGTGATAAATCGTCCCGAGTGGACATATAAATTAGTAATAATTGCTTAAAAAATTTCGTCGGCAAGCTACATAATGCATTTCTATCGATTAAAGTGCGATTGACAAGTTTGCTAAAGATTACAACATTATTGCGCTGTTAGCTGACATGCTTGTTTGATAATCACCTGTATCTAGATGGTGTGAAATAGCGAAAACAAAACCTTCCGGGCAATATTTCTGGCTTCGACAAAATATTATCATCGACTTGAATATTCGAAAACATCGACTTGAATATTTCTCTGCTTAATTCACGATTTCATTTTATAAAATGCAAAATGCCTATTTGAGACACCAACCTGAACACGAGGCTCGGACAAGTCCAATATCTTCGCGAGCTCTTCACGGGCATACACATCAGGATACTGGATTGTTTCAAAATGCCTTTCCAACTGATGCAGTTGACTTGTCGTAAACGTGGTACGACTTCGCCTTGCTTTTCGCGAATTTTTCTCGTCTTCGTCAAAATTTTTCAAATCTCGATCATCTTCGCGTTCTTTTTCTGTCATTTCTGATCTTTTTCGCTTCACGCTGGCGTTCTCTTTCGAAAAAAAGTATGAAAATGCACATTAATTGATCGATGAACTATGATCAGTTCAATCATGCAAAATTTCAAAGAAACTGCGAATAAGTTCACCGACAAATTGAATGGTTAGATGGAGCTTTTGTGAGTTGAATCAATTCAAAAAGTTTTAATTCTGATGACCATTGTCTATGTTCACATGTTGTCGAAGAGGATGAACATGTCTTAATAATTAAAATCAATTAATGCATTTGCATTTCACAGCTGAGACCAGATACGCCATCTTCACATAGCCCGCAAAAAAAGAGACGTCCTCACCGAAACGAAGGGATTTTTAATAAGAAAAGCAAACATGCTTGACAGGTAGAAATTTGGAAACAATACGAGAATAAGGATTGCAGGAAATTGGATTTCACCGAACTATTTATAGATAGTTTGCAACTCTATGTTAAACTAACACTTACAGAGCTAATTTCCAACCCACAAAAGCAATTTAAAAATGGGCGCATCGTAATTATTTAATAATTCTTATTTACTACATTAAGATTTGATTACATTATTTTAAATTTTTCGAAGAGGATATATCTTTCCAGCGTTATCGGCAAAGCCTTGAGAAAACTCGCAATTATTACTGGAATTTAGCTTACTAAACCACCGAAAACTGAGAAGCCTTCCTTAAGACAACTTAAACATAACTAATGCTTTTATGTATCTCTTTTCATTATACTTAAGGCACTCGTAAATCGTTTAAGCTATCAGTTTATTACATTCTAATTTATAAGTTTTGCCATCACAAGCCTTTAATTTGCACATATGAAACTTCGTCGAATCAAAAATTACTGTAAAGCAATAAACAAGTGGTTTGTCTAACCTGTGTCGGGCCTTGAAGGATTGGCTCTTTTCCGATGTTTTGAGTTGTTTTTTCCTAAAATCTTTGCTATACTGTGGGAATTCTGTCCAAGCGGAACCTGGATTTTAGTATCACCATGAGAGTCTTCGATGTCGCTTTGCGATGCTTCGAACATTTCTCCCACACATTCCTCTTGCGTATTCCTATCGCCATTCTCCATAAAACCTCGATTCGGCACACGTCACTTCGTACTGTTTATTCACAGAAAATCCTCCTTCAAAATACGAATGAACCTTGGCAAATTACGACTAGCTAGTTTTGTCCGTTGTGAGCACGAGTCGCGATCCTAATGATCATCTTAAACGCAAAAGCCTTCTGTTAACGCCTTAGTCATTTACCGATATTTGTAATTGATGTTTATTACTCTGAACAAAGCTTTGTGTTCAGTGTAACGCTTGCCATTGGCCATCAGGCCTATGCGAATGATTGAGTGCAGTCAAAGTTATTATAGTCGAGATAATAAGATGTTTGTTTGCCGAGCAACAGGAGTCCCAAGTCATGCTGATTTTCGACGATAGCTGAAAGGTCGCTGGTTTTTTATGGATTACATTGAAGGACTATGAACGTGTTTCTTTCCCGTTGATTTTGCAAAAAGAGCAACTTTTTGCGGTCGTGTTTCGGCTGCGTTAAACAATCCGAATGACGTATTTTCCGTTACTGCACCAATTAGGCTTCTTATCTTGCTAAATCAATGGGCAAAATGGTAATTAGCTTTTTATGAGCGCCTATTAAGAAAAGCAGGTAGCTATAGAAACACAGCATTCGTTACATTGTCTCACACAGTTGCTATTAATGAGAAATTCAATTTTTCTCAATTCATTCACAACTTTTATTCAAGGAGTAGTTTTTACTGCATTTCATCTGATAACAATCGCCCCTCGAAAATCTGAGAACTCTTTAGTTTTTCTTCCAGAACAAATATATTTTATCTAACTAGAAGGCGAGAAAATACACAAAATACCGGTAATATCAGTAACGACATTCATACACAAATTATACATTTAGAACAAACATCAACTAAGACCGCACAACGCATGTCATATGCAAACCACCAGAAGTTCGCAGGCTCGAGAAGATAGTCGTAAAACCCCGGTCGGTTTGTTTGTTTTTTCAAGACAGTATGATGGCAAGTTTTCAATTACAGTAGAAGACCTGAGCATTTATGATGACGATAATGAATTTGAGCCTTATATAGTTGATCTCAATTGTATCGAAATAAGCCTAAATAAAGGCTGATTTCCATTTAGTGCAAACTGTCGCGCAACTTTTGTAACAGCGCAACAGTGCAACTTTTTCCGATCACTTTCTTTTCATTTGTAAGCTCTCGATTGGAATAGTTTCACACTGCTGCACACAATTCAAAAGAAAGTGATCGCAAAAAGTCGATCGCGCGAGAATTTGCACTGAATGGAAATCAGCCTCTACAAAAGCCGTTGAGACATGTAAATTCGACGTTTGAAACGGGCCTTAGAATCATTCAAATGCTTCAAAACAGTTTAGTAACTACTAAATTATATCCTAGGTCTACCATGTTTGTCTACGTTTATGTCTATAACTTTGGGCCCACCCTTGTGTCTACCTTTGTGTCTATCTCAATGTCTACCTTTTGTATCCAACTTTGAGTATGCCTTAATTTTCTATCTACCTTTATGTGTACCTTCATATCCACCTTAGAGACAACATTAAAACATGCAGTGGTCGTTTAATAGAATGAGAGACGACCATCGTTTTTAAAAGTAGAAACGTGTTTAAATTTGCTATTTTATTGGACGAGAAGTCATTTTTGATTCTGTTTAGCAAAAATATTTGACCAAATCGATAAAAATGTTTTGCTATAGCATCAAAGATAAAGTATTTTTATAAATTGTGCAGATAAATAAACTGCTAAGCACAGACGAATAATTTTTTGAGAGAATTGATTTTATCATTCCAGACAATATCCTAAGTCTGTTGTAGTTCTTCAGGCAACATATCTTGCAAATGCGTCTCAAACATTTTTTACACAATACTTCATTTTCACACGCCCAATTTCGTTTACAAATATTGTACAATTCACACTGTTATTAGCAGATACCTGAAACATTAAAATTGCATTTTAACTGTAAAAATGTGAACTATAAATTAAAACATTTGTCAAAAAGAAGAGGACATTGTAATTTCTAAAGCATTGTAGATGTAATATATAACTATAGATAATTTTAAAATGAAAACTATATCACTTTGTTGAAAGCTAAATATAAAGGCAATGCAAGTACATTTTTATCTCAATGAAGCTCTTTTAAAATCTTTGTATCATACAAAAACTCTTTTCATGATTTTGAAAGCAAGGGAAAGTTGCGCGCAAAAGCAAAATTTTACAAGGTTCAGGCAAGGAGAAAAAGCACGCGAAGTTTAAGATTGACTCTGTTGACCCTTTTCGGACATACTCTATGATGAACTAAAGACGCGTTTTCACGTCTATACCAAATTGTTGCACAAGTTTGGATTTCTTCACAACATAATACATCCCACAAGATTTTACAAATTAAAATATAACGCGAAACACTAAAACCAAAAATATGTTATGACGTCATGATGGCAAGTTAGCAATGAAAATTAAAAACCTGTAGCATTTTGACGACGACAACGATTTTTTGTTTACAGTTAATCTCGATCCAAATAAACTTGACAAATAAAAGTCGTAGAAAAGACGTTCCTACACAATAGCAGTAGAGAAAAGACGTGAACTTTTACCCTTTTGACTGAGGATGAAAGAGGTGAGGGTAGTATCTGAGGAGACAAATACTTGTATATTTATTTGATGAAATTTTGTATTTCGTCAGTGTGTTTGGCAGTTTAGATATTGAAGTTTATTTTTTCAGGCAATAATTAATCATAAAAAGTTTATGAAAATCGAAACCATTAAACTAACGTTTATTTTTGATGATATATTTTGTAGTCATCAACAAGACATGTTTCAGGCTCACAAAATTGACAAACACCACGCTTTCTACCGTTATAAGTTAACAGTAAATTTTTCCCGTTTATTTGTCCATTAAGCCTATCATTTCAAATGCTCTTAGCTAGAGTCGTCTTCCCTCAAATGAAGTTACGAATAAATGACCAAAATGTGTGTGTAGTAAATTTTTATTATTAAGAAATTTTGTTCTAAACTTGTGTCGTAAAGTTACGAAAATGACCAAATAACTGTATTTGTAATACAAAACTTATTCTTCTTGTACAAAATTTATAACCGGTATAAGTGTAGAAGCCTACGAAGAATTAAAAAAATGGCTGTTTCCTGCATTTTATACAGTATCTGGATATTCATATTTTCTAATCACTTCATACCACTGTACCCCACGAAACACTGAAAACACTCTTACATCATTGAAAGTTAAGCCTTATGGCGAATCTCTCTGTTCACAGACTACAAATTTTCATTACCACAGAAAATGTCAATAGTATAAAGTCTTGCAAACTGATACAAAATTGAAAGAAGTAAAAGAAAAATTTTATGGTTTGTATAGCTACGTCGTACCATGGTTTTGAGTGAAGTTTGGAAAAAATGTGCTCAAGTGAGTTTTTCAACGACAAGTATAACTAGACTTTTAAAGACTAGACTGTCTTTCATATGCTGAGCTGTCACTTATTTTCTTTGGAATAAGCTAATAAAAATTTGCATGGATGATCAAGTTCCACTATAATCCTTTTGATCTCTTGGGTAGTTGCTAGTTAAAGCCTGTTTTTGGAAGATGGCAAGTAGTTTTGTTTAGTTGTAATTTTCTTAGACTTCTTGTCTTTTGAATGCTTACAAAGCATTCAATTTCTTGCTGTAAAAATGTGGATGTCCTGCCCAAACAGCCGATGCGTAATCGAATACTGGTCTTATTTATGACGTATATGTTAATAATCCAACATCTGAAGGTAATTGAGATTTCCTACACAGTTGAAAATGATATAAACTTTCTTTTCCCTTGGATATAATTTGATGAACATGTTCATTCTATTTAAGATCTTTCTGACATGTTACGCCAAGATGTTTGAAGGTATTATCTCTTTCTATTTCTTCGTCACCAATGCAACTAAGGAGTGGTTCTGGTATTGATCCGTAAAGCATATCCACATATCCTTTGTTTTTTTTGGTAACTCGTCTTTCCATTTTCGTAACTCGTCGATTACTTTTTGCATCGAACTGCAATTGCCTCATTCAACTATCTGGACCTTAGTGCGATCATCCGAATATTTACATTTATTAGCATCTATATCTTTAGGAACAGTGTACTCTAAAAATTTATATATGCATTGAAGAGCACTGGTGATATAACAGCGCCTTGTGGCACGCCCAAAGGGCAATGTTGGATGGATGACATTGCTCCTTGTAGGTTGACTTGTTGCGTTCTTCCTGTCAAAAAAATTCGAATCCATTGCCAGAGAATTTATTAATTCCATAGATGCTAATTTTCGTTGTAATCTTTTGTGATTCACCATGTAAATTGCCTTTTGAAAATCCATAAATACAACGTGGACTCTCTTTCTTCCTGATTGAGAATTATCTGTTACATTATACTAATTTTGTATCATAGATATTAAAGCAGATACAGTAGATCGACCATGAGTAAAGGCGTGTTAGTTATTCTTTATTTTGAAACTGATTTACTTTAGGTAATTGAGGAAGAACAGATATAGGTCTGATATCATTTTCAACATTGCTCGGGTTATTGACTTTACCAACTGCAGTTATTAGTGCATGTTTATATTGGCTGAGGTACATGCATTTATACTTGTAATTTCTATATTGTGTACGACTGGTGCACGATCTTCGCAAAAACGTTTAAGTATCCATGCTGGAATTTTGTCAGCTCCTGTTGCTTTTCAGGATTTAAACGCTGTAGACAGCTCTTGACCTGTCCAATAGATGGTAATTGGTAAGGGTGGTTTAATAACCTTGAGCGTTATCTTAAAGATTATCTTCAATTTTTTAGCTGGGTGATTGGTTTCTCCCTGATTTTTTAAAGGTTTGTTGTAATTTTTCAACTAGTTCCAGTACATTTTCATCATATACATTTGTTTTTACATTATTCCCGTCATTAATTCTCAAAAGTGAGAAGATTGATTCATACAATTTTCTAGGTTTAGTCGTACGAAAATCTTTTGCTTTTCGTCTGTAATAGGTTTTTGCGTTGTTAATAAGTTTTGAGACATCAGAACATATTTTTTCATAACGTGCTTGATCTTAACGATAAAAAGCACGTTGTCTGACTTTGATCTTTGATTTTATGAAGATTGCCATGCAAGGTTTATCTAAAGCATACATTTGTACTGCAATCAGACTCGAGAATCTGTTATCTACATTGTTATAAAAGGTCCGTCAATATCTCCAAATCAGATTAAAATAGAGGTCAGGGGCTGGTTGTACGAAGGTTGGATAGCGTTATCCATTCAGTGGGTAGTACATTTTTTAAACTTGTAAAAAAGGTGTTTATATTTTCGTAAGGACAAAGAAATTTTGTGAGCAATATTTTATTTCAGTGATTTCTCAGTTCAAACTTATATTTTTCCTTTTTGATAAGTTTTTTAAACGTTTGAAAAAATTTACTAACCAATGGAAAACACTACCAGGCTTCGTGCAACTGGCCCCAGTAGTCCATATACAACGAAACTTTAAAATTTCAAGTAGTAAATAGGAAATCAAGTTTTTATTTGTGGAAACACCGTTTTGGAGGAGAAAAGAGAAGCGGACGTCTTTCTCACACAGAAATAATTGTGTTGGCATCACATTTTATAAATGAAAAATATGTCGACATGTCCTTACAACCATACAATTGGCAAGCAGGAAAAGCGACGGTAAACGATAGAGTAAAGTTCTTATTCAACAACGAAGTGCTGAGTGATGTGCATTTTATCGTGGGTAAAGGTTTGCAGAGACGTCGAATTCCTGCTCACAAGTTTGTTTTGTCAATCGGTAGCGCCGTTTTCGATGCGATGTTCAATGGTGGTATAGCGAATCCAAGCGAAGATGTTGAATTACCAGACGTGGAATCATCAGCTTTCCTCTCTCTTTTGAAATTCCTGTACACGGACGAGATCCAAATAGGCCCAGAGACTGTAATGACTACGTTATACGCTGCCAAGAAATATGCAGTACCCATCGTTGAAGATTCTTGTGTGGACTTTCTTGAGAAAAATCTACGACCCGACAATGCTTTTATGCTACTTACTCAAGCACGCCTCTTTGACGAATCGCAGTTAGCTTTAAGATGTCTAGATTGCATCGACAAAAACACTTACGAAAGTTTCAACGCAGAAGGCTTCACCGATATCGATTACAGTACGTTGCTCAACGTCTTGAAGCGCGATACTTTAGGTCTGAAAGAAAGCCAGCTCTTCCAGCATGCCTTGAGATGGGCAAAACACGAATGTGATCGAAAAGATTTGACGAAAAACTCGGCCAATCTAAGGTATATGTCCTTCGGATTTGTATGATTTAGTGCAGCAAAGTAGATATAGTGTCAATCTTTTCCCAGTAATCCCGTGATCTGCGTTACTTGAAACTGATCCCTAATCCAATGTAACCTAGGTTAGGGTTCCGATTATAATGTTAGGAAAAAGTTAAGGGCATCGCTAAATTGAGAGATGATGCTTAACATTTTCGTAACATTATGAGTAGTCTGCCGAAATGCATAGTGCCTTTCAGCTTTAAAAACAGTTCTTTTAAAATTCTTGGGTTAACGTTCTGAGTTTAAACAGTTCTTTTAATAACTTTTGCTGTATTATCATTTACCATTGTATTGACTCTTTTTAAAACAATTTTAAATTTGTCATCACAGCAAAGTCTCTATGGAAAATGAAGTTATTCCAACCAGTAACATAGAACCCAATCTACTAGATACTTCACTCCACTGAAATTCTATTGTTGCATGAGGTAGATTACAATCATGAAATGTGGAAAAACTGACATCAAAGAATATCTGCTTTTCATGAATCGATATATATTTGCAAAGTTGATACTCTAGGTTTAGTTTTTAAAATGTTTGATAAGATTGGTTTTTCAAATTTTCTTTTAACTTATTTTTTATTTTCATTTCGAGTTTTGCTTTTTGCCACCTTTCAAGATGGTGTCCTTGCCTCACCTTGACACGATAGTTAGACATCTAGGGGATTGTGTACCCAACACTTGGGTAAGTGCACTGGCCAAAGTACAGAAATCTTATGTCTTTGTTCTATGTTGCTATTTGTAGCCTTTGCATGCTGTGAAAAATGGGTGACCACTAAACACTAAAAGACACTTCAACATAGTGGTGGCATGCATAATTGTTTTGATGGTGTTGTTACGTATTGTCTCTACAAGAAGCTTGTGGTAGGGGGGGGGGCAGCTTTTGGTATTTTTGATGGTCATTTTTTGTGATTTGTTCAGGACCAATAATTTTATGCATTTAATCCAACAAAAACAGTTTTAGGCCCGAAATTTGTCACCGAATTTACTGCTTCATTTGAAATCTCTAGTTAATACATTATTATCAATGAATGTTTTGTTTGTAAATGTAGATCGTCCAGGTTTGCTATAGTCCTGAGGACTGTTTTTGTTGTTGTCAAACATCAGTCAACAACTACAAAAACAGTCCTTCTCAGGACTATACCAACCTGGACGATCTACATTTACAAACATGTAACGATACTCCCGGGTTCAAACCATTTACTTTAATGAAAGTTTTGTCAATTCATATTAACTCAGTTTGCCCTTGTTTGTCATATGTGAAAGCAACTGTTGTATTGCCAATATTTGGATTCTTAATTAATGAAGCTTTGTTGATTATTTAAGGAAGTACTGTACAGCTATACAACTAGGATTCATAATTTACTTTATAAAAAATATTAAAAGCTAATAACACATACATTAAGCAAGGTTCACTTCTGTATATGTATGCATATAAATATAAAATAGCCCAAGGTCTTGACACCTTTAGAAATTCTGTACTCTGCCTGCTTGTTGAGCATCAAGCCAACCCAGACAAGTTTTAAATCCAAGTTTCGCCATCTGACGATATGACCAGTGAACTGAGCAAACCAGTTTTAAGAAACATTACCAGTGAAAAAGTTTTCCAACTAAAAGACTGGCTTTACTTATTTTAGTTATTCCACTAGCATAACTATTCGGTAATTAGTTAGACCTATGTCAGTAGTTTGGTATTTACTGATGTTCAGAAAAATAGATCTCTAAATTAATGAATAACGATATTTGTCTGAAATTTACATAGCATGACCAAATTTGCATTCTTGCCACTTCACAGAGTAAGTCCAGCGCAATACTTTATTACTGTTTAGAAAATGGGAATGAAGTTTTTTGTTCTATTAAATTCTGCTTGTGACACAATAGCTATTACTCAACAATTTGTGAAGTTGTTGGTGGTGGGTCTAACTTCATTGTGTTTTAAATGCAGGATTTGTGTTGTAGAAAAGCAAGCATTGTATAGGTAGAGTGCATGTTACATCATGGCCTTGGTGGCAACATGGCGTTGGTGGTCAAATACAAAAGGAAATTTTATTAATGCTATTGTGGGCACCAGCCGTCGTGGGCGAGCCACATTGTTCGATAATTCCCTGGAGGCTGGTTGCAATCCAAGAATATGTAAAACTCTTGCGAGTTTCGGCACAGCTATATATTGTCTTCGCAAAATGCCTGATATAATCATTAGATATTTTTTGAAAGGTTTTGACTGTTGTAATATCCGTGAGTGAAATTTTGGATAACTGTTAAAAATGTGAATGATAACAGTTTTGTAACATTAAGTGCACAACTGTGAATTCATTAATTCAATCATAAAAAACCTATGAAGTTATGAAGTTGTTTATTAAGTTGTTTCACGCAGTTTCTCGTTTCACGCCAAACTTTACCGCGTGTTTCTATTAATGGAAACACGGAAAATTTCTCAAATGTGAAATGATAGGAATTGAAAAACATTCAAGTCTGTGCAGCAAAACCATAAATTCATGTGAGCTTTTGCAACATTAGAATTTAGTTTGTCAAGTGAATTTATTTTTGTCAAGAGTCAAGGCAGCTTTAGCCATGGCCTTAGTTAACGGTAAAAGTACAGCAAAGCTCGTATTTATTATCAATGCAGTACCTCTCCGAGGTCAGCCTTTGACTTGAAAAGTTTTCATAGCTGGAACTGTTTGTTTTACGAAGTACAATAATGAACCCTTGTTAACCATGTGCGATAGTCTTTACGAAGAAATACCCAACCGAAGTTTTTATGTAGACCATTGTGTGAAGTTTGTACTTAAAGAGGTCCGATATTTCTCCTTAAATGTGGAGTATGCAAGCAAAGTTAATAAAAGGTTTATTATATGGCTTTACTCGACCTGAAAGTCTTCTCTTCCTCGCTCTTTGGCAATGGTTAGCTTTCATTCTCCTAGTTTTCGTCAGTAAAAGTTAATCGTCGATAAAATGTATTGTGAATGTTTTTTGTTTTGCTTTTTGCGTTTTAAATAACTTTTGCTGTAAGTAATGAATCGACCAAAATGTTTCGGAGCTAATAAAAGCACACTATCGTAATACCGTCAGCTATTTGCATGCTTTATGTGATGATCATTGATTTAGCAAATAAAAAAGTTAAACCAACTGATGGATAAGGTTCTACATAACATCCCTGTAGGACGGCAAAGCATGTCCATTGTAACAACCAGTACAATCAGAATATAAAAATATCTACGAATCACTGTTTTTGATGTGCCAAACTATTTTTTTCAATCTGCAGGTCTGTGCTTTCCGATGCTTTGTACCAGATACGTTTTCCTCTAATGCCAGTTGAAGATTTTGCAACAGGACCTGCACAGTCGGGCATTTTGACCGAGAAGGAAGTCGTTAGTTTGTTCCTATACTTCCACGTGAATCCTAAGCCAAAAGTCAATTTCATTGACAAACCGCGATGCTGTTTAACGGGGAGGGAGAAAACCGTGCGTCGATTCTCGAAGGTCGAGAACAGATGGGGCTACAGTGGTACGAGTGACAGAATCCGATTTTCCGTGAACAAACGTATTTTCGTGGTCGGTCTTGGTCTTTATGGGGCGATTCATGGGCCAAGCGACTACAACGTCAAAATGCAAATCATAGACACCGAAGCAGGCTCTATGTGTGGGGAAAGCGAGACGGCGTTCAGCTGCGACGGTACACCGAGCATTTTCCGAGTAATGTTTAGCGAACCGATCGAGCTTTCACCAACTACGGTATACGTTGCCAGTGCAACGCTTAAAGGTGCAGATTCCTATTATGGAAGCAAGGGACAGAGAAAGATTGTCTGCGAATCGACCGATTCGAAAGAAGAAAATATTATCTTTCATTTTTCCTACGCTACTGGAAATAACAATGGTACTTCGGTAGAAGATGGACAAATTCCTGAAATTATTTTCTACACTTGATAGAATTTGCAGCATTCGAGCCGTAACCATTGGGACTGCAGGAACACATGACAATGTATGGCGGAAAAGACAATTAAAAAAAATTGTTGTTTCGAGTTTTTTTGATTCTAAAATTGAAGGACAAACGCTGAAATTCCAGAACCGGAAAATGTTAGAGGTTAGGATTAGAATTGATGTTATGATCTGGATCTGTTCTATATAGCGCTATCCACTAAATAGAAACTTTTTTGAACGTTTTAAAAAACTTATTAATAAAGAGAAAAATATGAGATTTGAACCGAGCAATCACTGAAAGAAAATATTACTTCTAAGATTAGAAAATTTCTTTTGTCATTTCTTTGCTATCAAGGCCCCTGGATAGTAAATTTAGTGATGTTTATGATTGAAGTTTCTTATGCCGCTGTTTTATCAGCTTGCAATATTTGTCTTTGCGGAAAAGGCTGCGGGTGTCCGCTAATCCAAACTTTACTTGCATCAGAGCTTCTTCCAGCTGAGTTTTTTCCACATTAGCAATTATAGTAAACCTAGACTTTTGTTATTTGTTGTAACGTATCGCCAGCGAACATAACGATCGTTTTTCATTTCGCTCTTCCGTTGTATTAAAACAGACAATTTTTAGCCAGGCTCTTATTCATAGGGATGGCTTTCTCAAATACAAAATCCCTCTTCACCTCACCGTTTTCACTTCAAATGAGGACTAAATGATATAGATTGTATGATTAAATAAGACGTGTCATAAGTGTATTTTCAACCGACAATCATCACAAACTTTTCTGTTGCTTTTCTGTTTTTATTGGTCATCAATTTAGTCGGCGACCATATCCTCACAAGTTCAAATCTCGTCCAAGTCACATGTTTTTTCATGTGCATGTAAAATAAACCGTGTTAGGATTTATATTATGTATAATCTCTCTGATGATGGCTTTGGAATAAAGTCGAAACACGGTGCCATCCAGTAACTGCTATCGAGGCGAGAACTTCTCGTCCATACGTAGTTTTAAGAGATTTGACTCGTCTCCAATCCCTGTGGGCTTGGTAGATCAACAGGTAGACGAGCGGCGGACTAGTATCCCGAAGGTGCGAGTTCAAATCTGGTCCAAGTCACATGTTTTTTATGTGCATGTAAAATAAACAGTGTTAGGATTTATATTATATATCCTCACAATGTGGGTGTTTTTTGCTTAATTCAAACTGCTGTCTAAAGGTGTTTGCATAAGGAACAATTAACTTCACAATAGAAGTTATAGGCAAGCAAAGTGGAGCGATCTCTATTGTTTATAAGTCCAAGCATTGCTTAGCTAATGCATCTGTCTGTTGGGTGATAAAATTCCAATTTTCACTTATTATTTTTCGCTTCATTTCAACTTGGAGATTATTAGAAGTGGGGAAGGGGTAACAAAAGGCTTGGGGCTACAAAACTTCCATGCAAAGTTGCAAGAGCACAATAATTCACGCAAGACATACTTTAATATCAACTTTCCAGTCCGATATGTGCTTTTTGTGTATGAGATTGAATTCCCGGTGATTTTTTACTTCAAGAGACTGGGAAATAAATACAGGGTGGGAATTTTTGCTGGACTGTACATTTTCGGATTCAAGATCGACTCGTTTTCTTTTGCTTCAAACTTACGAAAAATGAGCAAATGCGCAAAACCCGCCCCCCCGATTTTGAGCGTCTAACTCAGTTTGATTGAGATGAATGTACAGTTTAACGTACCGTCTTCTTTTTTAGTAATTAATGCGAAAAATTCACCTTTGAAGATTTCGATCCATGCATGTAAGAGTATAGCAAAAGTATACTCTGTATGTTGAGGCGACCACACACACAAACCTCAAATGACCTTTAAAGCCTAGTTCACACTGTAAAACTAGTAAAAACATAACAGACATAAGCAAGTATGCGCATCGAATAGTTTCGAGTTCTGGGGAAATTTACGTATTTTAACCAGGTTCTAAATCACAGCGACAAAAACACTAACATAAGCTTTGTAAATTAGCACAACGAATGAAATATTCCTTTTTCTTCTGCTTTCATGTGAACTCTTTGACTTTATGTTGGTGCTCGAGCTTAGCGTCCTTTCATACTCGTGTGAACCAGGCTTTAAAGAGAGCTAACATTGAAAAATCAAACAAAAAGCAGGTCAGTCGACGGAAGTTGCTTTTTGAGAACACCAGCGATGAGTCGATGTTCTCACTCAGCAAAATTGCTCGTCGTATCTTATTCTTAGAATGAGTTCTAATGCGTTCTTCACATCACTGTTCATATTTCCCTACACAATGCAATGATACAAAGTATACATTTGTAAATGTCAAAATTAATGTCGTCACGTGTTTGATTTGATCAGGGGCGATCTAATGTTGAGACACGAACCTTAAGATACTCCTGTCTAATGTCTTCATCAGGGGTTGTATGATGTTGAAAATTGAGTCCTTATATACTCCAGTCTAGTGTCTTCATCAGGAGTGATTTTAAATTGAAACTTGAGTCCTTTTATGAGTTGACAAGACTTAGAATACCATGCAAACTAATTATCTTCTTACAAAGAGGTAAATTATATGACCATAAGAGGATACAGGATTTAAGATGACAAAACAAGACAAAGAGAAATAGGACGTTAAGGCTAAGTTGAAAAAAGAATTTAATAAAGGCAGTGAAAAGAAATGGAGCTGACACAAGCGTCAATAAGAAGTTCAGGCACTGCTACATGGAGTTACGTCACAGGCAGTAGCTTTGTCGGCCGCTAAATCAAATACATCATGAAAATACCTGCACAGCATTGAGTAGATGAAGTCTGTACATGTTGATTGTCTTCGAATGTTCGTTGTCCGCCTCCTTGAAATTACAAAGCTTACTTTAAAAAACTTTCTTAGACATAAACAAAGCACAACTTGCATTACCACGAGCTGGTTTTGAAGTCGGAACACTTGCTCTTCCAAGGCATGGATTTTCTGTTCAGCTTTTCCCAGCAACTCGTTCGTCGTTTGACGTTTCATTTCTGAAATCTAACAAAACGTAAAACAAATGAATGCGGAGATTCACACCAACGTAGAAAAAAAAAATTAGATATTTTTTTAGCAAACGCTACTTCGATCGTAGAAAATTGCTTTCCAAATTTCCAAAAGTACGTTTAAGTTGAAGTTCAGAAACCAAAAATATTTTTCAAAATTAAAAGATGCACATGCTTATGCGAAACGAAGAGAGCTTTGAGAGAACTCGAGAGCAAATGAGTACAAATCCACGAACAAAGGTTGAGACAAATTTTTCAGAAACGTCTCCAAGGTTTGCATATAACAGTTATTTTTTTCTTTTATAAAATAACAACAATAAAAAACAGATAAATTTGAAACAAACGTTTTGATTTTTCCTCTAACATGTATGCATGATTGATGTGCAAATCTCTTTAATTTAATTAACTGATTGATCTTAGAACGGTTTGCACACTCAACTATAAAGTGTTTTCGTCGTTAGCCATGTTTGGGGAAAATCCCATAGAGTGAAAGAAATGTATTTTAATTTCACGCCCAGTTGAGCATTGACACTTCGATGTACTCCTCTCTTTGACGTCACATGCAAACACTCTATAGACCAATCAGCGCACGCATTGCATTGTTGTTATTTTACAATTAACAGTGCTAATCATTATTCCTCGATATTTTCTTTGCTTTTAAAGCAAAGCCAAACAGAGACGACATTTACAAAATGGACAACAATTGTAAATAAACTGTAAAACTGCTATAGCTTAAATATTGTTAAGGTATACAAAATTTAACATCACTTTTAACTCGAACAATTTTTCAATATTTCCCTCAGTAGCTGTCAGAGCTATAGTTCTAGTGTTTATAGACTGAGTTGCCATGTAAACAACGTCGCTTTGGTCAACTATCTGTAAATAATTCTCGATATCTTTAATTATGACGTCATATTTACAAATAGTTTCTGATATAGACGTCTTATCGACGAATAATAGTTTCTACAATTATTGACAGCTTGACGCCATTAAAAGCTGGTTTTGACAAAAGATCAAATAATAGATTGCCACAGATTCTAAAAATAGGTACGCAGAGCGCACATGTAAGTAGCCCCCAGAAAAATGAAATAGATCAACGAGCGTAGTTCACTATATATAAAAAACATGAAAGTTTATATAATATCTGAGATTTCAAAAATGTGCGTTAAGCTCAATCTGCAGTCGAATGACCACGTACCTTACCCTTTTCAATCAGGGGCGTACAAACTAAAAAATATTAGGGCGTGTTCCAAGTTCTAGGAATTGGGACCAACATTTTTGAGCTTATATTTCAAGGGAAAAGGCCACAATCTTAACGAAACTGATATTTTTGACCTCTTTTAGTTAATGGACCGACTTTTCACTTATTTCACAAAAGATATTGAGTGTCACTTTTCCCAAATCCATTTGTAGAACGTTCATGCATATATTACAGGCACGCGACTTAGCTCACGTGCTTACATCGTAAAGTTGCAATAAATGTGACTTAACACGAAATTATAAATATATCAATTAAAATTGTAACTGAAAACCATGCTTTTGATATAAATAGTAAATCGTTAACAGTTTGTTTCACAAAAAAATTTTCTCGCGCCTATGATATGTGATATGTCGTTCACTCAATGGATAAATCAACAATCACGATTGTCACGATATGATATTTATTTATTTGCATTGATGCGACACTTGTTATGTTCGGTAATTTTTGACCAAAGAGCCGAGCTCTTTTGTCTTTTCCCATAGCATTATTAAAAATACTCTGTACTGATTACAAATAATGTTGAAGCTTTTAACAAGGAATCCTTATAACACTGAAAGTGACTAGAGCAAACTTTTTGGATATAATTGTATTTCTTGCTCATAGTTTGACTCGGTTTGACATGTATTTTGAGTTAATGTTCATGGTAATTTTAGCATGTTTTAAATCCACATAGATAATGTCAGATATTATTTGTTATTATGTTTCAAAAGAAAGAAAGATGAAATAGCTTTTTGTCTTTAATTTAATACAAAAACACAGAGAACAGTGACCAGAGTGAAACAAGCAATTGATAAATAATGCGTCGCAGTTTAAATTGATTGACTCATGTGAAACTATAACTTCAAGTTTAGTAAACTCGTAAGACACATCTATTTTTTTCTCCTTTACGTTTATTTACAAAAAATGTGAAAATACTGTGACCTCGACCAAATTCAAGTACATTGCTTCAAGCTCACGGATTATTCGATCAAACAAAATGTACTTCGTGCGCGCGTGGCTACCCACAAAAACGAAATGCAAAAGCTTTTGAACAAAAAAGATGTAGAAATACTAAAATAGCGACGAAGTTGGCTTTGAACATATTTACAACATATTTATAGAAGAAGAACTTGAATAAACCGTCTGAAAAGAACAAATCAGCGAAGGTTATAAAAATGCTCTACATTGATATGTTTCAATAATATTTCAGTTTCCAAAATCGGTAATGTTATCTGTTATCATATAATGTTATCGGTCTGGATAATTCTTGATAATATGCTCAACCTCATCCAATAATCTTTTAGTATTGTTGAGAAGAGGGACATTCTCACTGATCTGTCCTCAAGTTCTCTCCAACAATTTCTCGGTTTGGATGAAATTTTACAAATCATGAAGTATTCATGCATCACGTGAAGTATAGTAATAAGTGTTTCACGTGACTCACGTGACTTCTACCTGACGTCTTAAGCGTTCGTTTTCTTTCTTCAAATTCGTAACGTTTCCGTTCAAAGTGTTCAATACTTCCTCACTCGATTCCTGTGTAAAACAAATATAAAGTAGGCAATTGATCAAACCTTTTTCAAAAGCAGGTTCTTTAATTGTTTTTCATACAAAATTTGTATATAGGTGAAATGTTATTGTACATATTGTATTATCTATTCTCTTTATTTATGTCCCTTTTTATGGTCAATTTGGGACGGATTACATGACGTAAAGAGGTCGCAGCTATCAGTTGAAAAGAGCTTGTGAGCATGAGGTGTGTTCAATTAAATTTCAATTTGCGCGTTTCGCAGTTTCCTTTTACTGGCATGTATTTTCTTAGTTATTGTTTTGATGTCAATTTCGCACGAAAGTCATTATTTCGTATGTCACGAAACCATTTGTACAAATAGAGGTAAAATTTATTTGTTAGTTAGAGACTTCTGGAATCGTTATTCAATGAAACTCTAAAGTTGTTGAACATTGGTAGTAAATACTGTAGTTTCTTCTCATTAAATCTCAAAATTATAAAACGAATTAGAGTGCAGTTTAACTTGCTAGACAAGATTAAAAAATCTCTACGACATACTATCCTATGAAAGATCAAAGATCGATGATCCTGTCAAAAAACTGGTCATATTTTATTTAGTTTTGGAGCCGGCTAGTTGCAACAACTCTCTTTATGTAATCGGCCTTTTAAAGCACCAGTTCCGTTTTTACAAAAAACTTAATGGCTTCCATAAAGTTCAACGAAACCACAAATTATGAACTCGAATAACAATTTAGCCTGGCGAAGATATAACAAGAAACTTCAGAGTCAAAAACAAAAAACTCGCATTATGAGTAAAAATTCTGCACCTTCAACTGTTGATAAACCGTAATTGGTATTGTGGGAATACTGTCGTCAACGTTGATGTCATTCTGTAAGTAAAATAAGAACAAATGTTAGATACACCAGATGAGAAAAGCCCAAACTATAATTGTAATCTGAAATCACACTTTTACAGTACTACATATTTTTTACAGGGTAAGGAAATGAAGGAAGACAAAGCAAGGGTCTAGATTTTAGAGACGACCTGGTAGTTCAGCTACCGAAGGAAGTGAAGAAAGTTGAAACACACCCTAGAGAATCACAGTAACAGTATTATATTTTTTCTAAAAATTGAGTGATTGAACTTTTGTTAGAGGAGTGAACAATTTATTTAGGGTCGTGAAATTTGATATTTGAAGGTGCAGCATCCCCAATCCCTCAGAAAATTTAAACATGGACAAGATTCTGAAAAATATTTTCCTTAAGTATATATTTCCATCTCAGATTCCTCTTGTGAATTTAAAGAAAGAAAGATAGCACATTTTTCTTACAAATTAAACACATCACAGTTGAACTTAAACATTTATTACAAATGCCACGGTTAACGAGCAAAATAATTATATATGTCCGAAGAGGTTGCCCTGAGAAGCCCGCAAACTAGTTAAAACTAAATTTTGGACACGTGAGCTCACATGTTACAAACGATTTAGAACCCAATCCCCTAGATGTCTAGCTACCGTGTCAAGGTCAAGGTGAAGCAAGAATACCATCTTGAAAGTTACAAAAAAGCTAGACTGTCGGTGAAAAATAAATTAATGCCCAACATAAAGCTTTCATTAGAGTCATTGAGATAAAGCAAAAGTTGTCAAAAGGTTATAAAATTGAATTTATTCTGACGTTTCGTCTTTACTCAAGACATCTTCAGACCACTAATAATTAATAGGATGTTATGACAAGAAAATATAATGATAAGGAAGTCAGGTAGTAAAATATAGTGAAATTAATTATATCATTAATTATATGTTTGTAGATGTAGATCGTCCAGGTTGGTATAGTCCTGAGAAGGACTGTTTTTGTTGTTGTTGACTGACGTTTCAACAACCTTAGCGGTAGTCATCTTCAGAGTCGAAACGTCAGTCAACAACAAAAACAGTCTTTCTCAGGACTATACTAACCTGGACGATCTACATGTACAAACATGTAACGATACTCCCGGGTTCAAACCATTTACTTTATCATTAATTACATTATTAACTATTAATCAATTATACTGAATCAATTTCTTTCTTCTTTTAAGCCACTACAATACCGACGTTACGTTGACGACTTTGTACATGTAGATCGTCCAGGTTAGTATAGTCCTGAGAAAGACTGATATAATTAATTTCACTATATTTTACTACCTGACTTCCTTATCATTATATTTTCTTGTCATAACATCCTATTAATTATTAGTGGTCTGAAGATGTCTTGAGTAAAGACGAAACGTCAGAATAAATTCAATTTTATAACCTTTTGACTGTCTTTTACTTTTTCAATCCTCCAATCACGCGTCCCTCTCTTTCATGACTATCTGAACAGACAACACCCGAACATAGCATTTACAACTTATGTCGAACAAAACAGAAAACCATCATTTCTTGACATTGACAACTCTTGCACAAATGGAAAAGTCACCATTTCTGTTTACCGCAAACCTACTTTCACTGGCCTCTTCACTAACTTCCACAGTTTCATCTCCCTTAATTACAAACGTTCACTAGTCTCCCGAAGATCCCCACGAAAATTTTCACACACGAACTCGAATTTACCATAATAAGCCTTCATTAATAACTACAAGCCTTCACATAATAGAACTATATTTTATTTTCTAACTTACTTATCATTTAATCCAATTGACACCGCCTCCTATAGTAAAGCCCGCCGCACACTGGTAAACTTGCCGCGCGTACTTGTTATTCGTGACAAGTGCGATCGACAGAATTTCCAAACGCGTTTGATATTAGACTCATCTGTCACGAATGACAAATGTTGTTCAAAACTTCCGCGCACACTAGGAACTTTTGTCGATCACACTTGTCACGAATAACAAGTACGCGCGGCAAGTTCACCAGTGTGCGGCGGGCTTAACACCTTATGTAAATATAATTCCTTGTTTCTGTCGAGCGTCAGCGAGGCAGCACGCTATTCTTGATAGTCAATTCATTCGACTCATTCCTTATACGAGACCTATATATTGGTGAAATCTCGGTTTGGCGTGTGCCTGTTAAGATTTTTTCAGGGAATGACATCACAATTTAGAAGATTTTTTCAATGTGGAGGAGTGGATAATAAAAATGCTAAGTTGCGCACGCATGTTTTGTTCTGTTGATAAACATTTGTAACGAACAGAAAGAAAATTTGCAAAGAATACCGAATACTAGCAGTAGTATGTTTTTTAAAGGCTGCTGATTTAAATCAAGGCGACTAACTCGGTTAGAAATGTGCTTTCATGTTATTATCGGCTGTTTTAATTTACACGAATATTTTATTGATCGCGTCCCACATGGTGTACAAAAGTACATTTTACAATAATAGCAATACTATGGGTTTATCAACGGTTGCTGATTTGCATCAAGGAGATTCACTCAGTTAGAAAAGCAATGTGCTTTCATGTTATCATTGGCGCTTTTAACAGCACGAATATTTTATTGACAGCATAGTGGACAAGAGTACATTTAATGGGTTAGTACAAGTAGACAATAAATAAGTAAAAGCTCTAAATAGTGACTTTACAATCCCAGAGTCAAGAAATGTTTCAGGTAGTATAACTGTTTGAGCATGTCAAATGATTTTTGTTTTAAAATATGTATGTATGTGTAACGTGATGACCAAGAAAAGTATTGAACTGAGAGTTGTAGTAGAGAGCAATCCCTTGCGATAGTAACTCCTAATCTCAACTATTAATTATTATTTGTTCGAAGATGTTTTGAGTAAAGAGGAAGCGTCAGAATAAATTCAATTTTTATAATTATTTGACAAATTTTGGTTTATCTCAATGGCTCTAATTAAAGCTTTATGTTGGGCATTAATTTTTATTATACGAAATTGATTTCCGCTCGGCACGTCTCTCGCTATTAAAAATAAGTTAAGTAAAAATCAATCCTATCAAGCATTCAAGTAACCAAAACCTAGACTATCACCTCCGCAACTTTATATCTACGCGGAAGAAGAACATTCCACTTGTACGCATTTAATGTAAACGACGAGTTTTTTGAAATTAGACATGTTTCGACATCTCATAATACCATCTTCAGTATGAGTGAATAATTACATAGATAATACAAAGTTATTCAAAAGTATTGTGATACAGTAAACATAAATATATAAATATATATTTACGATAAACTATAACAATAATAAGTAAATGAGATAAATTAATGGGGAGCGTGCTACAAACTAAATATTGTATTGAATCTAAAAACTTGAACATTGAGGTCAGGGTTAGTTTTATTAATGTGGAGTGCTTCTTTGATTTTAAGGGAGAATGAGGTGAAGGCAGTGTCGATGATTTTGAAGCAAGAGGGTGAATAGTTGGTTTTACATGAATGAGATTTAAGAAGGTGTCGGAAGATATAAGAGTGTCCAGTTTGAGATTGTTGCTTTGTTTGTTGTCGAGATATCGTTTTACGGTTCTGTTAATAAAGTGTCGTGGGAAAGAGTTTCGTAAAAGAGTGGATGTGATGTTTTCTTTTGTCTCCTTGAAAGCCATTGTTCGTATTGTTAAGTTTGTATGCTCTGTCGATTAGTGTGCGTATAAGTCCGGTTTTGTATGAAAGTGGTGTGAAACTAAAATAGTTCGTCAGAAGTCCTGTGTATGTTGGTTTGTGATATGTAGACGTTGTACAGCTGTCATGGGCTTTTGTTAGAAAAATATCAAGAAATGGCAGTTGATCTTGCTGTTCGGATTCGAATGAAAATCTAATGTTTTCGTGCAGTGTGTTGATGCAACTATGAAATTTTATGGCCTCAGTTTAGTTAGTAAAAACACAAAAAATATCGTTAACGTATCTGCGGTAAAATAATGGTTTACTGTCGTTGTAATTGTTTAGCCAGTTTCGTTCATGTGAGCCCATGAAAATGGCATGAAAATGTTAGCAAGTATAGATTCTAAGGGAGAACCCATCGCAACACCGTCCGTCTGGTCATAAAATTTTCCATTAAATAAAAAATGCGTCTGTGCTGTCGTTATCAAAAACAGTTGCGTGAGGTCCACCCTGTTTATAGTGAGCCTGGGGTTGTGAGTGAATATTGCGTCAATTGCTAGATTGATGGTTTCAGTCAATGGTATGTTAAGTGAATAGCCTTTCAACCTTGTTGGAGATGAAGAATTTGTGAGATTAAATATGAATGCGCTTTCTAACATTTTTCGGGCTAACAGCGAAGTATTTTCCCTACTTTTTCATTCCGTAGTCGTTCATTTTCAACTCTTAGTGCATCCAAGCTTTTTCGAAGGATTTCAATCCTGACTGGCTCATCGTTCGCTAAAAATCGAGACATTAACATTTAGAGCGTAATTAATCGAGACGTTAACATTTAGAGAAGAAACTTTTAGAGCCTAAGGCGCACAAAATATATTTCACCAATATACTGTCAAATTCACGACGGCCAACAATATACCTAATTCATCTTGATTAGTTTCGTTGTGGTTAATATCCTCCAAGCTCAAACGATCCACTTTGCCCTAAATGTGTCATTTCATAAGAGTCGTTATTTAAAATGTCTTTTATAGGAGACGTCTTTGTACGTTCTTTGTTAACCTTTGTGTCTACCTTCATGAGTACCTAAGTATGTGTCTTCCTTAATGTGTACCTAAGTATGTGTCTACCTTCATGTGTACCTAAGTATGTGTCTACCTTCATGTGTACCTAAGTATGTGTCTACCTTCATGTGTACCTAAGTATGTGTCTTCCTTCATGTGTACCTAAGTATGTGTCTACCTTCATGTGTACCTAAGTATGTCTACCTTCATGTGTACCTAAGTATGTGTCTACCTTCATGTGTACCTAAGTATGTGTCTTCCTTCATGTGTACCTAAGTATGTGTCTACCTTCATGTGTACCTAAGTATGTGTCTACCTTCATGTGTACGTAAGTATGTGTCTACCTTCATGTGTAAGCATGTGTCTACCTTCATGTGTACCTAAGTATGTGTCTACCTTCATGTGTACCTAAGTATGTGTCTTCCTTCATGTGTACCTAAGTATGTGTCTACCTTCATGTGTACGTAAGTATGTGTCTTCCTTCATGTGTACCTAAGTATGTGTCTACCTTCATGTGTAAGTATGTGTCTTCCTTCATGTGTACCTAAGTATGTGTCTACCTTCATGTGTGTAAGTATGTGTCTTCCTTCATGTGTACCTAAGTATGTGTCTACCTTCATGTGTACCTAAGTATGTGTCTTCCTTCATGTGTACCTAAGTATGTGTCTACCTTCATGTGTACGTAAGTATGTGTCTTCCTTCATGTGTACCTAAGTATGTGTCTACCTTCATGTGTACGTAAGTATGTGTCTTCCTTCATGTGTACCTAAGTATGTGTCTACCTTCATGTGTACTAAGTATGTGTCTTCCTTCATGTGTACCTAAGTATGTGTCTACCTTCATGTGTACCTAAGTATGTGTCTACCTTCATGTGTACCTAAGTATGTGTCTACCTTCATGTGTACCTAAGTATGTGTCTACCTTCATGTGTACCTAAGTATGTGTCTACCTTCATGTGTACCTAAGTATGTGTCTACCTTCATGTGTACCTAGGTATGTGTCTTCCTTCATGTGTACCTAAGTATGTGTCTACCTTCATGTGTACCTAAGTATGTGTCTACCTTCATGTGTACCTAAGTATGTGTCTACCTTCATGTGTACCTAAGTATGTGTCTACCTTCATGTGTACCTAAGTATGTGTCTACCTTCATGTGTACGTAAGTATGTGTCTACCTTCATGTGTACGTAAGCATGTGTCTACCTTCATGTGTACCTAAGTATGTGTCTACCTTCATGTGTACCTAAGTATGTGTCTTCCTTCATGTGTACCTAAGTATGTGTCTACCTTCATGTGTGTAAGTATGTGTCTTCCTTCATGTGTACCTAAGTATGTGTCTACCTTCATGTGTACGTAAGTATGTGTCTTCCTTCATGTGTACCTAAGTATGTGTCTACCTTCATGTGTACGTAAGTATGTGTCTTCCTTCATGTGTACCTAAGTATGTGTCTACCTTCATGTGTACCTAAGTATGTGTCTTCCTTCATGTGTACCTAAGTATGTGTCTACCTTCATGTGTACGTAAGTGTGTCTTCCTTCATGTGTACCTAAGTATGTGTCTACCTTCATGTGTAAGTATGTGTCTTCCTTCATGTGTACCTAAGTATGTGTCTACCTTCATGTGTACCTAAGTATGTGTCTTCCTTCATGTGTACCTAAGTATGTGTCTACCTTCATGTGTACCTAAGTATGTGTCTACCTTCATGTGTACCTAAGTATGTGTCTACCTTCATGTGTACCTAAGTATGTGTCTACCTTCATGTGTACCTAAGTATGTGTCTACCTTCATGTGTACCTAGGTATGTGTCTTTCTTGTGTACCTAAGTATGTGTCTACCTTCATGTGTACCTAAGTATGTCTACCTTCATGTGTACCTAAGTATGTGTCTACCTTCATGTGTACCTAAGTATGTGTCTTCCTTCATGTGTACCTAAGTATGTGTCTACCTTCATGTGTACCTAAGTATGTCTACCTTCATGTGTACCTAAGTATGTGTCTACCTTCATGTGTACCTAAGTATGTGTCTTCCTTCATGTGTACCTAAGTATGTGTCTACCTTCATGTGTACCTAAGTATGTGTCTACCTTCATGTGTACCTAAGTATGTGTCTACCTTCATGTGTACCTAAGTATGTCTACCTTCATGTGTACCTAAGTATGTGTCTTCCTTCATGTGTACCTAAGTATGTGTCTACCTTCATGTGTACCTAAGTATGTGTCTACCTTCATGTGTACCTAAGTATGTGTCTACCTTCATGTGTACCTAAGTATGTGTCTACCTTCATGTGTACCTAAGTATGTGTCTACCTTCATGTGTACCTAAGTATGTGTCTACCTTCATGTGTACCTAAGTATGTGTCTTCCTTCATGTGTACCTAAGTATGTGTCTACCTTCATGTGTACCTAAGTATGTGTCTACCTTCATGTGTACCTAAGTATGTGTCTACCTTCATGTGTACCTAAGTATGTGTCTACCTTCATGTGTACCTAAGTATGTGTCTTTCATGTGTACCTAAGTATGTGTCTACCTTCATGTGTACCTAAGTATGTGTCTTCCTTCATGTGTACCTAAGTATGTGTCTACCTTCATGTGTACCTAAGTATGTGTCTACCTTCATGTGTACCTAAGTATGTGTCTACCTTCATGTGTACCTAAGTATGTGTCTACCTTCATGTGTACCTAAGTATGTGTCTACCTTCATGTGTACCTAAGTATGTGTCTACCTTCATGTGTACCTAAGTATGTGTCTTCCTTCATGTGTACCTAAGTATGTGTCTACCTTCATGTGTACCTAAGTATGTCTACCTTCATGTGTACCTAAGTATGTGTCTACCTTCATGTGTACCTAAGTATGTGTCTTCCTTCATGTGTACCTAAGTATGTGTCTACCTTCATGTGTACCTAAGTATGTGTCTACCTTCATGTGTACCTAAGTATGTGTCTACCTTCATGTGTACCTAAGTATGTGTCTACCTTTATGTGTACCTAAGTATGTGTCTTCCTTCATGTGTACCTAAGTATGTGTCTACCTTCATGTGTACCTAAGTATGTGTCTACCTTCATGTGTACCTAAGTATGTGTCACCTTCATGTGTACCTAAGTATGTGTCCACCTAAGTATGTGTCTACCTTCATGTGTCTAAGTATGTGTCTACCTTCATGTGTACATGTGTCTACCTTCATGTGTACCTAAGTATGTGTCTACCTTCATGTGTACCTAAGTATGTGTCTTCCTTCATGTGTACCTAAGTATGTGTCTACCTTCATGTGTAATAAGTATGTCTTCCTTCATGTGTACCTAAGTATGTGTCTACCTTCATGTGTGTAAGTATGTGTCTTCCTTCATGTGTACCTAAGTATGTGTCTACCTTCATGTGTACGTAAGTATGTGTCTTCCTTCATGTGTACCTAAGTATGTGTCTACCTTCATGTGTACCTAAGTATGTGTCTTCCTTCATGTGTACCTAAGTATGTGTCTACCTTCATGTGTACGTAAGTATGTGTCTTCCTTCATGTGTACCTAAGTATGTGTCTACCTTCATGTGCCTTCATGTGTACCTAAGTATGTGTCTACCTTCATGTGTACGTAAGTATGTGTCTTCCTTCATGTGTACCTAAGTATGTGTCTACCTTCATGTGTACCTAAGTATGTGTCTACCTTCATGTGTACCTAAGTATGTGTCTACCTTCATGTGTACCTAAGTATGTGTCTACCTTCATGTGTACCTAAGTATGTGTCTACCTTCATGTGTACCTAGGTATGTGTCTTCCTTCTTGTGTACCTAAGTATGTGTCTACCTTCATGTGTACCTAAGTATGTCTACCTTCATGTGTACCTAAGTATGTGTCTACCTTCATGTGTACCTAAGTATGTGTCTTCCTTCATGTGTACCTAAGTATGTGTCTACCTTCATGTGTACCTAAGTATGTCTACCTTCATGTGTAGTATGTGTCACCTTCATGTGTACCTAAGTATGTGTCTTCCTTCATGTGTACCTAAGTATGTGTCTACCTTCATGTGTACCTAAGTATGTGTCTACCTTCATGTGTACCTAAGTATGTGTCTACCTTCATGTGTACCTAAGTATGTGTCTACCTTCATGTGTACCTAAGTATGTGTCTTCCTTCATGTGTACCTAAGTATGTGTCTACCTTCATGTGTACCTAAGTATGTGTCTCCTTCATGTGTACCTAAGTATGTGTCTACCTTCATGTGTACCTAAGTATGTGTCTACCTTCATGTGTACCTAAGTATGTGTCTACCTTCATGTGTACCTAAGTATGTGTCTACCTTCATGTGTACCTAAGTATGTGTCTTCCTTCATGTGTACCTAAGTATGTGTCTACCTTCATGTGTACCTAAGTATGTGTCTTCCTTCATGTGTACCTAAGTATGTGTCTACCTTCATGTGTACCTAAGTATGTGTCTACCTTCATGTGTACCTAAGTATGTGTCTACCTTCATGTGTACCTAAGTATGTGTCTTCCTTCATGTGTACCTAAGTATGTGTCTACCTTCATGTGTACCTAAGTTTGTCTACCTTCATGTGTACCTAAGTATGTGTCTTCCTTCATGTGTACCTAAGTATGTGTCTACCTTCATGTGTACCTAAGTATGTGTCTACCTTCATGTGTACCTAAGTATGTGTCTACCTTCATGTGTACCTAAGTATGTGTCTACCTTCATGTGTACCTAAGTATGTGTCTACCTTCATGTGTACCTAAGTATGTGTCTACCTTCATGTGTACCTAAGTATGTGTCTTCCTTCATGTGTACCTAAGTATGTGTCTACCTTCATGTGTACCTAAGTATGTCTACCTTCATGTGTACCTAAGTATGTGTCTACCTTCATGTGTACCTAAGTATGTGTCTTCCTTCATGTGTACCTAAGTATGTGTCTACCTTCATGTGTACCTAAGTATGTGTCTACCTTCATGTGTACCTAAGTATGTGTCTACCTTCATGTGTACCTAAGTATGTGTCTACCTTCATGTGTACCTAAGTATGTGTCTTCCTTCATGTGTACCTAAGTATGTGTCTACCTTCATGTGTACCTAAGTATGTGTCTTCCTTCATGTGTACCTAAGTATGTGTCTACCTTCATGTGTACCTAAGTATGTGTCTACCTTCATGTGTACCTAAGTATGTGTCTACCTTCATGTGTACCTAAGTTTGTCTACCTTCATGTGTACCTAAGTATGTGTCTTCCTTCATGTGTACCTAAGTATGTGTCTACCTTCATGTGTACCTAAGTATGTGTCTACCTTCATGTGTACCTAAGTATGTGTCTTCCTTCATGTGTACCTAAGTATGTGTCTACCTTCATGTGTACCTAAGTATGTCTACCTTCATGTGTACCTAAGTATGTGTCTACCTTCATGTGTACCTAAGTATGTGTCTTCCTTCATGTGTACCTAAGTATGTGTCTACCTTCATGTGTACCTAAGTATGTGTCTACCTTCATGTGTACCTAAGTATGTGTCTACCTTCATGTGTACCTAAGTATGTGTCTACCTTTATGTGTACCTAAGTATGTGTCTTCCTTCATGTGTACCTAAGTATGTGTCTACCTTCATGTGTACCTAAGTATGTGTCTTCCTTCATGTGTACCTAAGTATGTGTCTACCTTCATGTGTACCTAAGTATGTGTCTACCTTCATGTGTACCTAAGTATGTGTCTACCTTCATGTGTACCTAAGTATGTGTCTTCCTTCATGTGTACCTAAGTATGTGTCTACCTTCATGTGTACCTAAGTTTGTCTACCTTCATGTGTACCTAAGTATGTGTCTTCCTTCATGTGTACCTAAGTATGTGTCTACCTTCATGTGTACCTAAGTATGTGTCTACCTTCATGTGTACCTAAGTATGTGTCTACCTTCATGTGTACCTAAGTATGTGTCTTCCTTCATGTGTACCTAAGTATGTGTCTACCTTCATGTGTACCTAAGTATGTGTCTACCTTCATGTGTACCTAAGTATGTGTCTACCTTCATGTGTACCTAAGTATGTGTCTACCTTTATGTGTACCTAAGTATGTGTCTTCCTTCATGTGTACCTAAGTATGTGTCTACCTTCATGTCTATACTTTTGTGCCTACCTTTGTGTAAGCATTTGTTTTTACCTTTTTTGTCAACGTCGTCATTTGAAAAAGTTGTCATTTTATGAGTTGAAATGTCGTCATTTCATATGGGTCGTCATTTACAACGTAGTCAGAAACGATCGTCATTTTATTTGAGTCAAAATGAAAGGGTCCAAAAATTTGATTGTGCCACGGGCACCCTCATTCATCTGAATTGCCCTTTATAAACGCATGCAATACTCCTTCAACTTTCTGAAATGTTTGACTTCGAAGTCTCGCAGCTCAAAACAAACGACGTAGTAAATACACAATAAAAACATTAACCCCCCGAATGTTTCACTATAATATCTGACATCGCAAATGAAGCTAAAAGTACGAAAGTTTACAGAGACAGAGGAAGATCGATAGTAAGGGAAGGGGGGGGGTTGCCTTATTCATATGGCATAATCAGTAAAAATGTAGAATATGCATATATGTATATAAGCACTTATTACTATACCTACCACAAAGTTTCAAGAAACCTAAAACGTGTCACTTTGTTGACATACTGCCAATTTCAACAATGCCTGCTGACATTCTATTTCAGGCGGGACGTTAAGAAAAATATCAAACACATAAATCTTCGCTGTTTACCTAAATAATTTTGGTTTAGCGTAGATTTGGCGTGGTCAATCATGAGTGCTTAGACTAATGTATTTATATTAAAAAGGTGTCAATATCACTCTTGAAAGTACAATTGCCATACATCCTATCAACAACTTTGCTAATGGACTTTATGATGACCCCAGCGAGTAGCGGATCTAAGGGGTTGGTCAGAATACATTAGAAAAATATACATTAATGCAAAACACTTTGCCGGCTTTTGAAGATTAGTAATTTTTTTTGGCTGTTTGAAATATTCTTTAGAAACTGTCAACCAACTGGGGACGGTACCACGAAGATCAATTGGTGCTATCCACTGAATAGCAACAGGCGTTGTAAAATGGATTCTGATATACTACCCGAGATCTACCACTGCCCCAAGCCCCTACTCTTTCAAAATACGTTTGGTTGTTAACATTTCATGCAGGGATAACTTAATGTGAAATTCCTCACCTCAACCGACTGCTCCATTTGTAAACTACGCAGTTGCACGTTTAGACGACTATTTTCCATTTCCAGTTCCTAAAAAAACAAAATGATGTTAGAATTTGTGCTATTAAGAAAACACGGCTTAAATGAACCGCAGGGCGATATCAATTATTAAAGTACAGTCATGTCAATTTCAAAATGTGATCGTATTTCCTGGCAATTACGGGCGACTTTTGAGATTATCGCAAACTTTTATCGTATTGTAGTTTAGCCACTTTTAGATTAGAAATTGGGAAGCAAAAATGCAGTATCATAATCTCCGACGTTCGAGCTTATGTTGCGAAAGTGATTCATGCAGCAAACAAAGCAAAAGACGCGTAGTAAGAATTGAATATAGCCAGATGAGACTGCATTTTTTTTCTTAATATTTTCGTCATAAATACATAATGATTCCCCATTTTTTTGGTATAAATGTGACCTATATTTAACCAAATTTAAAAGCAGATTTTGAAAATGCCTAAAATCTCGTTTAAAACGTTTTTCTTGAGTTATAAATTCCTCTGTTTAATAACTGACAAACGATTCCACACTGAAGTGAAATCAAATCTATATTTTGACTGTATAATAGCATTAAAGGATTATTTAACCCCACGCAGGTGTCAAAGTTCCATTCCATGCAACAGCATTCAGCAAGTTTTGAAATTATAAAATATCAAAAACATGTTGCTCATTCACAATCGCACTTAATACACCAAATCTTAAACAAATAGACCTAAAATTGTCGTTGCAAGACAATTCAACCATGACAAAACATATACAATTCAAACTTAAATATTTTGTTTACAGGAGCCGATTTTTTTGAAGAATTGAGGTTCATTTTATTTGCTGATTGTTGCTGCTGTGCCATAATGGCCAAAAAGTTAAGACTTGAAACAAAAAAAAAATCGATAAAAGTCAAAGAAATAAAGAAGGCAAACATTACCAAAAACTAGGTTGTTGCAATTGAACTTGTAGGTCTTTTTGCAAAAAATTTTTACTGCCGTTAATCAAACGATAACAGCCTCGGGTGCATACAATTAAGAATGTACTGTTGAAGAACCCAACAATTAAGAGCAATACAAAAAGCTAAAAGATAATACTTCAAGGCACCTGCATTCGATTGACGTTCACTTTACGCCTCGTAGCTTGAGTAGACGGAGACGAAACAGATGTAGAAACAGAATGCTAAAAACAAAACAAAAATAAAACTTACTTTACACAGAGAGACGTCAAATTATCCATCTAATTTAATACCAGTTTGACATACAAAAACGACTCTACACCTACGAATTATGAAATCTTACGACGCTGTCGATATAGACTAATTCCCATGAGCGTTTGCGAAATATTTAAACCTCTTATGCTAGTGAAAGCAATTTGCAACACAAAATAATGTCAACTGAATCAGTCTTATACCAGTATGAAGCCAGAATTATCTTACAGTGTCTCAAAAACTTAATTAAACTCTGTGTTTTTCTTAGACCTTGTTCACGCAGAAAAAAAACGAGTCACACAGTTCATTCTTAAACGGATTATATGAAACAGATTGTCATAATAAAATTGTTTACTTATGGCTTAGGTGTAAAGTTTGCCAAACGGATAAAACTGATGACATATATTATACGCCATGATTGTTACATGGGCATAGCAATTTGGTTGAAACGAACGACCTACAGTTGGCAGAAGAAATTTCCCGTACAGTCAATCAAAAGTGTAAATTTTAAAATCTTGTGGTGCGAGACAGATTTATATCATACTTGTTAAGACTTAGCACCTACAGCTGTGAAAATAGAACAAACTGTCTTCTATAGCAGCATTAATAAAACCTATCGCCTGCTAATGTCTGTGCATGCATCAAGCTATAAACACATGAATGCATTATACAAGAGTGTTTTTTACACACATTGTATCTTTGCATGTAAATCAGAAATGCATGTCTTTGCAAATGAAAGTATGTGTCATTAAAGAACAATTAAAATATATTCTATTTTCGTGACATAATGGCGATAATGCTTTTGTCGTCTGATTTTGACAAAAATTCCTCCGCTTTGCACTGAAATGGGAGCCATTACTGGGAACACAAATATTAAAAATCATCTTAATCCGATCATTCACATGAAATAGTTCGAACTAGATAATTTAGGAAGAATGACTGCGAATGAACTGCAAGCTATTGGTGTGATATTGGTGAGACAATTGTGAAACAACGAGGAAGCAACTGAAACTATAATTGGAGAAAAAATTTGGGGGTTAAAATGTGTCACTAAAATTTTCTTGTTTAGCTATTGCCTGGCTTTATAGGCTAAGGCTCGGACAACAGAATGTGGATGCAGCGCAAGAGTCCAAGTCTTTCTTAAAGTTGTAAAAGGCTTCAGTTAGTGAAACATTGCTGGAATATGATTTGGATTGCTTGGTCAAACCATACAAAAAATAGATGACTTTCTTTGTTTAAGTTTTGCTGTCAGGCAGTAAGGTAGGTTAAGCATTGTTGCAAGAGTTTTCTAAATGCACTTCACCAAATCTGCCTGCCAGTAAAATACAAACAAGTCAAGTCATCCGTAAATACAGATTGAACGCCGGTTCCATGCAATTTTTGCTCAACACATTTGTTTCAACATTGTGTTTCTTCCCTCGCATTTTCCTAACAGTGCTGCCCGTTTGTCAAATGGAGTCATTACTTCAATCATGACATATTATATTGGGGAACGCTTTTCTGAAAATTTTAACATCAATTTAGTTTATAAGCTTATATCAGACAAATTATATAAACATTATTTTACACGTAATGAGGTGCTACTATAACTTCAACTTATATGTGCATTAGGCTGGACAAAGATCTAGTGCGAAAATTGAATCCAAAGGCATTTTCAGTGGCGTAGCCAGCACAATAATTGGGTGGGGGCAATATCTATATATTCATGTTCTGCCGTATCAAGTTCCTATGAAAATCACTGTTTTCAGCGGATTATAAAATGCATTCATGAATATTGCCCCTCCCACAATCATCGATGCTGGCTACGCCCCACTGGGTATTTTGACCAATTACTGTGTATAAAATATAATTTATTTTCAAAGGCCAGATTCCGCTAATAAGGTGGACCTGAGTCCTGTTTATCGTAGTAATTGTCCGATAATTCTGGTACAAGTCAAACTGATGAGCTTAAGTCATTGGGGAAAGTGAAAAGTAGCTTTAAAGTCGTAAATTTACTAAAACGATATTCAGCTGTATGTTAAAAATCCTTCCGAGTAAAATGCCGGCCAACTCAACACTGAATGCTAAAACTTACCGACGAAGATATTCTATCGCTGCTGTACACACTCTGCAATGTAAAGTATATTTGAAAATTAAAAAACATAACGCGCCATATGAGTGGTCAAATCCAGTGTTTGTACTACATCATTCAAAAATGAAGAATTTCTTCCACAGACAAATTTTGTACAGTTGGCATAAAATAGCCATTCACTCATGAAAAATAGAGAAAAGCATTTCACTCATGAAAAATAGAGAAATTAAGTCGGAAGACATAAAATGAGAACAGAAATTAACAATTTTACTCATTATGCGAACTTTGAGAAAATTTGTAAAGGTATGGAACAGACTACGTGGTTTGAAGGTAATATTCGTAAACAATGCGACCACCATCAAGTTTGTATGTGTGTCAACCAAGATGCATTTCGCGCTTTAGTTTATGTTTACATTGTTAGGTTTTGAGCTTGCGGCACACTGAACTCAATTTTAATACTACGTAGTCTTATTTAGCTAAAAAGTTTGCAAAAAACATTGTTTAAAAACTCTAATTTACATTAATCATCATCGTTTGTCTTAGTTGCACGGACAACTATAACATAATTAGCCTTTTCTCGACGCACGAATTGACAGTCACGCTAAGTTTAACGCGCAATGTATCTTGGTTGACACTTATTACTCGATTGATAACTTGTAAATTAGTTTTTGGATAAAACGCCAAAGTTACAACTTACAACGGCTCAAATACAGATTTTGGAAAAAAAGCAGCAAAAACTGGAAATAACCTAAGTCTACTTAACAATATACTTTCTTAACTGTGCGGTGCGGTGTTTTAACACTTATAGGCATGGCATATTTTGAAAATTTCATGACAATACATAATATACAATATAACCTCTATATTCATATAAACTAACACATATTCGATTTATTCATGTAATCAGTTGTGCCCGACTGATTATTTTGAAAGCAACTCACGGTATTAATCATACGTTGAAATGAAATTAGTCGGGTACATCTGAATACATGAATACCCCCCCCCCTCAATTAACGCTTTCGGAACATCTGGAGCAGGTTGCATAAAAACGTAGTTACCTTTAACTACCTTTAATAACTGCAGTTAGCGCTAACTACTTTTTTATGCAACCGATTGAACTGCGTGGTTAAATTTAACTACTTTTTAACTGCAAAAAGTGTAGTTAAAAATAGATAAGAGCTTTATACAACCGGCCCCAGATTGTCGTTGAAAGCGTATTCCTGGGATTCAGGACTTTGGGTGCGCTTGATTTGTATTTGAGCTGCATTTATTGTTTGCGCGTAAAAACTAATTTAGAAGATGTTAACTAACTTTTTGAGATCTGCCGAAATCAATAAAAAACCAAAATAAGATCATCAGCACTTAAAGAGGAACAGAATTTTCAGAGCGTACAAAACAAAAAAATACGCTTCACTCACTTCGCGGCAATGATCTGAATCAGGACGAGACATGACAGAGGCGACATCTGATCCGTCGTTACTACCAATAATTGAACCCTACATATGTTTAAAACAATATCATCAAAAAGTTGACCACTCAATTTCAATAAGATTAAACCTCTAGTTCCAGCACTGACAAATGGGTCACAACCTCGATGCTATGTGGAAAGCCCGAGCCTTTAAGAGTTGAATGATAATATAATACATGGTTGACAAGAAGCTTGAATTTTAATTGATGAAAACCCTCAAAAATTTCTGTGCATATAGTATGAACAAAAAATAATGTTTTTACTGTTTTGTATCAAAACTCACGGTCAGAATGCAAGGAATGTCATTACAGAGAAGCAAATTTCTAAAACTTTGTACGATGTATAAGGTACGAAAGAACAATAGTATATTCGTATGAAACTTTGCTCGCATGGTGAAACAGGTTTTTGCAGTACATATATGTGTACATCGTTAAAAGGGGGTGAAGACGCACATTCGAAAATAAATTGGGAGCGTTTGACATGCTGGGACCATCGTTTCTACAGCCTGTATTTGATGAAAAAAGCCATCTATCAGCTCTGGACCGACATTTTGCAAATATTTCTAAAGCTTAGGCTGTCAGACACATCTTCCAATGCGCCCCTCTGCATGACTGTAATTTTGACATGGATAGTTAGAAAGGCCTAAGGATTTCCGTATGAATGAAAATTGGCTAATTATTCGGAAATTACAAGGACAAGCAACTCCCCAATTCTGCATATATCATCCCTGTGAAAACTCCCTATCACACAACGAACGAACCAAGCGTGAATAATCAAGAAAACGATTTGCCTTTACGTTTTATTCAATACGCATGCGTATTCTTCAAAATTGGCCTGCAATGTCCATGCAACAACGCTATTCTATGATTTAGCGATAAACACCAATTACCAATTCCAATACTGGCACTTCATCAAACATAAAGCCTTCAAGAATACATGGTTTAAGTATTACCAAGCGCATTTCTTTGCACCAAAAAAAATTTAAAACAGCAACAGCCTTAAATTCACTTCTGAAGATCAAATTTTCCTCGTGTTTCAACTGTCAGTAAGGGTTTGAAAATGCAAAGCAGTAGAACATTTAATTCTGTAACTTACATCTTGAGATGGTATGTCTTCATCATCAATGTATTCGTCAGCTATAAAAACACGCGGGGAAAAGTGTGCTTATCGAGAATATTTGAAAGACTAAAGCACAAACCTATTCTAAGAAGGTCAAATAAAATGAAGAAGGAAAGGGATCCCATATTGAAACAAAACAAGGGATATGCAAAACCAACAAATATTTGGTAGCGTATTTGCACCAAACGTACACCTACCCATACTCCACTGCAAGAGAACAGGAGCACTAGAAATCATATCGACAATCTCTGAATAGCCACTGATTCGAGCGAAATCTTCCGCTGAAAAAGAAACAGAGCAGAAGTTGGAGTTCATTACCAAGTCACAACTGGAATTAACTTTATTTAACTATAACTCCACAGAAATACGAAAGATGTTTTTTATTTCTAAAACATGATAAGTAATTGTTACAATTACTGTACCTATATGTCCATTTGTATCCCGCAAAAGGGGGTTGGCACCATTTTGCAGTAGCAATCCAACCGACTCTTTTAGACCAATCAGAGAAGCGTACATTAGAGGTGTTCTACATAACGCAGTTTAAATATAAAAAGAACTTTCAATTTACATGTACCATGGTCACTATGACATAAGTATAAGGAGATTAAGTACATTGATTTATTATTAACTGTCCTTACTATGACATAATTATAATGAGATACAGTATATTGATTTCTTATGTACCATCCTCACTATGACATAAGTATAAGGAGATCAAGTACATTGATTTCTTATTAACTGTCTTTACTATGACATAATTATAATGACATTAAGTGAGATTTCTTATGCACCATCCTCACTATGACATAAGTATAAGGAGATCAAGTACATTGATTTATTATTAACAGGCCTTACTATGACATTATTATAATGAGATACAATATATTGATTTCTTATGTACCATCCTCACTATGACATAAGTATAAGGAGATCAAGTACATTGATTTCTTATGTAGCATCCTCACTATGACATTAGTATAAGGAGATATAGTATATTGATTTCTTATGTACCATCCTCACTATGACATAAGTATAAGGAGATTAAGTACATTGATTTCTTATTAACTGTCCTTACTATGACATAAGTATAATGAGATACAGTATATTGATTTCTTATATACCATCCTCAATATGACGTAAGTATAAGGAGATCAAGTACATTGATTTATTCACCATCCTCATTATGACATAAAAATTCGAGTACAAGGCACCAATCTAAGTGCAACTTACGTAGATGACGCTTACATATCAATAACGCAACATACTTTTGAGAGCTGTCAGTTAAATTGACTTTGGCGCCGTTTTCAACCAGCATTTTAACGATCATCTCCCTTGCTGCCTGAATGGCGATCAATAAAGGTGTTCGACCATCCTAAATGGAACATCAAACGGTGTTATCTCTGAGATCTTTTTGAAAATTCAGACAGTATTCTCAAAACATTCATGTAAAACTTCCTCTTGGAACTACAGTTACAACCACATTTATGTTATTTTCAAGAATGCAAGTTCAGAATGACAGTTTTCGTCCTACCTTCTCCCTACAGGTGTATAAATAAGACTTACATTCCTCTAGACTATATACCCGCTTTATAGCGTTTTCAACAATGTCACAACAGCCAAAATTGTTTAACATTGCATTCCGTAATGTCTCAAGTAAGTAGATTCATAAATTCTGCCCACCAGTGATCCCACCAATCACCCCAGTAGATGTATGGTAAATGTCTATCTGAACCACCTTTTCTACTCACCTTGTCTCTGATATTCAATTTGGCGCCGCTGGTAATCAAGACTGTAACACAATCTGAATGACCCTTACTGGCTGATGAAATAAAACATACCAATATTAGAAGAGAACATTTTCTATGAATATGACGCCATCGAATTTAAGATCTATTCAACAACACAGTCTAGTATGGTTAAATCGGGCCCTTCAGGGAGAAAAAAGAATGAGCAGCATTTTGGGGGGAAGTAAAACGATTAATGAGAACATAACACATTATAAAGCAAGTATGCAACTTTGCTACAGATGTTGCTGTTATATGCTGTTATCTATTTGAAACTTTTTGAACTTCTCAAACATATATTTAATGTGCAATGGGACCATAATGCGCAGGGCCCACAACAAGTTTTCGTAATCTCCCCTGGTTAGCATGCCCTAGGTTAAACTGCATGGTTTTTACGACGTATCCCCTCTTTATGACATATAACACAGTTAGTTCAGAAAACGTCCATCATCTCAGACATGTACACTCTCTTTCATAGAAGTATCCGTTAAGGGGTGGTGGTGGCAGGGTGGTGAACCAAGATGAGAAAATCAGTAAAGCAGACCTTCAATGTATGTGGTTCAGCATGAGCCCTCACGAAAGCGCATGCCCCAGAGAAACACAATATTTATTTTTGAAGATACTGACCGGAGTGATGTAATGCTGTCATCCTCTCCTGGTCCTGGGAACCAACTCTTACTTTATGTTGCAACAACTTTGCTAAGCATTGAGCGTGCCCTGTCTTTGCTGCCGTATGTAGTGCTGAACTGCCTAGATAAAAGATTAATTATACTTGAAGGACAGAAAAGATTTTTTAGCAAAAAGTTATAAACCTAAAGATCATCTAGCTTTACGTTTATTTGTTGGTCTACAGTATTGTTACTTATTGTTTATTTATAAAATAACAACAATTCAACACGTGCGCTGATTGGCCGGTGCAAACCGATCTAAGCTCAATCAAGAGTTGAAGAGAATTTGCAAATCAATAATCCTTATCAATCTGGTTATAGACCTCCACATAGTACTTTAACCTCAATGTAACGTTTCGTCTTTACTCAAGACATCTTCATTCTTGAGTAAAGACGAAACGTTACAATAAATTCAATTTTACAATTTTTCTGGTCAATTTCTATGGCTCTAATCAAAACTTTATGTTGGGCATTAATTTTTATTACACGAATTCGATTTCCGCTCAGCAAGTCTCTCGCTACTATTTTAACCTCAATGCTTGAAGCAACAAACAATTGGTTTGTCAATATTCATAGGGGTGTTTTAAACGATGTAGATTTCAATGATTTAAAAAAGGCCTTAGACACTATAGATCATGTTATCTTACTATCAAAGCTTAAAGCATACGGTGTGGATGGTGTGGCCCTATCTTGGTTTCGATCATATTTAACTGATCGTCTACAAAGATGACACGTTAATGGGAATTATCCATTAGTTTTCCTATAAAAACGGGAGTTCTGCAAGGTTCAATTATTTTACCCCTTTTGTTTTCGGTCTATATTTATGATCTTCCGAACTGCTTGAACGAGGGATTGCCCAGAATGTTTGCAGACGATAAAAAATATAATTTTTAGAAGTAATTCTCTCTATGATCTTGAAAACCGTATGAATGTTGACCTACACAGCCTTAACCAGTGGTTGACAGTAAATAAATTACGCTTAAATTATGCCAAGACAGAATTTATCATCTTTGCTTAAGTCAGCGGCTAGCTACTTTTAAATATCATGAGCTTTCTGTTACTGTAAATAATACATCAGTTAAACAAGTGAAATCAGCAAAAACCTAAGGGATTATTTTGGATGAAAATCTTACATAGCATGACCATGTAAATGCGTTATCAAAAAGGTCTCATCAAAATTTAATTTTAAAAAGTACAATACTGCAATCGCTTAGCTAACGCTACGCCATATTGTGATTGAGTAATCCCAAGAATCGGTTGTGCAAAATGAAAACTGGCTTTAAGTTTCATAATGATTTCATATGTAGAAGTCTATCCAGGTACTAATTTTTCAGATCAATGGTGCACTCAAACAAGTACGTAGGCTCAATGAACAGGATACAGCAAAGAAAGTCTATCAAGGTTTTATTGAGCCCTACCTCTCCTACTGTTATCTAGTATGGGATGAACTCGGACATACTCTACGTGATAGGCTTCAAAAATTCCAAAACAGAGCAGCCCGTGTCATAACATGTTCAACATATGACATATCGTCTGACTACCTTCATGAAAAATTGAAGTGGGATAATTTACGTACTATTCGTCAAAAACAAAAAGATACTTTTATGTTTAAAACCCTTTCCGGTCAAACGCCGTCTATATTTACAAGAAATAATTAGTGATAGTTTATTTCAGCACTCCCTTCTAACGGCAAGTTGTTCATTCCAAAACCTAAACAGATTATTTAAAGCGTTCCTTCTCATATAGCGGAGCTTATCTTTGGAAAAACCAACCAGAGCCACTTAGGTTAACGTTTAATTTAACGGCGTTTAAAAGTATGCTGGAGTATTTGTATTCCAAAAATACTGACTCCCACACGTTAACAGGGTAGAACAGTACTTTCTAATTCTTCCTACTTTTTAATAATTTTTACTTCATATAGTTGTACATATCATTAACTTTTTATTTTTACAGTTTCAAAGTTTTTAATAATGTCTTTGTTGGTCTTTGTTGAATCTTGAATCTTAAGACAGGGATTGACATCTCTGTCTTAGTATCAACTTTAATAGCATTTAACATAATGATATAGTAAAAAACATTTAATAAAAACGACGATTTTTTTTAGTAGATAACATGTTTCGAGTTCGACATTAACAAATGCCATCTTCAGTGCGAAATAATAGTGTTACGAAATATGATACAGTATAGGAAGATATGAATAAATTATTTACATTGAATTGGAGTGTGATATATTTAAAGTAAGTTCAAAACAAAAAAAATGTATAAATAAACAAGTATTTACATTAGAAATGGTAATAAATGAAATTAGGCGTATTATATAGTAAACATAAAGATATTGAAACAGGGACTTTGTCGTGGTGACAAACTTAAATATGGATTTCTAAATAGCAAATACCATGGTGAGTGGTGATAATAACAATGTAATAGTTCTTAAAAGAACTGTTTTAACCAGAACACTAACCCAACAATTCAAATGAACCGTTATTTACAGCTAGAAAGAGACACTATGCATTTCGGCAGACTACTCATCAGGTGTCAACGTCTGCTAAATGAGAACCTCCAAACCATGCTATATTTATAACGTTACAAAAGGTCAATATCATCCCTATTTTTAGAGATGACACTTAAAACAGAGACAGATTAAACACGTAATCCTTTTGTCCGCAAAGGACAGGATTAGTCAATTTAATTAATACCGACTCCATGACGCGTAGCTGGAATAACGAGCGACATTTTTTTAATAATTTTAAAGTTTTCATCACAATAAGCATTGGCACAGCGAGTGTTGCTTGAAAGATGTTTTCCAATTGCTGAATCACATAGAATCGGATTTTCACCTTTACACCCACGTTTTGGTAGTTGTCGTAAAGGAACAGTTTTATTTTCTCGAGAAGGAAACTAAAAATATCACTGAGAGTTTGTTTTTTGCATGCAATGTGGTCTTTGTATTCTCAAAAAGAACAATTCTTCCACCCACTCCCAAAGAGTCTCTCCCTGCTCAAATATCAAGCAATGTAGTCCACGAGTTTAAATGTGAGTGTAATGCTCGCTATGTAGGTAGGACTTCTAAAAGGTTGAGTGAGAGAATAAAACAGCATGTACCAGCTTCTGTCAGGAATAAAACTGTTCCTTTACGACAACTACCAAAACGTGGGTGTAAACGTGAAAATCCGATTCTATGTGATTCAGCGATTGGAAAACATCTTTTAAGCAACACTCGCTGTGCTAATGCTTATTGTGATGAAAACTTTAAAATTATTTAAAAATGTCGCTCGTTATTATAGCTACGCGTCATGGAATCGGTATTAATTAAATTGACTAATCCTGTCCTTTGCCGACAAAAAGATTACGTGTTTAATCTGTCTCTGTTTTAAGTGTCATCTCTAAAAATAGGGATGACATTGACCTTTTGTAACATTATAAATATAGCATGGCTTGGAGGTTCTCATTTAGCAGACGTTGACACCTGATGAGTAGTCTGCCGAAATGCATAGTGTCTCTTTCTAGCTGTAAATAACGGTTCCTTTGAATTGTTGGGTTATTGTTCTGGTTAAAACAGTTCTTTTAAGGACTATTACATTGTTATTATCACCATTCACCATGGTATTTGCTATTTTGAAATCCATCTTTAAGTTTGTCACCACGACAAAGTCCCTGTTTCAATATCTTTATGTTTACTATATAATACGCCTAATTTCATTTATTACCATTTCTAATGTAAATACTTGTTTATTTATACATTTTTTTTGTTTTGAACTTACTTTAAATATATCACACTCCAATTCAATGTAAATAATTTATTCATATCTTCCTATACTGTATCATATTTCGTAACACTATTATTTCGCACTGAAGATGGCATTTGTTAATGTCGAACTCGAAACATGTTTTCTACTAAAAAAATCGTCGTTTTTATTAAATGTTTTTTACTATATCTTAAAAAACACTTGAGAAAAAAATTGCTGCTAATTAGAAATTATGGTAATGTTTTACTATATCATTATGTTAAATGCTATTAAAGTTGATACTAAGACAGAGATGTCAATCCCTGTCTTAAGATTCAAGATTCAACAAAGACCAACAAAGACATTATTAAAAACTTTGAAATGTACTTTGTACTGATGACTTGAGACGTCTGTATACAATTTCCAGGTTCTGTTCATATGTAAATTCCAGAATAAAATTGACACGTATAGTTCAGGTGTATAAGCATGAGAAAAAATAGACACGCATAGACATGTGTTTCAATATGTCTGAATGCAATTGACGCGTATAGTTCATGTGTAAATTCTGGTCTGTAATTCAAGAACGTCAAAACTCGTCTATTAAATGAGACAAAAAGTTTGTCAATGCAATCAAGTTAACAAAAAGCGCATTCTTACCAGCTTTGCTAACAGAAACAATATCAGCACATCGCTCGAGCAAAACATCCAAACAAGAGACATTCCCAAGTTCACATGCGACATCTAGCCTGATCAAAAAACAACCAACAAACACCATATAGACACATCTACAAGTTCCATCACCAACCCCCAACCCCACCACCACCACCTTACTATTTTCTACAATATATTACTAAAATAACATCAATAAAGCAGCACAATCCAAATAAACTCCAACAGATAAAAATATGCACTCTATCGATTGCACCAATAAAGCCCCTTCAATGTGTGGTAAATTAAAACGACTAACACAGCTAAGACATCAGACAGGCGTCGGACTGATGATAAAAAACAAATTATGCCAAGCATGACGCTACTCAGGAGCTCTAATTTTGTAAAGAAAATTCCTTTTCGTTGAAGTTGCAGATAACAACAATTCAACAAAAGTTAATGACAACAGACATTTTAATAGAAAAAAATATTAAAACTATGCCACTTTGCAGGTCTCCATCTACCCAATGGGAGCGTAGCCCGGGTGAAGCAAAGGGGGTAATTGCCACTTGACAGCTGTAAGTTGCTTTCTCAGCAAACCCTTTTCATAAAATCAGTGAACCCCCATCCATTATCATTTAGCTATAAACATCTTACAAGGTCTTCCCGTCGGATTTCTTCTTCAAAGGAGAAACACCTTTCCTTCCCAAAGCCAACCTGTAGGTGAGGATGAACTTGGATTAAAAATTCGATTAAAAACTGGTGAAAAAAAGCGAATCTGCTGTTTCTCCTTCAGATGTTGTTGAACTAAACATAATACGAATTGGGTTAAGCATTCAAGCACGTCAAAAATCTGCAACCGTCAAAAAACAATTGATGACAAACGATAAAAAGGGTGTGGTGGGTTAACGCTCAGATTTAGGTATGATGCGACAATAATGAAATCCATTATAAAAGTTATTACATCATCTCATACTAGTACTTAAATCAGTTTATAGCTTAATTCAACCCTCTATTGCGTTGTGTTAGATGATAAGGAGTTTTTATGAAATTCATCTGGTAAGAAAAGAGTCAAAAAACTCTTGCTTGAGGAAAAGTTATTGCAACAAGCACAACACAAGCAAAAACATACATTATGCGATGCTCGATGAAGGCCATAGATTATGTACGTAAGCAGTGATAATATTGTGAATAGCATTGCTATTGTGTTTTACTGCTTAAATGAAAATAACAATTGTGCAAGATTCATTCCTAAAGTAAGGGCCGCAGCTTGGATAATGGCCATTTATGAGATAAAGGTTATTGGAAAAGTAAAGATCAAGTAGGGGTCATTGGTAATTAAAGTAAAGGTCATTGGTAATTAAAGTAAAGGTCACTGCTAATTAAAGTAAAGGTCACTAATAATTAAAGTAAAGGTCATTAGTAATTAAAGTATAGGTCAATGGTAATTAAAGTAAAGGTCATTGGTAATTAAAGTAAAGGTCATTGATAATTAAAGTAAAGGTCACTGCTAATTAAAGTAAAGGTCACTGATAATTAAAGTAAAGGTCATTAGTAATTAAAGTATAGGTCAATGGTAATTAAAGTAAAGGTCATTGGTAATTAAAGTAAAGGTCATTGATAATTAAAGTAAAGGTCATTGGTAATTAAACTAAAAGTTATTGGTAATTAAAGTAAAGGTCATTGGTAATTAAAGTAAAGGTCATTGGTAATTAAATTAAAGGTCATTGGTAATTAAAGTAAAAGTCATTGGTAATTAAACTAAAAGTCATTGGTTATGGTCATTGGTAAAGTAAGGGTCAATGGTAAAGTACTCCTCCTTTGTCAGAGTTACTACAATAGTCTTCACATAAGTGTTAGTCAATGCTCGTCTGATGGATAGTTGAGTGAATTTCTTTTCAATGACAATGGAATCATAGAATTAAAATTAAAAAAGTTATTTTGTTGTATTACTATACAAAAGGGATACAAGATACATTCTTGGCTTGCAAGCAAGATATGGGTGAACAACAATATTTATGTTTATCTCACAAAACCTTTCAGATGTTTGTATAAGCATGTCAAAAATACAAATACCATATCATAGAACTAAAAAAGTGTTTGTGCACCTAAGTTTGTTCTCATCACCATTAACTGTATAGTCCAACATTTTGTCATCATGCTTGTTCCATTCTATCATAGAGACCTAAATAAGAAAACATTATGGTGAAAACCATTGGGAAATACGCTAAAATTGAGCATTTGTGAAAATGGGAAACATTTTATAATTACTAGTTTAATGTATTACATGTTTATATGTCCATTTCAGATTAAATTTGGATTTATTAATGTGGTATTTCATGTACTTTCTTTTACTCTGCTTTATCAATGTTAGCAAAGTATGGCACTTGTTGAAAAAGCCTTAGGAAGCGTCAACTTTTGTTGGTCACAGAGGTGACATAGCATATTTGCGCCTTTGTATACAAAAATAGGGAAAAAATACAACAGGAAAGTTTTTCGGATAAACTCACCCATTAGGGCACAATAACTATCCTATTCTTCATAAAGTCTTTATTATTATCTGTACATATTTGGTGTCAGGAATAACAACAGAATTACAGTGTAAATGTCAAACACATGATGAGAAAATAACCCCATTGATTGAATGCATGTTTCAAAAGGTTTATCCTTGAGGATTTTTCAATGAGCATGGGCACAAATGATGGGCACACATGCTGCAATGCATACAATTTAATTTGTTTAAAATAATTGCTTGTATATTGGAAATTCTTTTCCTTTAACTGTATCTTTGTAGGGCATCATTAAACTTTATCAGATGGTCAATGAAGTCAATTGTGAACAAGAAAAGACTAGTAAAACTCAGACCTTTGCATAAACTTCAAACAAATAGCACTCAGACCTCTGTATATACATAAAAACAAATAGCAACCAGGTGAAAATAGCAAAAATGATAAACAGTGAAACATCTTCTACATTTCTTTTATAGCAGCAACATCACAGTCCATTGTTATGATAAATGAATTTCAACTTTGTCGTGTCTTAGAAGTCGACATACAACTCGACAAAGTTACCATAGCAAAGAAATGGCTAAGCTAATTTAAAAGTTAGAACAAAGCAAAATTTGAAGCATACCTTGATAACAATCACACGACTTATTACTGAAAGTAGCGATTCATGCTAGCAATTTTTAACGTAGATCAAAGAAGTAACGAGGGGCTTTAGAGAGATTATGATCGTTCCCGTTCGGTACACATCACAGTTTCGGACGCTTCCACCATGAACATTTACAATTTCTACACAAGTCACTTCTTGTGAAATCCAATTAATACAATGAAATAACTACTTACATGTCCTGAAGATCCCTTTGCAAGTTTATCTTTAAATTTCTTCATCGCTGTGACGCAGAGTCGCAATTCCTCAATTAAAAGCAACCGCATTGTTCGACATAAATTTCTAACCACATTTTCCCAATGAATCAAAAATGAGGACACCGGAAAATTTTTTGAATTAATAGTAAATTTTTAAATTAATTTAATAACTAAAAGCACAATGCCTTGCGAGATGAAGCACACATTTACTATGTCAACATTCAGCAAAGTTAGGTTTGATGGTTTGAGTGAGCCCACACATACATAGCAACCATGATAGCAACACGGAGTTTAATCTTTAATGCAGCGGCGCCTAGCAGGCCCAGGAATTAATTTTATTAATTTATTTTATTTTTTATATTCATTTATTTTATTTACTTATTTATTTATTGTTTTCTATATCGAACTTGTTACATAATTACATGCATTTGCATAAACAGAGAAATGAAGAGAAGCAGGACACTATCCCTATTCAATCCACAGCAGAAAACGCTTCGCCTGAAGTAACCATTTTTTTCAAACATTGAAACAATATTGACTAGTGGTTTTGAAGACATGATTGTAACATGAAATTGTCATAAACTAGTTACTAACAATGCTTATTTCTTCATATCTTTTTTAAATAAACGTTCTGGCTAGTGGCGTGGTGGCAGGGGAGGCCACGCTCCTCCCCCAGCTGTTGATTTTTGGGGCGCAGAAGCGAACTCCCCGTATTAAAGGACACATAGTAAAGACCCGAATTAAATTTCGTATAATTCGTAGTAATGAAACCTCTATTAAGTGGACGCGGACACCAAAATTGTCCAATAATAACACAAAAACCTTTGTTGAACGGACAATTTATCAAAATATTTCATATAATCTACCGACATAATGAAGTAAATGGTTTGAACCCGGGAGTATCGTTACATGTTTGTAAATGTAGTTCGTCCAGGTTGGTATAGTCCTGAGAAAGACTGTTTTTGTTGTTATTGACTGACGTTTCGACAACTTAGCGGTAGTCATCTTCAGAGTCAAACGAGGAGTAAACGTCAGGTTAGCCGTATTTGTTATCTGGTTCTTACGTCATTGTATTGTGTGTGCAAGAAATGCGTGGGTGTCAATTGTGTATTGTAATTGTGAATTAGCGTGAAGTGTAATGCTTTTAGTTGATCGTTTGTTTGTATTGTGAATAAGTCGTTTGTAAGGTGCCGGTGATTGCTGTGATCTGTTCAGGGGGGTTTGTTCCAAGTTGGTATACCAACTTTCTAATGTAAGCCTTGCCTATAATCAGTGCTGTAAGTAATGCAATTTGCCGAGTCCCAGTCAATGTTGTGCTTTGTGAGTCGGTGATGTTCGGCAATGTGACTAGTTTTGTCTTGTTTCTTTGTAGCTTGTTTGTGTTCAGTAAGTCTTATGTTTAAGTTCCAGCCAGTTTCCCGATATAGGAGGCGTGGCAGTCGGAGCAGTCGTTGGGTTGTTCTTTGTCCTTTATGTTCGTTAGTACTTGTCGTAACGTTGTGATGGTTTTATGTGCGACACGTATGTTGTATGGTCGTAAGATACGCGAGATAATCTCAGACGTATCTTTGATGTAAGGTATCGTTGCTGTTGTCGCTGAGTTATTCGTTTCGTTGGGTTCCTTTGGTTTGTAAGTGTTGCGTTTGATGAAGTCAGAGTTATAGTTGTTTTTGTCAAAAACACGTTTGAGATAGTTGTTTTCGTTGTGTAGAGCGTCCGGTGAATCACATGATTTGTGCACGTCTTGTTAATGTTCTGATTGTGGTGGTTTTGTGTGATGTACACATTTCCTTTACACACAATGCAATGACGTAAGAACCAGATATAAAATACGGCTAACCTGACGTTTACTCCTCATTTGACTTTGAAGATGACTACCGGTAAGGTTGTCGAAACGTCAGTCAACAACAACAAAAACAGTCCTCAGGACTATACCAACCTGGACGATCTACATTTACAAACATGTAACGACATAATGTTAGTCACAAACATATTGTCTCAACAATTACGAAGATATTTGTTATAATGCAGCTGAATTGAAGAATTTTTTTACAAATTATTATTAAACATAACTTGTCAATGTCAAATGCTGCTTGTCGTTCTCTAAAAGATACGGTGGCCCACAAGTGTCACGGCAATAAACAAAACTCCACGGCGGAATTGAAATATACAAGACAATATACAATATGCCGCCAAAATATCAAATAAAAATGGCGTCAAACGATTCGATTCGGTGGATTCAGTACTCTTTTATTTCATTTGTACCAATTTCTTATTGAGTACACTGATTCAGACTAGATGCACGAAGAATTTTCGCTTGAAAGACTTATCTTCTTTAATTAAAGGATTTAAGTATGAAGACATTCGTATGTTTTTAAGAAAACATCATGAAATACAGTATGTTAAGCATTTAGCATTGCTACAATTAAAAGGCTAATGACCAGTTTTGAGGGATGAACGCGAAATATTGACTACAACTACGATGACCTTGAGAGATAAATTAGGGAGTTCGTTGACGCACATGTTTGCTTAAAAGGATATTGTTCCGTTTGTCATAAACCTCAGTTAGACACAAGTGTACCCACATAAGTTCCTAAACATGCTGTGAAGTCAATTTTGCGAGAAAATGACCCAGAAGGAACCTAGGAATAAAGGGTCATCGACTTAAAAGAAGAACTTGCTATAATTCGTCCTAACTACAACGTGATGGATACCAGTAACGGATCTAACGATGCATCTGGCACATACAGCAGCTATTTGGCCTGCAGTAAAAAAGTGCCTTTTTAATATATCCTTGTATGTTGCCATGGCAGAAACTTTTATTATTATCCTTTTTCCTTTAACTGGTTTAAGAGAGACATCTTTGTATTGCATTAGGCCAATATTAATTACTACCTCAACGTCTTTATCTACTTTTCCTTTTCTGGTGACTTTACTTTTCCACTGACTTCCTTTAGCTTTCATGAAACTTTTAAATCTTTTTACTTTACATTTAGTATCTTACAGGCCTGAAAAACAGATAAACTAAGCAATTGGGATGATATTCTGAATGAATTGAGCAAAAAAGCGCAGTAATATTTCATGGTATGCTTATAAAAGATAACTAAAAGATAACAAGCTAAAAAAGTTCACATTTGACTGCTGCCTATTTGCGCAAAAGCAGCACATCTTCCCTCAGAATGGTACATCAGATTTACCTCAATGAAAATACGTAAGTTATCTTGGATAAAAAGAAAAGTAGGAATTGATATGCTCTCCGTAAATCAATAAAATTTGTTCTTTAGTTTTTAGTGAGGGGTAGCTAAATAACTGAAGTTCATTAATAAAATTGGGTCAATTGTTGTTTTCCTAGTTATATACCTTTGTGTTCAGCAGAATAAGTACATTCAGGACAAGTGAATGATTCATCCCCAGAATAAACACTTATGCAACCACAAGCTGAACTGTAAACGCCAGCCCTCAAAATCTCACTTCCACAACCACATTGTGGGCAACTCTGTTTATGTGCTACACCAGCACCGTATCTGTCTTCCAGCTCTTTAATCACTACAATTGTGCGTGAAAATGTATTCTTACATTTTTTACAACTAGATTTTTACAACTCCTTAAATTTTAACATATTTAGCGGTTAAATATCACTGGTGTATTTAGGCTTTGATCATGAGAGTAATGTTAGTAATCATTTTGTTTTACTTTCAACCTTTTAAAATAAAATTTTAAAATAAACTTTTTAAATAAACTTTTCAAAAGAAATAAACATTTTAAAATTGTATCAACAAGTGTAAATTAACGTAGTCTCAGTTATATATATTTGGAACTACGCGGGGGCAACATTAATCTTGAAATGCAACGAATTTTGTATCGAGTTTCTCGAGGGAGTGACGAGTAATTATCTTCTGCATATCAATTCCGATTGGACAAATAACATCACATTTTGAAAGATCTAGTCGATGGTGCACTGCTATAGCGTTGACAATAATGAAATGAGACACTCCTTCAACCAGAAGGTGTAATAGAGCCTTAGTTCTTTAAGGCAACCTGGGAATCGAGAAAATGAGTAGTCGGAAAACCATTATAAGGAAACTGGAAAATCAGTGAGCATACAAGATTCAACCATGGTGAAATTTTTGTTAGAAAAGAATTGACTCACGTCAACAAACTGGTTTATTTTTTATTATCTTTGACATCTGTTATATCCACACCGACATTAATATAATTAATAATAATTAAAAAAAATGCATTCTTCTGCATTAGATTTTTCTCACCAGAACTGTGTGACAACTTAATCGTGATGAATAAAAAGCATACTGCAGGGAGTCGACGAGCTCTTTTTCATTCATACTTTGTGTTGCACATGCGAAAATTTAAAAAACTTGTTATATGTTTTTATATCCATCTATTTACAATTAACATTGGTACTAAGATGTTTGAAATGATTTGAGGTAATTCAAAAAAATGTTTTTTTAGAATTATGCGTCACGAATAGCAACATAAGTAAGAGTCATGTACAATGCCAATGCTTCCTCCCAGTTTGTTGGTTGTGAAAGTCCAAGTGTTGTTCTTGCATTTTCAAAATACTCTTGGTAAACATTCAATACTTGCTGAAGTAAAATATGTTGTTCGACGTTTATGATTTCGGAACTTTCAAAATCAAATTATCGATCCCATTGTGCTGCTCTGGGAGAAAAAAAACTGAATTCGGTCTTCCGGAAACGGTGTCATGTCTTGACCTTCAGATTTTGTGTGTATTCAATGATTCTTGATAAAATTAAGATGCTTCTGTATGACGTCAGCGAAGCAGTACCATAGGCATTCCATGTGAAGTTCACTTGATGAATCCAAAATTTCCTGTGACTCCATATCAGCAAAGAATTTTCTCCACCACATTGAATGATGTCTACCATAATACGACCACCAACCTTCAATACGCTGATTTCGCGGTGAAGCAACATAATCATGAGCATCAATCGTCTCTCTAAAATAAGACAGAATAGAAGCCACTAACCCATTTTCAGTCCCTAAATCACTTATTAGTTTAACTGGACAGCCTTCAAATACTCTAATCGCTGTGACAAACATGCGTGCAACATTGTCAGGTGAAGAATGTTTTATGCAGTGCGGTGTTTGAAATTGAATGAAGATATGATCTTCGCACTTTTGCTTGACAATTTGCTTAAATTGTCCAGCAAAAGTGCGAAGATCATATCTTCATTCAATTGTCAGGTGAGTTGTTGGAACGGGTGATGTTAAGGCAGTTAAGCCAAAGTATCTTCCTACTGAACCCATCAATGGCGCCATGAATTGGAAATCCTTAAGGCTTTAATTTATCATATCCGTCAAGGTGCCATGCTTGATTAAGTCCAGGATTTTTATATACTCTTCTTTTAAGACAATGTTTCCTTCGAAGCTCTGTTCCTTCAGGATCCATGGTTTTAAGCAAGTCTTGGACAATGGCTCTTGGAACGTTCAGTCCTTCTATTTGCAGACAATTCCATACCGCTCTGTAGCCCATGGAATTCTCTGGACCACTAACTAGCTCTCTCATTCTTGTCAGAACCCTCTGAAATGTATTATCGAAGTTGGGAGAATGTTTTAAATGTCGACGTTGATGACCATAATATTTCAAGCGTCTGAGAAGTGTACTGTAACTGATGTTACAACCATGGTGCTTCGATAAAAAGCCAAGGATTTCATTGTACTCATAACCACAACTAAAATTGTATTTAATAGTCACTTCCTCATTGAATTCTTCTCTAAGCTCTTCAGTAAACTACTCACTGTTTTCAGATTGCAAGTCTTAAAATATATATGACTGTTCAAGCAATGTTCGAATTTCTTCTCCTGTATAAATGCGGTCCAAAAACATTTTCATTTGATTGAAACACGTGAGATGTTAACAAACCTTTTTTTACATTAGGACGAAAAATTTGAGGAATAGGGATTACCATTGATTTGAGGGCACATTCAAATGTTCTTTGCATGCTTATGTCAGAATTGTTTTGGTTTTCACGCGAATGTTTTACTTTTGACAGAAGTCTTATGATTTTGACTACAATGTTTTGCTTTTGACATAAATGTTTTGGTTTTGACACAAATGTTTTGCTTTTCGCGTAAATGCAATTAAAATTTGACTCTAATTATTTGCCGAGGTGAATGTTTTGGGCTACCGTTATGTTACATTTCAATAATCGTAACTGAAAGAATTACCCCAAATGACGTTGATCATGCAGCTTGAAATTTGCCAGGGAGAAAAATTTTAGAAAATTAATTGTTTGCAGCAAACACGTGGTATACTGTATTGGTGTAAAATCATAAAAATCTCCCAAACCTCACCGATTCCCCGTTCAAACTGTGGTTTGTCCCAATTATAATAATAATAACATTGATAAGAGTACACTGTGCTAAAACAGTACAGCTCCAAGCATTGTAAATAAAACCAGAACAATAAACAATAATGTAAATATTTGCATATATAAAAATAAAAGAATTTCTTGAGTAATAAATTATTCAAAAACAGCACAAGGGACAAAGCTAAGTATAAATAGCCGTTAATGATCAAAATAAATTCAAAACTTTACCTGAATCATCATTATTTTCAGTGATATTCTGGTTACTGGACGTCGAAGCGGTCGTCGAGGTCGATGGCGCACCTGAAATGTTGAAAACAAACAAAGAAACGCAAATAAACTTTAAACTCGTGGCCAGAGATTTGCCCGGCGGAAAGCGAATTTTCAATATGAACATAATAGCCCAACATAAGACTTTTAAAAAAGCCATCACAATAATAAAATAGAGAAAGATTTATTAATAACGTTTCGTCTTTAACTTAAGACATCTTAATAAGGAACTCTAGGTCGAGTTTTGCTTTTCCAAGCTTGAGTTCAAGACGCTGGAATTTCCTGAACGCTTTGAGTGCTCCGTTTTTGTAGCGCTTATTTAAAATCGTTCTAACAAAGTAGCTGACAACTTGTGCAAAGAGACTAAAAATATTTGGCAGAACCACCTGCTTTCCCAGCTTCAACTTGACTATTTGCATATGACTGTTTTTGATTTTAATTTCCAGCTTAACTGTTTGTGATTTTAGTTTTTAAATTTATTTTATTTATTTCCACTTCATCTTTATCAGACACACAGAATTTCTTCTCAGAGGTGTATTACAAAATTTTAACAAAGGGCTACCTGATATATTAAAACAATACTTGGGTCTACATCAGTTTTGTAAATGCATTTTTACCCAAAACAATTATTAATGTTTTTCCGTGGATGTACAAATGTAGAGAAAAACACAATTTTTTAGTTCAAATTTAAACGAAATTTGGTTTTAAAATATAAATTAGATAATATATGATAATACTCGTCGCATCCTCTCAAAATTCTATAAATATGTGTACGTACAAATATTTCATGGAGAAACATGTATATTATTGAATACATCCAGTTGAACCCTTTCAAAATAAACAAGTACTTGCTTAAATGTTTCCAATTTGTATAAATTGAGCGATCAACGATGTCATTGTTTTTCACAGTTTCCACACTTTGATATTTTCCATTTCGAAATAGGTATTCAATAGGAAGAATCATAATTGACTTAATAAAGATTAAGCCTCATCACCTTCAATGCCACAATACTTTTCTGCGTTTATTCTTTGAATAAAATCAGAAAAAGGCTTCGGTAAAAACATGTTTCTTTAACAAATCTCGCGTAACGTGTAGCTTTGCGCGTGCAATACACGTAAGTTGACCTCCAGACACACATCTATTACAGGTAGGCTTCCATCTATAATATTTCAATGGTTGCTCGTGAAAGGATTTCCATACCATCTAATGACATCTACTCTGCAAACAACGGACTATTTTGACTAAGGAATTTCTTCAACGAAATACAAAACAAACGATGCTTATGGAAACATATTTATGGTCATAAATACTAAGCTCTCTTACGAGCGGACAAAATTCACATTTTAAGTGTCGGTTCAATTTATAACGAGTCAAACGACGTATGAAAAACCGTGTCTTGTACTTACTTGGGCGTTCTGGCTATCGTTTCAGCAATAACAATCATAACGTGCTATTTCAAAGCAGTAGCAGTCATATAGCCAGTGTTTGAGGCCCCGTCCACACGTATACTGTATTTTCGCATCCGCAACAAAAAAGTTGCGGATAAGCCTTTCGTCCACACGCATCCCAATATTTAAGGTAGGGGTAAAACGCTGAAGCAGATTGGCGGAAGCGGAACGGCGGAAGCGGAATAGAGGGTAAAACGCAGAATAAAAAAATAAAAGCTGTATATGGTAAAGTAATTATAAGTATTTGCCACAAAAAACATATGGATTGTTCAACTTTAGACAATGAGCGCATGTGAAAGTTAACAAAAGTGAAAATTAACTATTTATACCAATTAAATCCGAGCGTATTTGCAAATTGCAATTGACTCGCGAATCATCGGAGTCATAGTCTTCACAAAATCCTGCAAATATATCATGAAAATTGTCATAACTAAACAGCTCAAGTATTAGACAAATGCAAGCTTTTTTGTATTTAACCAGTTTAGTGCATTTACCGTAGTTTATTCATTGCTTTGTTTATTTCGCTAGCTGTACGTTTTGGAGAGTTTAATGAAGGGCAAAAAGAAATGAACATATTTCGCTCTCTAGTCTTTCACAATTTACAAATATTTTTTGTGCGAATTTGCATAATCTCAAATGATAGCAAATAATCACACAATATACGCATCAAATATATGAGCAGGAAATACAATTAATTGTTTGCAAGACACAGAATACTTGGAATGTTTATTCTTTTAAAGAAGTTACTAGAAAAAAGTACCAACAAAAATCACGGCTGGTTGGCTCAAAAATAGTAAAATAAGTATCGTATATTATTTTAACCAATACAAATTACGTAAGTGTGTTCCTTTATTTAAATGAACCACATTTCAGTCACGTCATCGAACCGTATATGTTCTTTGAGACGAAAGGAGGTTAAAACATGAATGCTCTCTTTTGTAAACGCAAATATCTGTCACTAAAGTTGTGAGAATGCATGATTCGGGTAATGTGTTTGGTAGTATACGTCAAAAAATTATATACTAGATTTAAGGTAATTCTGTTATTATTGAAAAAATATACTATACACTAACAAACATTAGCAATTCTACAAACATTCTAAGATCTACTGGGATGTAGCTCTCAGTAAATACTATACTGTACTGGAGATCATGCAACACTTGACACCAACGACGACTAGATTGAAGAGATTTTCTTACTGTATAATTCCGGTCCCATACGTTGAAAAATAAAACACTTTGTTGGTAATAAATACAACTTTCAAATCGTGGGAAAGAGTCATACTTAAAATATATACTTATGTACCTTGATATAGAGTTAGGTGTTCAAAATTTGCAAAATTCTAACTTCCTGTTGTCTCCAAGAACATATTCAGGTTTGCACAACAATTATACACACATAAAGACTTCTGCGGTGAAAGTAGCATATTGTGTGGTAGATCCACTGGTCATTCAAACCTGTGGCTTGCTACATAAAATCAAAAATATTTCGTTGATTCAGATTTTAAGTATTTTTCTCAATCAGCAGGCATCAACGGCTGATGACATCCCCAGCCAAAACAGTTCTAATTCTAGTTCTATTACAGTCCAGCCTGTCCCCGTTGACTTTTTACTGCTGACCCCTGGGTTACTAACTTACTATGTGCCTGGTCACTAGAGATGCTTTTCAGAGACACTCTTTTGTTAACATCTTTTTATTTCTCAAAGTTTTAATTCCCATGATTAAAAGGAGTAAAACATAATTGTGATATACACAATGTGTTCTCTGTAGCAAAGAATTCCAGCTCAAACATATTTGGAGACATCAAATTCAAGTTGTCACCTCAGTGTGGTGAGCTTTTTTATAATCAATTATCAATGTGAATCAGATATTCATTGATGAACATTGACAATGTTAATAACCACATTACATTTATCATATCTATGCTATCAAGAGTTTATATTATGTTGTCACCAAATGAGAAATTTGCAGTGCCAAAATATGAGTTTCCAGAGCTGAATTGTTGTCAATGCCAGTAGGCATAAGCAATTTCTTACTTACTTTGTATATTACGGTTTGGGATTAGAAGTCAAACATGATTAAGCAATCTATTAAAAGTTTAAATTACTTCTTAGACAAGGCAACTGCCTTCACTTTTTGGTGGAGTAACTGGTAAAAAGAAAACGATCTTGTGCATGCCTTCCTAAAAGAGGAAAAGTTTACACTAAGGAAGTTGTTTGTTTACCACCAACAGATCAAACCTTCAACATTCCTATTCCACGAGGGAATAAAAGAGCACATCTTGCAAAAATGGGCTTGACAGGGAAAGTTTCCATTAACACTGCTTGGGGGCTGAAGAAGGGCCACATGAACTTTCATCCAACATGTTGATGGTGGAAGAATATAAAAAATTTCCACGTTATCCTTCAACTTTTTAAATTTTGCAATGTGCTTGAAACGGAAGTAGAAAGTTGGTAGAAAAATTGACGCAAGCCACTCTTGCTAGTTGGCTTGCGACATAAAGTGAACTTTCTGCGCAAAGTTTATTTTGTTTAATAATTTTTTTTTCTTAAGTGCCTCTGCGGGCCGGATTGAGAGGCCAACGGGCCATAATTTGGAGACCCCCTGCTCTAGGGCATTTAACCTTCAGCATGGAGAAGTTCTGTCATATGATAATTTGGGGTATGTCATTCATGAATATAAGGTGTTTGCATTGCTCATTTTTGTAATTGTGCTATTAAGTTAAGTTATATGTAACGAAAACAAAACAATGAAAACATGTACTTATTAAAGATGTGTTTTAGTATAACAAAGGGGACAAAACAGTTGACTTTCCCACAAATATCAAGATCTTTTGTGTGGAATGGGCCAGAAGTCATCTCAAATTCATCCCTAGGATGTCTATACATATTAGGCAATATCTGGTAGTAGAAATCAAAAATGATATATGAGATAAATGGTCATAACTGTTCTCAAAACTTTTTAATGACTGTATTATTTATTTTACTGAAAGAGTGTAAAAGGAATTGGTAACCAACCTAAAGATGAAAACAGTGATGCTGCTAGTGAAACTGTTTTGAATCATACACATCCCTTGTCAGCAACAAGTGTTGAATCATCTGTAGCTGTAACCACATCTTCTCCATCTTTTACTTCAACAGTTTCACTTAGTAAAAACTCTTGCTATAGGTATATTGATAAATCGATCAAATTAAAAAAATTTTTTCTGAATGGTGCATAATTACTTGATGATTTTCTTTATGATATTTAGCACATATTTTTTGCAGATCATACGTTAATTTACTATGCCCAGACCCCATTGAAGTTAGTACTCTCCACCAAGATCTGTGTGGACTTTTGCAGTACGTCCATATTTTGATATAACCTGAACAAAATGGCTATGTGCAGTTTCCGCCTGATTGTTTGAGCTACATTTTGGAAAAATAACTATGCGGCTAAGCCCATCTATTGCATGATGAATCACTATCCTCCACCTTACAAGTTTATGGTTGCCATCAATGTGCCACACATAGTTTGGGAAAGGATTTGTGTAGACTCTTCGCTTCATTGGTTTACGCTTTCTACTTTGCACACCTTCTGGATCAACAGCATGTATTGCCTGCCTAACTTTTTGTCGCTGTACATGCAATCTCCTAGATGCAAGATGACCTTGCACCATAATTTCTCCAGCATTTGGATGGCTGTTCTTAATTATTTGTACTTCACTCTCAGCTTCTGAAAGTTGTGAAAAGCGCTCATAATTTATTCCATATTCCTCCATATATCTATAAATGGTAATTCTTGACACTGAAAGATGTCTTGCAATATCACATATAGGAACTTTCAGTTGAAGAAAGTTCAACAAATGTTCTTTGTTAACTCTCTTCCTAGATCGGCCAGCCCTTCTGTTAATATCATTTTCACCTCTGAAAGAAAAGAAGCGCAACTTGCATTTTATATGTCCTTTCTATACCAAGATATTTTCAATAAACTGACTATTGAGGACACTAACTCATTGACAATGTTAATAACCACATTACATTTATTATATGCATGCTATCAGGAGTTTATATAGTTTACATTACATTTATATCAGGATTTACCAAATGAGAAATTTGCAGTGCCAAAATATGAGTTTCCAGAGTTGAATTGTTGTCAATGCCAGTAGGCATAAGCAATTTCTTATTTACTTTGTATATTATGGTTTGGGATTAGAAGTCAAACATGATTAAGCAATCTATTAAAAGTTTAAATTACTTCTTAGACAAGGCAAATGCCTTCACTTTTTGGTGGAGTAACTGGTGGAAAGAAAAGAAAACGATCTTCTGCATGCTTCCTAAAAGAGGAAAAGTTTACACGAGGATGTTGTTTGTTTACCACCAACAGATCAAACATACAACATTCCTATTCCACCAGGGAATAAAAGAGCACATCTTGCAGAAATGGGTTTGATAGGGAAAGTTTCCCTTAACACTGCTTGGGGGGCTGAAGAAGTTGCAAAAGAAATTTCTACTGTATTCTCTAGGGTGTTGGGGATCACCTCTCAAGTTTCTCCCAACACTTCACAAATTTTTAACAACAGGTTTTGATGAAGATATATTTTATTTCACAGTCACAAAAAACAACAAGATAGTAATACACGTGTTCTCCTTCTATTGCAATTTGCATATCACACCATTTTCCTTGCTTACTATTGGTGCGCTCAAGTGTTTGTTACAACTACTCATCTAAAAGAAGGCGAGTCTCTGACACTCTCCCCCCATATACCTTGATTTATAAGGTATATGTAACCTTTAAGAGACTGCCTTCTGTAAACAAAACAAAAATTTATAAAGCTCAATAAAGTGTTTGTTCATCGCCAAAAGTTTCTGTCTTTCTTCCAATCTCTTTCAAACTTCTAAATCCGTTACTTCCTTGATACGTTGTTCTGCTGCTACTGCGGCGTCTCGTTTAGGTTTAAACGCTGGTGCTCTGGGATCCAATGGCACGGGGGTCGGTTCAACACGTTCGCATGATAGCTCTAGCGGGTAAAGGTGGTTCACTGCTCTCTCCAAATACGTTTTCCCCGCACGAAGTTTTACGGCACGAACAACACCATCTCGCCCATTATACAACTCCTCCACGATTCCAAGAGGCCATTTACCACGACTTCTCTCGTCTGATCGTATGATAACAACATCGCCCTTTTTCACAGTAAATGTTGTTTGCTTGTATTGTTGGTTGTGACGCTCACGCAATCCTCTTAGATACTCATTAGACCATCTCCGCCAGATAGCTTGCTTGCATTTCAACAAATACTTAGCCCGTTTTCGTTGGTCCCTTTCTTCTATGTGATGTGCTTCCAGCTCTGGTGCGAATGTACAACCAACGAAGAGCATGGAGTTAGGGGTCAATGTTGGAAGTTGAATATCATCCTCCATGTAACTTAATGGTCTATCGTTCAAAGCCACTTCAACATCCAAAAGAACATCCTTTAACTCTTCCCAATTCAGCAATCCATTTCCGATCGTCTTATGAAGAGCCCGTTTGACCAATCCGATTAGGCGCTCGAATTGACCGCCCCACCACGGGGCACGACTTAGATTGAACTGCCATTTCACCTGATTCTTGCTGAGAAACTCGTTAAACCGTTCATCCCTCTGAGCCTCCCGTAACACTTTGCTGCTGCAACAAAAGTCTTCGCATTATCAGAGTATACCTTGTTCGGTCTTCCCTTCCTAGCTATGAACTGTTTGAAACTTTCCATAAAGCGTTGGGTATCCAAACTCGGCATCAACTCGAGATACACAGCTCGCGTTAGGCTGCTGGCATAAAGTAAGACATAAGCTTTTACCTGTTCCCTTTTCTTCATTTTGTATTTAAGTGGTCCGGCGAAATGAACACAACAACTTCGAACGGGCGACTTCCTTCAGTTCGATCTTGGGGTAAAAATCCAGGCGGTGGTTGCTGCACTGCTTTCGCTTGGAAACGACGACAGCCATAGCACGCTTTGATTATTCTATGTGTTAATTGCTTTAGTCGAGGTACCCAATACCGCTCCCGAACTCGAGCCATGGTCATCCCAACTCCCCCGTAGAGAGTTTGAAGATGGGCGTCTTCCACAAGCTTGGTTGTGAATAGGTGTTTGTCTTATAGGTATACGGGATAATGCCCATGAATCCGCCCTTTGCATTCCATGATACCATCGTGATCCTCTTGAAGATTAAGTCGACCTTTGTCGTCTAAACAATCGCAACTTTGCTGCACTCTTCTCTCCCAGAATTTATACTGTCGTTCAATCTCATCAGTTGTTAATGGTCCAACTACTCGGCAGTTCACACGTCTGGTATTTGTGATAAACCTCTTTATCCAAGCACACACTCTCATAACTTTCCTCAGAGACGAAAACTTCTCGAGGATGCAATCAAAACAATCCGAGTTGTCCATTTGTACGCCCAGTACTGTTTTTATGACCTTTGCTTCCTTCTCACTCTCTTTGGTCGATTGAGATACAATGTCTTGTGGCCACTCATTGATGTTTTGGAGCCAGTGTAGTCCATTCAGCCACAACTTGTTTTCTTTCACCGTGCCACCTCGACTTCCCACATCAGCAGGATTTCGATCGCTTGGTACATATCGCCATTCGATACCCTGTTTGGACTGGATCTTTTGGACTCTGTTGGCCACAAACTGTTTGTATTCTCCTCCTCCTTTGATCCAGTGCAGTGCCACAGCACTGTCGAGTCGGGCATACGTTCCTTCCACTGGGAATTCACTTAGGACCTTCCGCACATTGTCCACAATGTTACAAGCCATGTGCGCTGAGACCAACTCCAACCTGGGGATTGTTATTCCTTGTTTGGCTAATCTGGCCTTTGCTGTTATGATGCCTTGTGTTGAACCAGCGGATTGCTTGACAACAGCATAAACAACTGCTGCCACTCCTTTCCCGCTCGCGTCTCCAAACGCATGCAGCGATATTGAGTCGATCTCTTCTTGGAAGGTGGGGATTGAACGAGGTACAGCAATATTGTTTGGCAACTGTTTTTCCCAGTTCGTCCATTTAGTCCTTTGTTCGTCGGATAATGGTACATCCCACGGTAATTTCATCTCACACACTTCACGATATATTAATTTTCCCTGCAACGTTCTTGGCGACAGTAGCCCTAGTGGATCGTAGATCTGAGCCAGTTTGCTTAAAATTCCTCGTTTTGTTGTAGTAGCTACAGTTGAAGGAACTATGACCTTTATCTCGTCCTTATTCTTTGACCAACCTAATCCCAGAATACTCGCTTCTTCCTCACTACGTGTTCTTAGTTGTTGCTTTGCAAAAGTTTCTTCATCGGTGATGCAATTCATGTCTTCTAAGTTCTAACTCCTTCTTATTCGAGTGCCATTTGTGCAGAGTAAACGTCGCATCGTTAAAGATTTCTATTGCTTCTTTCTTCAACTCGTGCGCTTTTGCTACCGTTGTCGTTCCACTTACTAGATCATCTACATATAGGCTTTTGCGCAATTCAGTTACCACTTCTGGTCTGCGGTTTTCCCAACTGGTGATGTTGGTCAATCGCTAAGGAGAAACGGCGATGACGTTAACCCGAACAACGCTCTTGTAAACCTCAGTGTTTCAATTTCACGAGTTGCATCTGGGCTCCAGTGGAATCGTAGTGCATCCCTGTCACCTTCCTTGATTCGAACTTGCAGGAACGCTTGTTTAATATCTCCTGACAGTGCAACAAGATGAAATCTCATTCTTACTAAAATGTTCCAAAGATTGTTCTGGAGTGGAGGTCCTGGGTTTAAACACTGGTTCAGACTTGGAGCTTCATTATTGGCTTTGGCAGAGGCATCGTACACGATTCGAACCTTTGTGGTTTCTGCTCTTTCTCTGACCACTGGCTTATGCGGAATATAGAATTCAACACCTCAGGCTTCATGTTTAGCAGCTTCAACGATCCCTCCGACTTTCTGCTGCTCAATGATTTCAGAATAAGAATTAGTCAACCCCTTCTGATGCAATCTGCGTTGAAGGTTTGCTAGTCTTCGTAAACTTCCTTTATAATTACTTTGTAGTTGTGGGTGATTACCCTTCCATGGAAGGCCGGTTTCATACCACCCTTCTTCACTTCGCACAAGCTGCTCTTGAAACTCAGCATAAACTTCATGTTGATCATTTTTAGGTTTGTCAGCCAAACCCAGGACATCTAACCGACACAATTCTTCGTAGTCGCTTTGGCTTGTTTGTGAAAGAAACATAACAGCGTAGTCTAGTTCTTTGCCTTGTGCCAATATAGTCCAGCCAAACTTAGTTTTTTCAGCAACAGGTTCTCCCACCTTTCCAACGCGGGGTTTCTCAGACGTCTTGATGCGCATATAGTCTGTAGCTCCCAGGATTAAATGCACAGGGAGTTTTGGTTTTTGATCATCGTCTTCTATCTTCACACCTGCTAAATGTGAATAAGACCTTACTAATGCCTTATAAATTGGGTTGTCCACAAACAGTAGTTCTCCCTTATTTACTTTGGTTATGTTCACGTCCATTTGAAATTCCCCTTTGACATCCTTTACACGTATGGTTGACAGTTCCATTTCCTTGGTAACTGAGGTGAGCATCATTTCGACACGTCGTGTTTCCTTTCTATAAGATCGCTTTGGAAGTAAGTCTAACAAGGCTGCCGATACATAAGAATTACCAGAGCCTGTATCTAGAAGCGCACGACACTTTATTCCTTCTACACTCACCACAACGGTTGGATATACGGCTGGCCCATCACCTGCCGTTAAAAGCTGATCTTTCTTTGTGCATATTGACGAATGATGTTTACCATTGCACTTTGAACACCTATGAGAACTCTTACAGTCAGCTGTGCGATGTTTTGTCCCCGTGCAATTGAAGCAAAGTTTTTTCTCAGCTAATAATTTCTTCCGCTTATCGATGTCGGTTACAACCGTGCAATCAACAGCGCTGTGATTTTCAGCATTACAATAAACACACCTTCGCTTACGTCGCTCACTGCCTGCTACAAGTAAAGGTTTCCGAGTTTTCTTAGAACTTCCACTCTCTTCGGCTGGATTGATGTCTCTCCACTTCTTCAGTTCTGAAATAAGATTTGTTAGATTCCAATCTTGCCAACCTTCGTTACCTCGCACAAGACCAGCTTTAATTCCCTTCAGTTTTTTTAATATGTTCCTTGTCATACCACTACTTTGTCCAACTTCCCGAGTGTTTCTAATGCTTGCGTGTTATATAGGAGAGTCTTATAAAATTCTTTCACTTTAGCAGGGTTCCCGTCCAAAATTGTTGGCAGTCCCATGATGTTTTGAACATGTGTGTTAACGATCTCACTGGTTTTCCCATATTCACTTTCGAGTACATTCTTTGCTCTTTGATATCCTTCTGTTGTAAAAGGTAATCCTTCGATTTCGAATCTTCGGTACGTCAGATTTATCTACCTCTGCTTGAAACGTGTTCCAAAACGGAAGCCAGTTTGCATAATTCCCGTCAAATTTTGTTACAGGAAGTTTAATGGTCAGGTGTAAAAAGACAACGTACCTGAATCCGCTCTCAAGAGTGAAAATTTTCGTATCCGCAAACAATTTGGAATTTGGATGCGTGTGGACCATTGAGTTCTATAAGACCTGGAGGGGAAACGTCAACAAAATTACTATAAATTATTATCACGCGGCCGCGTGGTCAAAAACATGGCGGATTTTGGTTGTCAAAGTCAGCGGAAAGACGCGGGCTCATAAAATAAAATTTTTTTCGCCCACCCGGATTTGACAACCACAATTGCGATTATATAAAATATCAATGCCAAGCACAAAAACTTTTAGAAATTTTATCTTTAAAACATGCTGCAAACTTGTTTGGTAGACGGATGCTGAAGTAATGTCAGAAAATGAAACATTTCATGACACCGGTAAGCAACGTAAGATTGTTTACCATTTAAAGTGTTCAGTGTTTTGTTTTAAGTCAATACTTGAAGTGTGATGGCATATATTTTGTGAATGTTTTTACTCCTAAGTTATAATTTAAGTTATGTTTATCCAGTCTTATTTTTTCTTTACTTAATCGCTTGCTAGACGATGCAAAGCAACCAATTCTTATCGAGATATGCATATCTTAAAACTCCTTGTTTCAACTGAGTTTACCTTCAAGAAATGGAGGGTGTTTTCATGATATTTTTCTGAAAATATGAAGCAAATATTATGAACAGAGCTGTATTAAAATCAAATGCAGTGCAGGATTAATTAATGAACTCTTTGGTACATGTCGTACAATAAAAAATACCTTTCTTAAACAGCTATCCTGGACAATTTGATAGATTATGGACAATCATAATGATGGTGTGTAAAGGTTTGCTTTATGCTAAAAGTTTTATAAATGCCATCTGGTGTTTCTGTAAATGAATTGTTTGTTATAGTAAACAGGTTAGTACATCAAAACCAAGATAAAAACTACTTTGTTCAATAATGTGCCAAATTATGCTCCTACCTTGAAATATTTGCTCGAGAAAAGCTTATGATGACATGCATGAAACATTAAATATACTACTGCATCATCTGACAAAATCCATATGTTTTTCAATTCCAGGTGATTAAAAATTCACATAAGATGCATTGGTTGCAATGAAGTTGAATGTGGAAGAAGCAAAAATTGATGGCAAAGAACTATTTATGTTTTTTGAAGAATTACGATATCATTTGAAAAAATAAGAGTAGCATAAGCGACATCTGTCTTCAACATGAGACTTTTCCAATTATGTATAGTTTCTTTGTACAAAATACTATTTTAGATAAACTTGATTTTTAAGTCATTCACTGATGTTTTTACCAAAAGATGAAAAGAAAAATTCAAAGGCATAATGTAGTATCGGTAATAGTAATTTGTAAGGACACAAGAGAAAAGTAGTAGAAGAAGGTTAGCATTTTGGAGAATTAATAAGTTCTTCTTGACATACATTACACAAGGCCATAATATTATAAATAATGGCTGTACAATAATAATTATACAACATGCTAAATATATTCACCTACATTTTAATTATTTAAACAGATTTGCCTTCATGCAGCAATAAGAAAAGTGTTATGTCAGAGAAACCAATGCACTTTCATTTAAGAAATAGTATTTTCAATGGGAAATTAATGTAGTTCTGTTCAGTAGTAGATCCATGGTTGTCAATGACAATCCAAATTCTAGTATCTTCACTCAAAACAGAACCAGCAACATGATTATAGTATTTCTGAATTTCGTTCGTTTGCTCTTCTAGTTCAAGATATTTTCTTCATAAGTTCTCAGTAGATTTATCAGAATATCATTATACCTTATAAGACACCCAGAACCAATCCTACCAAAAAAAAACTCAAAAAAATTACATACCTACTTATAATATATTTCCAGTCGACTTAAGTCGTAGGGCTAAGCTAACTTTTTAACTAAGATTTACCCATCTATTTAAGAAAGACAGTTGCACCAAGCTGTTAACAAACAGTCAAAAACACAAGCAATGCGCATGGGATTATGCATTAAAGCTTAACGACACATTGACAGTGTAAAGAATGCCGTTTGATATTTATTTCTAATATACCTAAAGCATTACTTGACAAAATATACGTTATTTTACAGTAGATTTACCTCATTTAAATGTGTGTGTCTATTTCACAAAAACCTGAAGCATTATTTTCAATATTTTATGCTTACGGTATCGTGGTTGTTTTCGCTGGTTGTCATTAATACAAGCAGGAATAAAGATCCGGATTCAGGAGGGAGCGAATGTTAAAAATTTTTCTCAAAGTGGAAGTTTTGACAACCAAAATCCGCCATTACCGCCATGTTTTTGACCACGGGGTCCAGGCCCCTTTGCCCCTCCAGGTCTTATAGAGCTCAATGGTGTGGACGGTAAATTCGGATATTTTTGACCAAGATTGCCTAGCAACTATCATAGCGTGTTTAAAATGTCATCAAATTTGCTGCGAATCGATTCCAATCGACTTTCTACATAGCGTTGGATGTTTTGAATTCTAATGTGACTTTCAGAAAGAGTTCAACCTCATCATCAGTCCAAATGAAGGAGTCCGTCTTGCTCTTCTCATTTTATTTCGATTTCTGTCCAAATTATGACATGTATATTCAAACCAAGCCGAACAAAAATTGCACACACCGACCGAATTCCAAATTGCTAACCAATTTCCCGCAAATTTGCAACAATTTCAAAATATGGGAGGGAAACGGACAGCGCGAAGTCTTGGGAACTATAGTAAATCCGGATAATATCAAGCTACGCGTGAATGCAAAATCATTTTTATGGGCAACCTGATCCGCAACAAAAAGTTTACGCATAGAAATAAATCCGGATACGTGTGGATGGGGCCTGATTCAGTCATTAACATTATTTGTATTTTGCGCCTTTCTTATTACTAGTTGAAATCATACTCCTATTCGCACGAAATTTTTCGCTTCGAAAATTATCGCTTCGCGCGAAAAAATTCGCAAAGTAGAAATCCGGCTTAAGAGTTTCCAAATGCGCCTATACTTGGCTAGATGTCCGAGTGCGAATTCCATTTACTCAAGCCATTGTGCGCAGCCACCCATTTACTATATACATCTCCCCCTGTCTCAAAAAAGATGTATATTGTTTTCAGTGGACGAATTTTTTTCTGTTGTTGACAATAACTTGTTGGGGCAATTGAGCTTTTTATTTTAATATAATATTTTCCGAGCTCCGAAGGATTCATTTTTCTTTTTCATTTTTTTTATGAAATTATAAAAGGATTGAAACTTGAACAGAGTCTTAACTATTCACATTGACTGAATTATGCAATGAATAATCTGTGATGAACGATGGCAATGATAATGTTCACAATTATTTACTTAATTGACGACGATTTTTGATTGCGGAGTATGTATTGAATTGATTGATTGATTAATAACAGTTTTATGTTCGTAGTTTGAATACCACTAAACCTAAACTCTAAATAATGTTATTAAGCAATTACTTATTATTATTATATGGCAAGCATCACTTAACCAAAAATGTCGCTTTGATTGGCTCAGAAACATTTTGCCGGTCCAATATTTTCCCGTATAATCGACCACGGTCCAAAACGCGTAATTTTACAGTCAAATGTAAATAAACTTCGTAAAGCAAACAGCAAAAAGCAATAAAAAAACGAAACAAAATACAAATTGCAAATGTGAGACGAAGGAAAAACACTCGGAAAGCAATTTATCTATCCAGACGATAAATTTGAAACGATTTCTTTTTTACTAAGGAAAACTAGTGAAAGGCAACTCGTACAAAACAGCAAAGACGAGAAAGAAAGCAAGCATCCTTTCAGGTCAAATAATGCCATATAATAAACCTTTTAATAACTGCGCTTTCTCGGTCTTTACTGAGAAGTATCGGACCTCTGTCTTTTTGTACAAACCTCGCCCTACGCGCTCGGTCTTTGCAAAAAGACCGTGGTCCGATATTTCTCGGTAAAGACCTCTAGCTCGGTTATTAAAGGCTTATTAAAATGGTGCATTCATTCTGCCTTATAATTCTGCTCTATCTTTGTTGATATTGGGCACTCTATTGCTTTTGTAAAGTGTGTAGCATAATGAAGAATATAAGCTTGATGATTTGTAATTCAGGCATGTTTTTTAGACTAGGAATTTCTGTGGATTGAAATTGTCAATTTTATGCAGCTTTCAAGCCTTTGACATAGTGCTTTGAGGCTTTGAACTAAGAATTATAAGATTTATTTCCTATGGTTATTGTTTGTTTATAGTATGAAGCATCTGATTGATTGTTTGATGAATTGATTATAACATGATTGAACATACACACTATGTATACAAATTGAATTCATTGAAATTGGTTCAATACAGAACAACCATCAAGATATATTACAATAAAAATCTTTAGTACAGCTAAAGTTTGATTAGAAACTCTTAAAAATTTTATTGCATTTCTGGTTGTATGCTTTAGCCGTCTTCATGTGTACCTAAAAGTCGAGAGTCGAGAGTAGAGAGTAAAAGTCGAGAGTCGAGAGTAGAGACTAAAGTTCGAGAGTCGAGAGTAAAAGTCGAGAGTCGAGAGTAAAAGTCGAGAGTCGAGAGTCGAGAGTAAAAGTCGAGAGTCGAGAGTAAATGACGAGAGTCAAAAATAAAAAGTCGAGAGTCAAAAATAAAAGTCGAGAGTCGAAAATAAAAT